GTCGCTGGGCGGTGCATCCAGTCAGCTGATTTGACGTTTGTTGCGTTATCATACAGTTAATCATAAATATAGCGGCACCTCTCTCCACATTTCAGCCATTTCCCTCCTTCCCCCTCGTTTTCCTGCCTTCCGAGTATTGGGTCTATCATCTTCTGGTTCAAGACCGGACTCTGGCTCAAACTGAAATGCAGAACCGACGGCATTGTAGCAGCCACAACCGTTTGTTTGCAGCTGCGCAGAAAGTCAGATAGAGGAACGTGTTGACCAACGAACTGACCAATCACACCACACTGCGCTCAGAGGTGGAAGTGGGGCCTTAAAAAGCCCTGATCTCTCAGACAGAAGATGAATAGAGATCAGTATAAGATGTACAGTATAAGAAAAATATGTCTTTTTGGAGCATTGAGGCATGTAAATCTATTTCAGTAGACACAAAGAATAAAATTAAGAACCTTAAAAATGGCCAGGCCATAAGTCCTATTCAAAGTTGCTATTTTTTTCCTGTATTCAATGCAAACAATTATGTCATGTCATCATGTCATCTGCACAAGGCAAGACAAATAAATGGAGCCAGAGAGGAAATGGATGTTGTGGTTTCCTCTCCTTCATATTTAATGTTTATGCATGAATTCAATAACTCCAACATATGCAGACAAGCTTATCTGAGTCTGTAATGCAGTGTCATCTCTTTCCTACCAACAGCGATCCCCAGGCCGGAGGACCGTGGTCTGAGAGTGGCTGTGTTGGCTTCAGTGGTGAGTGGCATCGTCATCCTCGCTATGTCCCTGTCCTTCCTCATCTGCTGTCTGCAGGAACGATCCAGCCGGGACCGAGCCAAGAAGGAGGGACGGAGCAGGTAGGAGGAGAGGGATGCCAGAAGGAACCCTCAATATAACCCCTGTAGTCGAATAGTTGAATAGTCTCCTTTACGTCCAAACTTTGTTTTTATTCTTTGTCCCTGGTGTACAGGGGCCAGTAAGCTGATAAAGTTCTCTCCTCCACAGGCGCAGAGAGAAGCACTCATCCCGTCGCAGTGAGTGTTGGCTAGAGAGAGAGGAGGGTGATTGGGAAGCCTTCCCTCCTCCCAAGATCTTCCACCTCTCGCAGAGGATGAACCCCCGTCTGGCTCCCGACAGCCCCCTCTACCTTACTGGAGGCCTCAATGGATATGAGAACAGAGGATACCAGAGGTAAAATATCAGCACTCACATCTACAGAGAACCAATTTAGTGTCACTTGTCTCACTTTTCTAGTTCTATATTTTCTGCTGAAAACAATAATAATGATGCCTGACATCCCAGTGTTTTACATTTCTGGTTTCTGAGATCCAAATACATTGGATGATATCACAGTATGTGAACATAAAGAATCAACCAATGAGATAAGTACAAGAAATAGAAAAGAGAAGAAAAGACAACCACTCTCATACCATGGTGCAGGTATCAATAATTACAACAACAATCAATACGTAAACAAACTGACTAACAAAGCTGAAAACAAGTGCTTTGCACCACCTAAATAAAAGAATTTGGTGGAGGAAATGAGAAAAATTTATGCTGGTGATTCCAGGAGGCTGAAGTGCTTTGAAATCACTGAGCTAATACTACTACTTTAGTGCCGGTGCTTAGATAAATGAAATCCAGACAAAGGTTATATATATATATATATATATACATATATATGGCCAACCCAAATCCTGACCCAGTTTATCAAGTTTTTACAAATGTCAGTAATTTAAAGGTCCCATATTGTATAAAGGTAGATGTCCATATGTTGTTTGATGATAAAGCAAGTCTAGGTTCTATATTAATACTGTGAAAGTATCAAAGCGCTCAGTCCAAAGAGAAATGCACACAGCCTGTATTCAGAAACTGAACCTTAAAACCAGCCGTCAGGACTTCTGTAATTTTGTGATGTCACAACAAAGCAGTCACTGCCCTCAGCCATGCCCCAAGCCCACCCCTGGCTCAGAGCCTCCTCTCTTCTGATTGGCTCACTGACCTGTTATTGCTAGAGCTCCAGAGAGAAGCCTGAGAGAGGAGATGTAAAACTACATTAAGATGGTTTTAGTTCTTAAAACCAAAAATATATCTTCTTATGGATCAACACTTCAAATGAAACACAGAGGAAAATATGGAGCTATAATGTCAGTAGTTTCAGTTGATGCTTGAAATTCTTGCTTCTCTGTTGTCTCTCTCATACAGGAGTCAGGAGAGTCTGCTGAAGGCTTCCCTGCCCGGACTCTACCGCTCCGAGTCCCAGCTGTACCCGCACGTCGTCCTGCAGAGGGTCCCAACTCCGACAGCACCCTCCGCCCCTTCCGCACCATCCGCTCCTCTCTACCTCCACCTCCCCTCCTCCTCCTCTGCTGCCTCCTCACCTTCCCACGCAGCCACCCACGGCCAGCCTCACATCATGGCGCAGTACCCCACCCCGACGTACCCGCCAAACCCCAACACGGCTGTGCCCGTCTACCCCCACCCAACACCAGCGCCTATCTACCCCAACCCTAACCCGATACCGCAGCGGCCATGGCAGTAGCTACGTCTTTCACTTTCCATATTTACAGAGCCCTGCGCCATCCCCACGGGCAACGTTGAGGGAAGACACGGAGAGAAAGTGTCGCAGGCACATTCTGGAGACACAGAAGTCTTTTTCCCTTCTTTATCCCTGTTTTCTCCCACAAGCGGCTACAAATGCATTGTTCCAAAGCAGACATGAAGGAAAGGTGTAGAAATGGACATGCAGCCAGTGTAGAAGTTCCCCCTTTTACTGCATGCTTGCCGAACTTCTCCTGCAGTTTGGACTTAACCACAAGGAACTCAACACTTAAGATTTTTTTTCTTTAATTCTTACTGAACTTCTGCTGCTGCTGTTCTCTGCAAGAGGAATTCTTCACGGAAAGTCCTGCTTTCTTTTTGCCGTCAGAAATTACAAGAAAGCTTCTTGCAGCATGTTGACAAAGGAGACGGAGAGTTGTACTTTAAATTGTACTAATTCAGTTCAACCTTTGACACTGTATGAAAAGATTGACCTGCAAAGAGGGACTTCAACAATGGCCGCCACTGTTTCGGCAGCTCTCAGACATGTTGATTTTTTAAAAATAGTTTATATTTATTATGTAATTGGATCCCTATCAGCCTTCCTGAGGTCCAGTTAACCTAATCTAGACCTAAATAAAACAACAGAGATATATACAGTATATTTTGCTTTAAAGCTAGAGACTTAACTTCTGTAATCTCACTCCTTTTTAAGCCAGAGCTTTGTGTGATGTAATAAAAAAAGGTTTCAGGTCACTTTTCAGCTCTGTTAATATGTCCCAGATTGATGTGAGGGATTTATGGGCAGCAAGCACACTGTGATTAAAAGGCTGCTGTCGCTGCCACTGCTGAATGGAACCAATTCTGTGCTGTTTGTATGGATTTAATAATACAGTGATTGCTTTAAATTGATCCTGTCTTTCTCACCAAAATCATTACCTTTTTTTCTGTCTGTCTAATTTTCTCCGTCTACTGCCACAACTCATTCTGTCACATCGTTATTTATGACAAAAACTCATTTCAAGGTCGACAGTTAGACAGGTGAGATATTGTGGCACAGACGCTCAGAGCCTCGAATGGGTTTAGGAACATGAAGAAGACACATGACTCAAATACTGACTGGAAATGAGCAATATCAAATACTGAATGAATTAAAATCTGGTTTGAGCCCAGCACAGGTTCAGACAATGTTTTTTTTTTTTTTTACAATTTAAAAAAGATCTTCTTGTGTGATGTAACTAAGGTTTTTATATGTGATTAACAACAGACAAAGATTTATTTTGAAACGTCGACTGGTCAAGCGTTGTGAGCGGACTGCTTTGTGTGTGATGCACTGGAAATGGCACAGAAATGCACTGATATGTGAAGTTTGAGCAGGGGGATGGGAGTAACTGAGGAACCATGTCGACTGTAAACTCACCTGCAGTTCTTCAGATCTTTTTAAATGAATGCTTCACTCTAAACCTTTGTTGTCCCCTCTGAGCTACTGTATGTGCAAGCATTTAAATCATCATCTCTGTGCCCCTCTACTGTGGCTTTAGTCAGTTTACACTCTAGTTTTTGGGGCTTTTTATTTTTAATAGAACAACTCCAGTAGAAACACTAATAATTCTGCACTTTACATTTTTTTGAAAGGGGCGGGGGTTTAAAAAGCTTGGACTCTTTTTCTGTAAACTATTTGTTGTATAATAATAATAAGACTGCCATAAAAGCGGAATAAAGAGATATATGTTTAGTCCAACAGTTAACAGTTCAGCTTGTGTTATCAGTGTGTGTTATCTTTGGAAGAAGAGAGAGAACGGAGGGAAACAGAGGGAGGAGGAAGAACAGAGGGATGGGAAAATATATAAGAAGCTGGACCTCGTTCATCACTGTGTCATGACAGTTGAAAATGAGGAGATGACCTCATTTTCCCACAGAGCAACGCTGACACGTGGAGAGGATGAAGTGGTTCGTCTGCCTGCACTAGACTTGACTGGCAGAACAGAGTTTGATACGTGGTGGATTTAATTGAAGACTTGAAATGTTATTTATATAAATTATGCTGGCTTTAGTTTCCTGGATAAAAAGAAGATCAAAATGAAGAAGATCTGATTATATTTTGTATTTACGATTGTACAGCAACAGTAACTACAAAAACACAGTTGCAGCAAAGAAGAGTTTGTGGAAAAAATAAATACAAATACATGTCATTTGAAAAGATATAAAAGTGTTACGGTTTATGAGTGATGGATGTTATAAATGGATGGCATTTATGGAATATTATAATAATAAAAAGAAAGAAACAAACAAACTTTGCAAAGAAACTGAACAGACCAGAACAACTCTAGTATTTATAGCATACTGGAATGTGACCTAGTGGTGTTGTTATTTCTTTTCTTACATTTTTTTGAGCACAGATTTCACATCATCAACCATTGCCTGGGACCAATATCCTTGCTGTTTTATATTTCTTATCACCTCCCCCCTCGCACAGTGATCTGTACTGTGCAAACCAGAGATCAACATGGTCAATGACACAGGTACAACCAGCAGTCCTTCATGTGATCTCCACAGACCCTTTTAAACCCTGTTCGTTTCCAGACTGCTCCAAATAAGTGCCACACGCCGTGAGCGTATGCAGAGTCAGTATACACATTGGCAGCTTTGTTTCTGGCTAATTTGCAAGCTGCCATGCTGCAAGCTGATCCCCAGCACCCCGTCCATCCCAATAAGGGGCCGGCCACTGTTTGGCGAGAGTGTTCAGGCTCTTCAAATCCCCAACAAACTCCCGGTGGGTCCCCTCTGTGCGATAATTCAGGTGGTCTCCTCGTAGTTGGGACGTGTTGCTGTGTTTCTGGCTGTTGGTCATAGACATTAATCACGGAAGCGTTTAAGCAAATGGTCGCGTGTCAGGTGCCGCCTCGCCTGAGTTGTTGTTTTCTTGTTTTTATCAGTCAGCTCGCTAAGTTGTAGCTGAGCAACTTGTCTTTGAACCTCTCTCTCTTGCTCCTTCAATCTCTGCTCGTCCTTTCTATATTTCTCTATAGCGTGTATCACATGATCACAGAACTCTTTGATTTCTTCATGTCTGCTCTTTACTGGAGCCGGAGCCTCAGTCACTGATGTTGGTGTGGTGAATAGAGGACTGCCTTCAGCTTCCTCCTCAGTCTCTTGTTAACACCTTTTTAGTTCGCGGCTGCTGGGTTCTCGGTGTCAGAGAGAGGCTCACCCTTTAATGCTTTAGGGTCGATTTTGAAAGGATATTCTTTTGCAAGGCCATCCATAAGCTGGTTCGATACGGATTGAATTCAGTTCCATCTGCTAAGGCGTTTATCATCCAGGCATTTCCATTTATGCGCAAGATGTTTTCCATTGTTGGAATCCCCCCTATAGGGCCTTAATGTCACCAAAGGCCAGCATTTTGCCCACTGTTTCTTCTTCAAATGCTCTTATCCATTTGCTGGACCCCTTATTCGATGTCAGGTAGTCTAGTGATCAGCCCCTCAAGGTCCAGTGTTTGCCACGGTAGGTAATGCTGTGTCCTTTTTATTAGTATTGAGGCTGTATTGCAGGTCTATACCTCAGGTCATACTTCCCTTTTTCTTTGCTTCTCTTCCTTTGCTCCCTTCCTTATGTTTACTGAAAATGTGAGACTTCCCACCAACACATCCCTCTGTTCTACTTCCTGTTGCTTCCCACCACGGTCCCTCTGTCCCTCAGTTCCTACCTTATCCCCTGTGTTCTGCACTTCCTTCTGTTCTTTACTACCCTCCGCCTGAGTTACATACTGTATCTTTTGGTTCTTTGACCACAGGCACGGTCTGCTATGCAAAGGAAAACTGGCAGTAAAATCAGGCAGCCGACAGACAGCATGCAATGGAAATCACCTGTACTATAAGGGTGTACATACAATGTACTTCTTTGCATTTAAGGATCGAAATTCAACACTAAACACCTGCTTGTTTGTTTTGTGTCTGCTCTATAGACAGAGCTGGGGGGTTGCAAGAGCAAGAAAGTTAGCATTGGCTGATTAAAGGCTGCAAGACTGGAGGAGAAGGAGGACATACAAAGAGGTAACAGGGAGTTTCTTTAGTTTTTCACTATAATAACACATAATAGAATAAAGGATAAAAAAAATCATGATGGCTTGAAGGAAAAATTTCCTTTGAAATATCAAAGGAAATGTTTTTTTTTTCCTTTATTGTAATGAATAAAAATTTGACTTTGATTAGAATCTAATTGACTTTCACTCTTTCTTGAAGCTGTTTGAGATTCTTCAACTTACTGATGAAGTGTATCTAAAATGACTTTTAAATTTCCAATGGAGTTCAGCCTATGTGGAATTTTAAAGCCATATAACTGTTTTCATTTATACATCCATTTAGAAACCATTTTAAAGGGTCACATATTTTCTAATTTAATTGCAGTGCCATGCAGAGAATCTTGGTTGTTTTCATCCAGGTTTTGAGATATCACTGTCAATTTACGCCTCCACTGCAAAACAAAGATGAAGAGGTGAATTTGTAATGATTATAGCATTAAAAATGTTTAATGAACATCTCCTTTGTATGGCGCAGAGAAAGGGCCAAAATTAACTAAATAATAATCAGAGGAGCCTATGTCTATATTTGAGGCTGGCAGCTGATTTAGTCACTGATAGGCTGATAGTATCTCTTCCTCATCACTCTCCAAGGCGAGCAACCCACTTATCGAGCTAGCCTGTTCATTTGACGAGCCTGGTAACTTATGTTCACCACTGCTGGTTCACTGTTTTGAATGTATACAGTGCTGCAGGAATGACGTATTTTTTTAGGCTAACCTGGATGTTAGCATCACCCTGGTTCCCTCGACAAAAAGCCAATGGAATTTTTAAATGATTTTTTACCGATGCCTGCATGCTTTGTTCAGCAGGATAATCTTCACTAATGAACACCTCTTTATGATTTTTGAAGCCTAAATACAATCGCCAGATGTTAAAAGTTAATGTGAGGCTATAAATGAACTACACCAGGGTCACATGACTTCAATATCACCACCACTACACTTCCAACTCCAACAACTTTGGTTTAGCTCTGACCTCTACAAAAGCCATTCCTCCACACAGGGAGGCTGTCAAAACAAACTAGTGAGTAGATTGGTCCTCGTGTTCGGCATGATGACTTTAATGTCTGCAGTCTCATTTAGCCACTTGTTAGCATCCGATGTAAAAACTAGACATAAAAGCTTAGATTCTATGTCATAGAATAAAACCTGAAGATATCTTCAGCTAGTGTTGATAAAAGACCGTATTTCAGGCATCTAACCAAAAACCCATTCAAAAAACCCAGAGACTTCAGGATTAGGGAACCGGAAGCGGTAAAATGCAAATAATTTCCAGGTCTTAGGACGTATCCCTTCTGCACTCTATTTAGATACAGATACAGTGATCATAAGTAATGTTTGACAAAGAACTTGTCTCCTACATGTATTTAACATAGGATGAAGAATGTTGATAATCACTTTCTTTGACTTGGCAGGATTCGCTCAAGAGTGACACTGTATCAGAGACTGACAGCATGCCAGCATCACATCCAGAGGGTTTCAGCCAGATAACATCAGGGTCCAAGCATACTAAGGCTATCATAACGTACTGTCATGAACAGGGTTGGGATGTAATCTGGCATGCCGCTGACATGTTCATCTTGATCACAGGGGTGATGGTTAACGTTCCCCTGATTTGGCTGTTTCTGAAGGAAAGGAAATCCCTGTGTGCCTCAAAGGTAGGTATAGTGCTCCCATCTGCTCTGAGGCATTTTTTTATTTTATTTTATGCAACAGGTAGTTTCTGCTGGGCTGTCCAACTAAGTTAGAGTTCAAGTTCCATGCATGTTGATAGTATTAAGAAACCTCCAATCTTGTCAGGTTCTCATCAAAAGTGAAGAAATTATAAGACTAGACTAGAATTTTCTCTAAATTTTTAAATCATGTTACAACTCAAACTTCAAATTTAGGATGGAGTACGTTTCAATAAGAAAAACCTTTATTACACTAAGTTGATGCAATTAGGGCTTGACAAAGCGTCCTTTGGGGTGTATAACTTTAACAGCTAACACTAAAGGAGCTTGAATTCAACTCCAATTCAACACAAAGGAAAAGGATGCCTGCTGTTCTGTTAGCCTGGTTTCAATACATGTCGACTAATTGGACAGTTTATTGGCATTGGAAAAAATAATGAACACATACATAACAAACCATTGTCTTCCTGAACCTTTGTCTTCAGGTTCTAGGTCTGAATCTTGTCGTGATGGATCTTATCTACCTGTCTATAATGCCTGTCAACTTGATTTATGAAACTAACTGGGATCAAAGGGTCAGAAACAATCATTCAGGTGAGGATTTTGGTCGGAGATTGGCCTAGGCTTCTCCAAATAAGACTTCACTTCAACCTTGAGGGACTTGTATTTGGGGCTTCAATGAAGATCTTTTGCAAGTGAACTTACAAATTTGCGCCTTTCATCAACTGCAAACCCTAATGTCAGTGTCGACCTTCAAGTGAACAGAGAGCCAGAGTCCAAAATAGAGGAAATTTTGAATTTTATGAGCTGAGTGTTGCACAGTCCACTCAACCCTGCTCTGCCAGAAAAATACCATGACAAAAGACATGGTTTTTAATCAGTTGTGAGACAGGAGTCAATGGTAAAATGGTAAAATATGTCTCTTTAAAGGAGCGATTTGTAGGATTGACTATTGCTACATAGCCAGCGTTAGCATTAACATCTGTTTACTTACCAGTCTGGAAGAAACGTTGCAAGTTCAGCAACAGTCTTCATTACTTAACTGAGCTGTCTGCAGCAGTGAAGCAACACCAATGTTAAATCTTGTCTCTGTCACTTCTTTTCTTCTACTGGAGTTAGCATGCTAGCCAGCTCGGCCCAGCCCCTCTTGTCACTTTTCGATGGCAACTCTCTGTAGCCTCCAATCTGCCCTGGACAGGACGTATTATAATCTTGTGTCTTGTAAACGCAATCACAGCCGAAGCTCTTCAAGTGAAAATCACCACCACCTGTCAAGAAATCACATTGTACTTACAGTTCTGTTAGCGACAGGGATAGCTAGCATCCAACTGTACGCCAGCTAGTTTGGTGGGCCACCATTGCTGACCAATGCTAGTTTGAGTTATGTAGAATATTACATACAATTAGCTCCCTTGCTACATTAGTTTGCCAAGTAGCCCCACAAGTTGTCAATAAGTCACCAAGCTTCCAGCACTTCATGCTTTTTGAAGTGTCCCTTGCTGGTCTGAACAGGCACCAACATATAAAGTAAGATTTCTTTTGTGTCTCTTTGTTAGTACATGTGATCCTTCTTTTGGTTTGAATGTTTATAACATGTCCCAATAGTGTCTATATTTATATCTTACAGTGTTCAAATTCCACTGAAAGCTCACCCTGTAACTGTTTATTCAACAGTCTTTTCATCCACCTTGCAAAATCTCAACACTACACATCCAATGGAAATGGCAAGAGACACCTTCAGCATGTTCAATCTGATAGGCTGTCCCCTGCTGCTAACCTGCATGTGTTTTGAGCGCTACCTGGCAGTGACAAGACCTGTGCTGTACCTGAGAGTGAGGAAATGGGAGTACCGAATGGCTGTTTCTGCTGCAGTGTGGGCAATCACTTTGACCTTCTGTGTGGCCACAGGCAAGAGCTGTGTGAAAATTCAGCATAGAAACTCTGTAGCTAACATGGCATTATCATGCAGGTCCACTGATGAATTTTCTGTGTGCAAATAATGAATTATAAATGACTAAGTAACGAGCCAAAGAGTAGCGTATATGCTACAAAATGGCTGACTCTTCCTGAGGATAAAACAGGATGCTGTACTTCTTAAACACTGATTTCAGCATGAAAGCTCACAACAGAATGCTATATAATTAATAGATACAACAGCGACAAAATATAAGGAATGCATTAAAAAACTAAGGACATTTTTAAACTAATTTCTACATAATTACAAAAACTTACATAATTTTAAAAAGTAAAATAGTAAAAAGTACCATGAAAAATTTCCAGTGTTAAATAGAACAACTTCCCTCTATAGTTGAATTCAATGTTTTAATACTACCATTTTTATTTTCTTGTTTTTCTCACAGTTTTAGTGGATGATATGACTGTCATTATGGTGTGTGTTTCCACCATCATCTCCTGCACCTTCATCATAATGCTTATGTGCCTTGGGGCTGTGGTCTGGTCACTGTGGCAACAAAGCCCTGCACACACCACACATGGAATCGATCAACGCTCACCCCTAAAGAGACGGGCAGTGGCTAATGTGCTGGTTGTGGTGATCCCTGCAGTGATATCTTACCTCCCAGTCCTGGTGTTGTTACCTGTATATTATTTGCATGAATCACTGAATAGGGCAATGTGTAATGCTTTTCAGTTATCCTCTTTGTTCCCCGTGTTTGGTGTACTGATAGGTCCTCTATTCTATTTCTCCAAGGCAAGACAAATGTGCTGCCTAAGTGGGACAGGAAAGACATTTAATAAATAGAGACTATCAATAAACAGTGAATATGTAACTTATTGTTTCATCCCCTTCTAAACTGTTATAGTGTAAATGATCATTAAACAAAGAAGCTGAACTTTGAAATCAGTATTACTGTATACTTACATTGAAAATAATATGATCAATAGATCACCACCTGCCTGTTCACTAGAAAGTCAGCTGATGTCAGTAAGCTTGTCAACTTAGAAAATATGGCTACTCAACTGTTTGCAGTCTTTTCAGTTAGATTTCCACTGATATCAGTACAATTTTCTGTATTCTCACTAAAGGACTTATGTTAATTAAATAATCTATTCATATAAATGGTAATAACAAATAAGGAAAACAGCCAGATATTGATGGTTAAAAGCTAAATCTTTTTCCATATATGTGTGACATTTTTGTTTAGTGCCTTGTGTGATAATACCAACCTATATATGTAAAGCTTTCTAAAACACTTTATTCACATTCACAGTTTTTAAAATATTTAATTTACCAGGTATGTAGTCTTAATTCAGAGGAAAATTGTATGATATCATCAGCGTATCGTTAAATCTTATCTTATCTTGGCACCTACTAGATTTCCATTATTCCTACTTATTCCAACTTTTCTATTGTTAGCACAAATATTTAGCCTCTTGAGGAGACAGGTTTAGATACTGTATTGTTTGCATTGATTCCTCAAGGATGACATTATGCTTCCACATTCAATGTATTCTTTTACAGATTTGCTTTTCACTTACATGTTCGGATCTTGTTTTGTTGCTGTTGTGTGTTATTTGAGTTGTATGACAAGAGGTTTCTGAATAAAGTATGACTCTTCATATTTATTCCAGGATGCAACTCATATGATATCAATATGGATGAACAGCCATTTTTCTTAAAAAATAAAGACACTTTTGAGTACCTAACATTTTGTGATAATGACAATTGTTCCCATTTCCCACGTTTGACTGCATTTGTGTGTTAAATAGATATTTTCAAATGAGGAGTTATGCCTGAGATTCCTGCCTGTTGGAAAAATAACAGCTAATCATGATAGCACAAAATTTAAATTATGGTAAAGACAAAATAGAATTCATACCATTTATGAAAAATTGTTTTACTATCAAAGACTTCAACCTCCATTCCTTGTTACAGCAGATACATTGACGACAATTTGCACATAAAAATATCAGACAGACATTGTGTTTTGATAGTATCGCATATTCAACATGCTTTAGTGTCCATTTCAAATGGCACTGATAGCAACAGCAAATATTGTCCAGTACCACACTTATGCTTTTAAAGCCAAAGAGCGCACATAATGGCTGATTTCCAATTGAACCTTTTACTGTTACATGTGTTCAAGGCAACACAATCACATTATGCTTTCAAGACTAGAGGAACCAGTGATAAAACCAGAGTTTTATGTGCTGTATGAAGGCCAGTCACTGGGTTTAAAACTAAATCTACCCTCACATCCTCTTACACTGTTAATATCAGTCCACAGGACAGTTCAGGGGTCAATTTATGAGAAAATATAATTTACTTTTTTGATGAACGCTCTTTCCTAAGCCTCAACCCTAAAGAGCTGGCATTAACCAGCTGATTTTGAAGTAAGGTCACAAGGGAATAAATAGCTTGATAATATCATTCATTTGTGCCTGTAGCCCTTGCTCAGACCTTCAACCTGCCTTGTGGCTGCATTGTAGGTTTTAAAAATGGTCTCCCTGCTCTGCCTCTCCACTGATGAGATCCAGAATAGCTGCTTTTATAACAAAAAAAAAAAAAAAGTTGAGTTGCTTCAAGGAGTTTCTTTTACAAGAGGCTGTTGTGGTAATGGGACATTCAGAAATAGATAAACTGCGACATTACCGTCTCCCTAGCAACACAAATACTGAGGCTAATTTCTGTGCAGTGGTGTGCTGTTCAAATACTATTTTGGGGCAACAGGAGGGCTAACACACGAATCCGTCTAAAATATTAGCTGTTCCTTCGTTAACACTGGAAAACATTCTCACATCCATGGTGGACCTTCTACATTGTCCCAGTGTACAGTAGATTACCTTCACAGAACTGTCTGCAGTACAGTAAATATGTGATATGCGAACACACAGTATAGGCATAGTAGGGCTCAGTCCTTTAGTGCACATTCAATATGAAAACAGACAAACTTCATGGAGAAATACACCGTCTTAAAAAGAGCTATCCACTTAAAAATGTGTTTTTGCTCTATGGATACTTATTCTAGACTTTAGACAGATGTGGCTTTCACCTACCAGGTGCTTGTCATATTCTTCTGTTAAAGGGAAAGATTTCTAGTTTTGCTAAAAAGTTGAACGAACTATTTATCCTGGGACCAAAAATGTGAACAGGGTTAGAGTTAGTCAGTATTCAAGTATTTAAAACAGCCACAACGTAAAGCTTCCTCCATGAAACATGTTTCCTTGGTGGCTTTTGACAGTTGTGGTGCCAGACGTTGGTCTCCTGCAATTTAGGAATAAAAACCGTTTGACTCTCACCACATATTGTTAGACTTAGCTAGGCCTATATTTTTCTGATCAGATATTATTCTGTGCCAGATAAAGTGTATGAGAGCTGCTTGGCCTGCTCAGTAAAAGTTCCACATGGCAGCTGCAGTGTGCTAACAAAATCAGACATGCTGTTTTGAATAATTTCTGTACATAGAAACATGTTTACAATCAGCTTTACATATGGCATAGGTAAATGTGATTTGTGTGTAAACTAAAATCTTCCATACAGAGTGTAACTGGACTAGAAGTAGTCCTAGGGGGGTACAAGGAATTATAGTCGGCTTCATGTTTGCATATTCAATAGTCTGGAATTCTCAAGTACGGAGGAGATGATGTTCTTTCTAGCCTTTTTCTGTACTTACTGAATACAGTATCTGACCAGAGTAGTTTTTTTGTGGGATCTTTAAAAAACAGTAAAAGCAAAAGTAAAAAAGGGAACAACCAAATCATGTAATGACAAATAAATCATCACTGGGTTCAGAAATGCCAAAGGTTTTAGGAGTTTCTCCAGCAGCATTGTATGCAATTCTCCTCTACACCTTGGTTACTCGTTGGGGGCAGCAGAGATAGATTGTTCTGCTGTGGAAAGGCAGGGTTTAAGCCCCTTTGAGGATGCTGAAGTGTCACTAAAACTAAATTACCACAGGCTCCAGGAACACATTAACCTCACCTTTCCTTCAGGTGAGAGCCAACCAGGTAATCACAGTTACAATATTCCCTCTTAACTTAAACTTCTATCTGGTTATCTGGCCTCCTCAAGTACGACATGTTGTCCAGTTGAAGGGGGGGGGGGGCTGCAGACACAAGATGGCGGATCTCAACCATGGAGGAGACATGACTTTCACAGCAGATGAGTTCAGCTTTGATAGCATCAGTGCGCCTGTTTGCTGCTATAACACAACAACACATTATTAACAGGTTTATATCAATGTAGAGTTTAATGAAAATATTTAAGTATGAGTGGTATTTGAATATGGTATTTTGGCAGTAGTATGGTATTTTGTAGTATATGGCATTGGTTGGTGCTGTATACTTATATTCTTTTAAAAATAAAAATTAAATAAAGTATAATTTATTACTTTTTTGTACAAATTTGTAATTGAAATCTACAATTTTTGAATGGCTATTTATTCAATTTTATCATCATTATCAATATTATTACTATGTTAATATATTAATGTACTACTTTATTGCCATCCATGTTTTTTGTTGTTCAGACAAACTGAATGTGATCTCTAACAAGATTATAAAAGGGTGAACATGAAAAATCACATTCGTGAACATATTTATATGAGCATATTCAAATAAAAAAACATATGTAAAAATACTTCAATAAAATTATATTTCCAAGAAATACAATTTATTTGTCCTCCATAATTATTCCATAATAAATATTCTTGAATGTAAAATGTTCCATATTAATTTCTTTAGACCACGTTTTATTAAATCTACAGCTTCAGTTCAGATATTTAAATATAATATCCACAGAAATAGCAGTTATTTAAATCTTACTTAAATCTGAGTCTATTCCTTGGATAGATATGGATATATTACTGTTTTATTGTTAATATAGTTATGAGATCTTTAAGTATTATTGTTACCATATTGAAGATGAATATAATGTTCTAGACCTTTACAAGCACTCAATCTACTAACTTAGATGTTCAAACAAGGACCAAGGAGAGGTAACATACTAAGCGATGTCCCATCTTACCCATAATGTTACAAATAGCAGGCTATATTGGCCTTATTTACCACAACCAAATAGCTAAAGTAATAGTGAGCTACATTCTCCCAGAAAGTTTAAGTCAAAGAACTAAACAAAATAATAGAAAGAAACATTGTTTTTCCTCAATTTTCATTGAACAACATTTGGTATATCACCTCTCCTTGTTTGGACATCTAGGTTAGTGGATCACTGTGCATCAAGTTTTTAGATTCTTCTTTTTCAACAATCGAACTATGGTGCACTAATCGGCTGGGTTCGCTATTGTCTCCACACTAAAAGGACAAAAACTGCACTGGAGTCATGTATTCCTCCATGGTTGAGGTCTACCATCCTGTGTCTGCAGCTGGTTTCTCTTGGATCCAGTGGGTTCGCTTGTGCAAGGCCAGATCAGTCGGTCACAAAAATGAACAACTAAATGCCCAAGTTCTCTGCAAATGGCAAGAAAACGGCACAAGAGATCGCAGAGAGGCTGAAAGTCTGTGCGCCCCCTAGAAAGGCCAGTGTAAGTCCTCAAAGTCCCCCGATTGACCCATGTTTACATCCGTCTCCAACAAGCTCATGATGACGGCCATGGCTGCCTCATCACTGCTGAAGCTGCTCAGGCCTGGCACCACCATGCTGTCCAGGTCTAGCTGGGACGGCTCACCTGGGTGAAACAGACCAAAGAAACAGGATTTCAGGGTTGAAGGTAAACTGCTGAATATAATTTGTCTGTGATGAGCGGTCTCTTTTTATTTGGTCATGTCTTGTTTTTAATTAACTCATTTTCCCTTGTCCTGCCTTGTTCACTTGTACTTAAGTTGCTGATTTGAACAGAGAAGGGTCCAACCGCATGTCGGTAGTAGGGTCCCTAGGCAGGAGGTGTGTCGCTTTCTTCATACTCCATAAACTTTGAAAGAAACACACTAAGTAGGATGTTTAAGCCTTACTGGACAAACACTATAGCTTAATCTTCAGTCTTTTTTGTGGATGTATCCTAGCTAACATTAGCATCTAAACATTAGCAAGTGGAGGAAAAAACACATAAGAATTCCACTGAATGCTAGCACTAAACATTGGTTAACTGCTGTTAAACATTAGCTTGTTGTATAGAGTGATATGCATTTGTCACTAAAGTTACAGTACAGTCGCTTTGGAAAATATATTTTTTTAATTTTTTAATTTTACGTGTACATTTTGCACAAGCAATTCTCTGGAATAAAACACAGACATTGATAACACACATGAAAGAATGCCTTGATCATCCTGGACTAACAATCTGTGTTAGCTTCTCCAAAAGGCTAACATCACATGCTCTTTACCTAACGTTTATTTAGCCAAGTGAGCTAGCAACTAACATTCACTTAGAGCATTGTTGGATATTTGAGCGTTTTGCATTAATTATTCAATTTGGATTTTGGTGTTATTGTTTTTATTATGTCATACAGAACTGCATTCATACTGCATTTGTGTCATCTAATTGGATCAGCTGATGATTAGGGGCCTGCAGCTGTGAAATCGTCAGTGGTGTCAACAATATAAAGTGTGCATGAGTTCTTTGCTATAATATGGTACATATGATATAAAATGCAGTTTTTTTGGAGACTTTAGGCCCGGTTTCATGAGTGTGGCACATTTCTTTGCAGAGATGTAGATAAAGTTGGTTTGAATTTACTATCCTGTTGACAGTACCTGTACTTTCAGAAGCTGCACTGCTAGCGCCCGCTGCTGTCCTCGAGTCAGACTGGGACTGTGATGAACTGCCTGCTGCGTCCTCTCTGCTGGATGCCTGGAAAAAGCCATTTTACGCTGAAACACTGCACAGGAGCCCATCTCCTCCGCTGAAGTGTGTAATTCAACTCAAGAAAATGGGTTGTAGAAGCAGACACCGTCTTAATTCCTTCTACACATTTTCTCCTACATTTGAATAAAGCCTTCAGGTTGACAGAGACATGTAAACATGCACTGGTGGAAATACAGCTCAGATGAAACGATGGAATCATTCAGTCCTCAATTTCATTTGGGATTACTACCTAACTATCTATTAGTGGTAACAGTGCTTCATAATATTGTAGCATGAGGTTGTGAACTCAATCAATAACCCTAACCCTGTGCAAGCTGCTTCCAAATTATGCGTCTGCATCACCAGAACTCCCCTTGTCACTATTCATTTGTTTGGAAATGTACAACGTATGAGAGACAGCTTCCATTTCCACATAAATATCACATAGAACTAAAGTTAGCATAAAATTTCATGTCTCTATACAAAAGTTTTGCATTAAAAAACTCAAAGAACATATAAACTCCATAGCCATGCATTTGAATTAAACCTCCTTATGCCACTAAAATTGACAGCAAAATCCTAAATACTGTAAATGTGCTGTAATTCAGGTCACTCACACTCCTGCTGGTATTTGGGGACACCAGTGGACATTTCTCCTGGACCGGGCCAAACGGACTGGAAGCTCCGCTCGATGGAGACGAGTTCAACCTGCTCAAAAATACAGGAGCAAATATATATATATATATATATACATACATATACATATATATATATATATATATATATACATACATATATATATATTTATCTTAACCCATTTCAACCCTTCTAATATAAATAATGATGGAATACTACCATTTCTGTTGAGTTTAATCATTTTACACACACACACACACACACACACACACACACACACACACACACACACACACACCACCTGTAGGAGTCGATGAGCTCATTTGCGATTTGGGTCCCTATACTGCCTGCGTAGATCATTGGGCCCAAACCACTGGAAAGGCCAGGAATTACAGGTATATGCTTTGTGTCTTCTGTGGAAGAAGAAAACAGTAAAAATCAACATTTACATTAGAAAAAATAAAAAATAAACATAAATGCCTATTTGAATACAGTCTGTATTTCTTACCCTGAAGTGCTTTTGAGCTGCCTGCCTCCTCATCATCCTTTGTGTGACCAGGCCCCCTGCTGGTGCAAAGGAGTAAATATGCTGCTTCATGCATCAATAAACTGTCATTTATGGCAATATGATGAACAATGTGGGAAAATAACAGGAAATCAACATTAAAAACAAAAGGTTTTGGACAATCAGCATCAATTACACTTTATCAGGGTTGTTCCAAGAGTATGTAACACCTCCGTCCTATAGTATTTTTTACTATATCTGATGTGTGAGATAAAAAAAAAGGTGCAACTTAATGACATCCTCATAAATGCATCAATACTTACGAGATGACCCTGTTTGAAGACACGATAAACTCAACTTCTTTGGTCCATGGATTTGTGAAATTAAACCACTGACTTTGCAGCGAAACATAGGAGCCATATTTTGTTTTGAACTTGTAACACTGCGTCTCAATCTTCTCTTTGCTTCGAAGAACTGCCAAGAGTTTGGATGCAGGTGTCAATCACAAAGCACAGTGGAAAATTACAAAAAAAAAAAAAATGTTGTTACACTGGCGTACGTTGAAATTACTAATCATTAGAAAAGTTCACATTCTTGAACTTCTACATGAAAAAAAAAAATCTCATCATTTTCAAACATCATGGACATCTCGTTTTGAGCTACAGTTATCTGAGCTCAGTTGTAAATTTTGAATCAGATATGGGTTTCAATTTGTCAGCAGCGGCGGCTTTGCTCCATCACCTTGCCTGTGTTTCTCTGCGAGGTGCTGCAGGTCGTCCTGGTGGAAGTACTCGTAACACGACGTGCCAAGAACTTCCTGTGGCAAATAACCAATGACTGTTGTGGCTCTGGGAAAAGAGGATAAATAGGTAGTTTAGATATTCTCGTTTACTCCCGTCTCTCCCGCCATGCCGTGCCGTCCCTCAGGATTGTGTCGAAACAGAGACAGTGAACATGGAATGACAGTGGATAACAGTATGAATGAGCCTCTCCGCATGTCATCACCCAGCAGTCACACATATGGGAAATTTGATAAAATGATTCACTATACTTGTGGTGTGAAATTACTTCCCAAAAATGAGAAGAGATGTGATGTCATCAAGATGCACACCTCCTTCTGAGGAACAACGGCAAAGACAGAAAGGATTATCTCCACTGCCAAAACTCATGCTATACACTGAGAGGACTCCTCGCCACAACACGCCTCAGCCACACCTTTCTCAGCAGAACCGTGTCTTTGGAACAAATCCGCGCCTCGCGACAGAGAGATAAATGGTGCAGATGCAGTTAGTTAGAATTGGGAAACTCACTGTTGATCTACAAAAGTGAACTTGCCGTCGATCGCACAGCGGGTGATGAACTCAGTGGGCTTGACGTTGATGTCTTTGGAAGGGTGGTGGGGCACGTGAGGGTGGAGGCGGCACACCATCACCAGGCAGGTCAGGTTTGGTTCTTTCTCGGAGTCGCCCTCCGGGTCCAGCTGGCTGCTCGGCCAACTCCGCATGTATCCAGTGCAGTGGAGGGTACAGTATCTGTATGTGTCTGTGGAGAGAAAAACAAGCAGGCTGTAAACATTTGTAAATAACGTCGCAACTACTGCCTGGAGAACTGCACGTATTACTGCAAACAGGATCACAAAGGGCACAGAGGATTTCATTTTCTGCTGTTTTATACACAAATGTTATAGATACAGATAATGAATTTCCATATATGAAATAAATGTACAAATAAAATATAAACATATGTAAAAGTTATATCTGTAACCCATTTATATATTGACATTTATGTCTAGCCAATACAAAAATGTATGTTTAAGTATGTATGCTTGTTACATAAATATATATCCAACCCAAAGCCTGTCGGTATACTGTATGTTGACATTATACACAGGGTCTAAGACCACTTTTCCCAGAATGGGAGGATAGACATGTTTAAAATTGATGAGAAATTAATAAGAAAAACATATAAACATGTTCAATTTCTATATGTGTGTTTTAATGAACTTACATATAGGCTATAATTAATTGAATATCGTTAACATTTATGGTTGCAGTATGTTATACCATATAAAGACTGTGTAAAAATGTGTAAAAATCATATAGATGTTTTTAATATATGTACAGATACAAATTTTACTATTGGTGTTTCCTACGTTATAAACTTCAACATCCCGCTTGATATAGGGACATTGACTTTTACATTCTAGGAACGTGGTCTCAGACTTCTGGACCCTACTGTATATAATATCAACATATACTGACAGGCTTTGTAATGTATATATATTTATCTAACATATGTCTACAATATAAGTATATATACATAAACATGGGCTTGAAATATATGTCAATGTATGAAATTGTTCCAATTTTTAATATATTTCATGTTTCATATATAGTTTTTACATATGTTTTTATTTTATATGTACAAATATTTTTATATATGGAAATTCAATATATGTACATATATTACATTTGAAAGCTGCAGTAATTGGTCACTTTACAGATTAAAATTTTACATTTAAAAATATAAAATTATAAAATACAACATTGTTTAAGATTAAACATATCATTTCCAAACTTTTATAATCATGGCCCTCAACAGAAAAGCAGAAACTGGTTGGGGCCCCCTCTTGTTTCAGGAAAACTCGACATAAATGAAACAGAACTTTTACTTTTGATACTTAAACTACATTTTGCTGATAATACTTTGTGGATAATATCACAAGATTTACCCTTCAATTTTTACTTATTAAAATAAACTGCTTTTCTGAGATTAACAAAACATAAATAAAAATAAAAGTCTTTTAATTTATTTTTTATTTAATAGAGTCATTCTGATCCATCTACAGTGTATGACAGAAAATAACTGATTATTATGGGACCCTGGCATTTTAAAGCTCATTTCTGCCCTTCCTTGTGCGCTGCAGTGCAGTTACTGAGTTTTGCCACCGAGTGGTGCCAAACCTTTCTGCCACCACAGTTCAGTTTACAGTAAGTGGGGCTTGCACCATCTTCTTACTTTGAGGTTATACAACGCTGTAACACTGACCTACTTCCTGTGCCGAATAACACGTTTTAAATTGTGGCATCTCTTTGGAAAAAAAAAAAAAAAAAAAAATAGTCTTCATCCATCCCTGAATTCTTCCCACTCACTCTGTAAAACTGACCCGCATTGAGAAAAGTTAGGAATACTAATTTTTGTGTACAAAAAAAACTGATTTATTTAATTATAATTCTGCATGTGAGCTGTGGAACATGAATGCAGCTCAAGAGATAAGGAAGTCATTTGTGTTCCTTCTTTCCATGGAAATTGAGGTCACATCTTGCCATAGGTATAGAGGTTAAGGCTCACCTACTTACATTCAACCCCAGCAAACTGTTGCCAACAGATGGAGAGAGGGGGAGAAGCGGTCACGACCCAACCGCATCCTCATCCACCTCCTCACCAGATCCTAATCAGATCATTTCTTTATTTCCTCCTGGGCAATCTAGGCAGGGAACAAATCTTTGTTTTCCACCAGCTGCCTGAACAGAAACCTCCATGCAAGAAACACATTTACATATCTTATTCATCTTTAGATAAGTACTCCTCAGTCCTCCTTCTCATCTGTTTGGGCCAAAGTGGCCTCAACTGAACACAGCTAAATACACAAAACAGAATACTTGTCCTGTCCTTTTGAGAAATTGTTTGTCTCAGTTGAACCACCTCAAGCACTCAAGAGAACACATATGAAACCATCCAAAATTAGCACCATTTCCTTGGCACCTATTGTCTTGGCTTCAGCAGCACATCCCTCCCACCTGGTACTTCCAGTGGAGTAAAGTGTTAACTTGAAAATAGGATGCTGTGTGGAGCAGCAGAACCAGATCAGTGTAGCTGGTGGTCATGTGAACAGAGGCTGTGAACTGCCTGTGCATATTGATGTAGATTGAAGCTTCATTCTTTAATTATGTGGCTTAATAAGATTATAAGAAGTCCTGCAACCTCTAGAGTAGCACTGTGCTTGTATTAGCCGATCAGCATCAGCAGCTGTTTCAATCAGTCGTTCTCGAGCTGAGTGGCAATCAGGGGCCATCGTAACCCGATACTCCTCACAGTACATCCTACTCAAGTGTTATATTTGCAATATTGATTATTGGTTCTTGCATGTTGATTGCTAAGGAGTTGAATGCCGAGATGTGTGAACCCACCTTTCTTTTTGGAAATACTGGGCAGCGAGCGTTTCTCCTCCTGCTTCCCCGTCACCCGACTGTGCTTCATGCGGCAGAAGAAGGATCGCCGAGACCCAGTTGACAGGTGGGACACCCTGGCGGGGGAGTCCGCCTGGACCTGAGCTCCAGCTGCACACACACAGACGGACACACAGTGCTCACTCTCAGATGGTTTGAATTGAAAATCATTTAGCTCCAATGCTGATCTTCCACACTGGGTTAGAGTGCCCCTTCATGTCTGTTGTGTTTTCTCTCAAAGAGGAAAGTGTCAGGTTTTGTAGAGTTAGGACCCAAGTGCACACCAAACACAAAAGACTGGGCTGTTTGAGTTAAGTAATTTATTAAACAAGGAAAAAAGTCTTACTCAATGTAGAAATAAATCCAGGCTGGAGAAACAAAAGTCCAAAAAAATGAAAACACAAGGAGACAACTTCAAAAGGGCAACCAGGAATACAACAGGAAGATAGGATGAACTGACAGACAAAGGCGAAGACAGAGACTTAAATACACAAGGGAATGCAAGGGGAGTAGAACTCAGGTGAAACACATTAGGGCGCGGCAGACAATCATTAATGAGGGAAACAGGACAAAGAGAGGAATTAAAATAACTACCAGACACTCAAGGGAAGTAATTGAACAATAAAACAGGAAATGAAACCAATGTCCAAACATAACAATCCAAAAGCTCAAACATAAATTGTCAGTCAGGGCAAACCATGACAGAAACACTAGCGAAGAGACTTACTTGCCGCGTCGATGAGGCGTTGGCGGGGGTACATCTCTGAGGACGACAGCTGCTCCTTCACCTTGTTGATGTCTTTGGGGTGGATGAAATCAAACAGGCTCTGCCCAGTCAGCTCCACCTGTGAATCCCAACGACATATCTGTTTACTCATGTCATACTGTCAGATTTGCTTTGATTCTGCATTACAAATAAGAAAAACTAAACCACCACCATTTGCTTACATGAGAACATGTGTTGTTTGCTCAGTTCTATTTATTCTCATTGCATCAAAACCTAATTTGAAATATCTGGAGACATTTGCGTACAGTAAATGTATGTGGACTGTTACAGAGCGCTCTGAATACAACCTGAAAGAGAACTGCTGCAGCATGTATCCATTCGTTAGTCATTTACTGCTAAGCCCTCAATAGCACATGCTGCCCTGCAGACACGGAGTCAAATTTCTTTAGAAGCTCTTCTCTTGTATCCCTCCTAATCTCTGTTCCTCTCTACAGAGCATCTCAAAGCTGGAAAATGTGGTCAAGAATATAGAGCAGGTGTGGTTATCATTCTGGCTGCCAAGCGCTTTGAACTGACTTTCAGAAAACGTATAAAAGCTCAGCAACTGCCAGAAAAATGCAGAAAAATAAAAAAAAACAAAACAAGATGTGACCTTGATTATTAGGTTTTACTTACAGAGCTATCAGACCTTCATCAGGGCTGTTTGTTCTCTGTGAAGACTGAGTCGTAAAGATTTGGTTTGCCAGCCACAAAAGGATGATGTGGCAACAGCACAAACTAATGCACATGCTGGGAGCAGATGAAGAAGGGACTTTTATCTAGAGCCCCGAAAACTGGAAAAACGTAAAAATAATCAGAAAAGTCAAGAATATACCTGAATATATGAACAGATAATTCTGTTAGTTAAATAATCAAAATGAAGCATGAAAATATAAAGCTTCATACTTTTCCTTTAACCCCTCACCAAAAAATGTTTTTTATTTTTTTATTTTCAATTATCTAACAAACTATATGAACTACTTTTGTCTCACCTGATAAACTTTCACTACATTTGGTCAGTTTGGAACAATGTACTTTTATGGCCTTTTTGCTTTGGGTGATGTTCAAAAGACAGAAAAACAAAAAAGGTACAATTGCACATTAATGCTCCATATTTTTCTCTTCTCCTGTGTTTTATTTGAAGTGTTGATCCATAAGAAGATATATTTGTGGTTTTAAGAACCAAAAACCATCTCAATGTAGTTTTACATCTCCTCTCTCAGGCTTCTCTCTGGAGCGCTAGTAACAACAGACCAATCAGAAGAGAGGAGGCTCTGATCCTCTCCTCTGATTGATTGACTGTTTTCTGAGTGATCCAATAAAAATATAGCAGATTTCAGGTAAACAAGCAGAGAAACCAAATCCTGCAAGGTTGGATGGTGGGTTCAGGTGGGTGGGGCTTGGGGCATGGCTCAGGGCAGTGACTGCTTTGTTGTGACATCACAAAGTTACAGAAGTCCTGACGGCTGGTTTTAAGGATCAGTTCCTGATTACAGGCTGTGTGCATTTCTCTGTGGACTGAGGCTTTGATACTTTCACAGTATTAATATAGAACCTAGACCTGCTTTATAATCAAACAACACATGGACATCTACCCTTATACTATATGGGACCTTTAATTAAATGTTGTGCAACTTCACCAGCTGCAACTTTGGTTTTTAATATCCATAACATGACGACAACAGCAAAGTGAGTGTGTGATGTAGTGCAGCGTCGGTAAAACACACCCGACTAAAGTTGAGGATCTTGGAGACGGACTCAGAGATGAACAGGATTTTCGCTCGGTCACAACTTACAACTAACAGGAAACTGTCTGCAGCCTGGGAGATAGATAGATAGATGGATAAATAAATGTACGTATTAATAGACAGACAGATAAATGTATCATCAAACGGGATTCGTTGTGGTCGCACATGAGCAGCTACCCTGAGCAGAAGGTGCCTGAGGTCATCATGAGGCAGGATGGAAGGCTTGTAGGCGGTGTCAGTAAAGGCGCTGCTCGTCCCAGCTGAAATCACGGCAGATAAGAGGATTTTAGACGGAGCAGAGGAGATGTTACTGACATTTTGATTTACGCGGTGGGTTGAGAGCTACCTTTGAGGGCTTTCAGGTGTTGGACAGCCTTTCGCAGCACAGTGAGTTTGTCGAGTTTTCGAGCCATGGGCTGACAGGCAGGGATCATGGCAGACAGCTCGTCGATGAGGTTGTTCATTTTATCTCTTCGCCGCTTCTCGATCTGGCGGTGAGGCTCCCTGTAGGTAATATCCAATAAATATAATAAACCTATACTGCATATCTTGAACTGAAGATGGTTGAACTGCTGTATCTATCATTGGGGACAACAACATCACACAAATGAGACCAATCAGAGCCACCAAGGTTTTTTTTTTAAGACACAGATAGCAGATTAATTTGATATACAGTAGAGTCACCTGAAGCATTTCATTTTGACTTGCTGATCGTCTCCTTCAGATCTGCAAATAGAAAGATCAAAATCAAATTCTTTGCCGGAATTCCCTCAGAAGACGGAGTGTGAAGAAAGACAAGAAGTCAGTGTAGGCCTACCTGCTGAGGTCATCTTCCATTTGAAAGTCGAGGCTTTGCCTGTAATTTAATGTATAGGAAGAACGATGTATGCATTGCACCACATGGTAATCAAACTGTATTTACTCCAGAGAAAATAAAGTAAGAAGTCATCAAAACAACAACATAGCACTCCTCTTACTGTACATGGGTGTCTGACTTCTCCACAACTCCCTTTCGTTTCCTTGGCAGCTCGACAGCTGGCAGCGAGGGGCCGGCCTGGCTCGCTTGGCCTTTCTCCTCTTCTGCAGGATCTGATACATGAAAACAACCGTCACGGGGATGTGAGAGACTGTAAAGAAATACATCAGCCTGCAGATCTCCATATTGCTGGCTTGTCAGATGCTCCATTAATAATTCACCATGAATGAATTAATGAGACTCGCTCTGCCGCTGGGGTTTGAGAGGTTTGTTGCACATATTGAGCAGCAAACAAAAAGAGTTCACCAAGAAGCACGATGCTGGTAAGACTGGTTCCTATCAACTATATGTGCTAATGCCTTGAAATATATAATACTGTAATATAGTGAGTTTTATTCTATTTTTAATTGGTGGCAAGTCAGACCTGAACCGCATCACAATAAAAAAAAAATCAATGCACCTTTAGGTTATGTATGACATCTTGGGTTAATAGCTGACAGTGACCGAAGCTGCGCCTGTAATTATGATGTGACGTACAGTGGCGATGATTACAGGTTACTGCGGCAATTGTTACACTCTGATTGTTTTGAAAATATTCATAAATATTTATGTTATCATAGGACTGTTGCACCTAATTAATTTGATGCTAATCATAGCAGCTTTGTCTGTGACATTTTAATAAATAGAAAAAACAATTATTACTGTCATAGAACTGAAAACATTTAGAACTCCAAAACCCTACAGAAGCAAACTCTCAGTTTTTAGGTCATACCTGTGAAACTTCGCTTTTTTATATTGAAACTAAGGTGATTTTGGCACAGCTTTGTTACAACCTTTTTTGTCCTAAAAAGCCAGACAGGATGACTCATGGAAGTGTTTGCCAGAGTGGGTGGCAACTATTTTGAAAAGCCTGATATCTGACACAGGATTGTTGAAAAGCCAAACACATTTCTGAGTGCAGGACTGCCCGAATTCCTCTCTTTCTCTTTCGGCTTTTCATTTCTATTTAGTCTCTCGCCAAACCCACATCCCCCTCTCTCTCCCTCTCCCTCACACACACACACACACACACACACACACACACACACACACACACACACACACACTCACACACACATACACACACACACACACACTCACACTCACATACACACACACTTAAAATGCCTTGGCTCAGTCCTGCTCTCTAGTCATCTGTTTCTAGGCAAACTCTCAATGCACTGTCTCAAGCTTGCCATTGAACGGCGCCAAACCTCCAGCTATTTTTTGCCCTTTGTCAGTTTAAAAGGCACGTGAGAGCAAATGGGGTTTGGGCTATCATCTTACCTAATGCTTTCATAATGCTGTAACATTGACCTACTTATCTCTCAGGACTCCCATACTTTAAATTGTGTCATTCATTTGGGGGAAAATAAAATGCAGATAAACTGTGACTGTTGACCATGACTGACCCATTTTTTCTGGCTTTTTTTCTCCAAGGGAGAAAAAGTAATTGTTAATAACATTAAACTTTTAGTAATCAACATTTCTGTAAAAAACAGAAATGTTTTTTTTCTGCTAGTTTGATAATATTAACTGGGACACTTAAAATAACTGCATTTTTTAAGCTTTAAAGTAGATTTTAATGTTTATCCCTCAACATTTGCACAATATATAAATAATAAATCACACTTTATTTAAAGTTAGCTAGAAGGAAACCTGTCGGAGGGGTAATAGTGACCCTTTCCATAGGTACAAAAGTCAAACTTCACAGACAAACATTAGGCTTTTACAACTTTTTCCATTCAATCAGCAGTGAAGTGAAATTTAATGTTATCGACACAATTTTCTTTAATCCCTCCAGAGGAGTTTAGTGGGTCATCACTGACGCAAAAGTGGAATGTGGGAGTGCGCGCTTGCCGGCTCTCCCTTCCACCCACCGCAGCAATGATGCTACACAACACACTGCCTCCGAGGTCCCACAGTTTTTCCCTTTTTCCCTTGTTAGTTAGTCAAGGGCTATTTCATCTGCTACCTGTGCCAGCTGACTGATTAAAATGTGCCATCTTGGAAGCAACAGTGCCCGCTTTGTGCGGTCAACGTTTCCCGAGTCACGCGAGAGCTAAAAAGCACCAGTCGTGACACGAGTGCTGACGAGAGGCCAAGCCTGCAGGGCAGCAGATGACATACCATAATCACTGAAACACAGAAACATAGACCACCACCCGCGGAGGAAAAGCAAAGGAGTGTGACAAACTCTGCACGCACGATATGAGCCACATGAACTACTTTATGGCTCTAGCTTTTATATGCGTACATTTAATCCCACTTGAAGTACTTGGTGGTATTCAGTAATGGAAAGTGAGAGTGTATATGGCCTGATTTGGACTATAGATGTGACAGATAGCCAGGAAAGCACAGCCACAGCAAAGCACAAGGCCAATAAATGGAACCACAAATATGCGACAAACTTTACAGCCGAAAGCAACAAAGATGTTTTTAAGTGACACACTTTTTAATGCTATTAAAGTCATTTCAAACCAGCAGTCAGGATGAAAATGTCTTGCTTTAAAATCCCACAAAAACAGAGCAGGCGCAGCTATTTGGGTGTCTCCTGATTCTACCTTCAACACACACACACACACACACACACACACACACAAATACACATACACAGAAACACACACATACACACACACACACGCACACACACACACACACACACACACACACACACACACACACACACACACACACACACACACAATAACAGGTCATGAAAGGTAAGCAGAGGATGTTAAGCAGAGCGTCCAAACAGCATAAATTACAGAGACAGTCGAGGTTGAACAGCCACAGTAAAGGTCTGAATACAAGCTGTGCTTAAAATTTTACCACGTGACTGAAAATATGAAACTTTTAGTATAAAAAACAAAACAAAACAAAAAAAAAACTCCAGCAAACTGGAGAAAGAAAGAAGTTGTGGTTTGAAAGTAAGACACAGTTTGACATTCTTGAAGGTGTGAGCATTACATCTGTATTTCCTTTTTTCTGCAGCTAAACACCAGAGCTGGGTTTCCAAAACATTTTTGTACACTTTGAATTGTAAATGTTGGTCTTACAGGGCTGCAGTCATAATACTGAACAAAAATCTTGCAATTTAGCTGAAAGATGGCAGACAGTAAACAGATTAATAAAAAATAAATCTACAAAAAATGTACATTTACATTTACAGATGTTTTTTTCTATACAGTTTCATGCTTTTGTAAATATACACTGACAAAGTACAAATAAATACAAACATAAATTACCACATGTTAGCGTCTAAAATATGTTTTTATTTATTTTAAAAACAAAACAAGCAATCTTCCAAATCTGAGTCAATACTCATGTAATAATTTCTATGGTACTTTTTAGACTGGCAGGTAACTTCTGCTTTACAAGCTTCATCGTCCTATTTTAAATATACTGACTTCATTTGTATAGTTTAGCAGGGATATATCATCTTGGAAATAAAAATATATATATACTCATATATTGCTCATAAAGTTGGAATAAAATATTTTTTTCCTTTGTCCATGAAATGATTGTGACAATGTGATTTATTTCATTTCACCTGGGTAATTGGGACACATAATGTAATCACTGCACCTGGTCAAAAGTGATTACTGATGCATTTAAATAGGAATAAACAGAGGATTGTGTCTGAAAACAAAATTATTATTATTATAATTTTATTATTATACACAAGGTCCCGTCTCAGCTGGTTTATACCCAGGCTATTTACTGCACACTGTTTTAGAACCAAAAACACTACAATATGCGAGTTTTCAGAAACAGGAGTTTTGGAGAATGACTTTAATCAAAGGGAGGAACCCTCCACGTGTCTTACTGTAGTATTAAATAGGCTACCCTGGAGCGTTTTAGCTAGTGTCTGTATTTGTTTTCATTTGTGTTTCGTTCTATACTACATTGTAATCTTTTATGTTTAGCGCCGCAGAAATTCAGCGGCTTCTAATCTTTAGCCGATGGCCAATTATCAATGCAACCGAACGTACACAACCTCTGACTGCACTGTATGTTTTGTGTCTCTTTTAGCTAGTTTGTTAGCATTGCTAGCCATTTGGATTATTTGGACGCTTTTTGCATCAGTGAGTTTCACTCTTTGTAACTTTAAATTGTAGAGATTTTTAACAGTTAACTTAGTAAAAATAAAAATAATACTTCAACACTTCAAGTGAGGTAACTTTTCCAAAGCTGGCCCCAGTGAGCATGCAGTTGCCCTCAGTTTCTCCCACACTACGAGACAGAAGAGCAGGGAGTGGCTGTCTACAGCAGGATGCCATACATTTGAAACAGTCATATGCAGTCGTGGCTGTAAGTGTATAATATGATCATCTTCACCCCCAAAAATATCCTCACCTCACCTTCTTTCAAATTACAACTATTAAGCATTTATCACATCTAACTCAAACAGCCAGTCTGCACACAGTGTTTTTCAAAAGCTGCATTCACACAGCTGTTTCGCACAACCCTCAGACGCAGGCATACTCAAGCTCGTCCTTTTGTTCATACTGAGCCCGTGTTGGTTTCAAGGCCACAGTTTCAAGCTCCATCTGCAGCACCAGGATCTGTACCCTTTGCAATTTTATTAATCCATTAGTGCTCCGTGTTCAGACCATTAATGTCCACCTATGTATGTAAACAGTGACTTGCTTGCTCTGTCGTCACTGCACTTCCATTTGTGACTCTTCCAAAATGCAATATCACCTAACCTCTAGACTTTTTTTGTACAGTAATAGTATAGTTAGGGCTCTTTGTTGATTCAATTTTTTTTTTTTTATTAAATGCCAATCTAAACTACAAAGAGACACAAAATCACTACAAAGAGACACAAAATGACGGCAAAGAGGCAAAACAACAACAAAGAGACACAAAATCACTACAAAGAGACATAAAACAACCACAAAGAGACACAGAATTAGCAAAATCTCCTGTCCGCTGAGTTCAGCTGCAGTTTTCTCAGCCAACAGCGGCACCTCAGAGAGTTCATTCAGGGCGTCTTGCTCCCATGTGGGAGGGGAGGGGTGAGGGGCCTTTTACGTGTCTGTGTTCAGGGTCCCGTTGTCTTGTAATCTGTGTCCGGCTGCAGGCTATTTGGAGCTACTAACAGCAGGTATTTATTGATGTTATTTCATATTAGAAGATTTAAAGTTGTTTATTTTGCATTCATTCATTACAATGAATACATAATGAAAAGTGTTTACACATTTTTACTCATTTCACAAATGCCCCCCTTCTCTAAAACTGTGCCCCTGCTACTATAGCAGCAGTGGTATGGCAGTGTATTCAGTAAGTGGAGTGTGTAGTTTTTTTTGTAAGAGAAATCCCTCACACTCAGTGATAATGAATGATTTTACGGCGTGATAGGTGAGCACACATACTTTGGAGGACACTGTCTACAGGGCTTTTGTGTAACTGGGCCACATGTACAACATAATCAAGTTAAATGTTTCTGGTTCTCACCTCAGTGTGACATATGATTTTTTTAGTGTTATCTGAGGCCATTCATATAGTCATATTACGCCAGAGCCCAATGTTTCCATTTGCTTCTTGGAGCACAATTACAAGTATTGTGGTTCTGCGTGGATGCAGAGAAGGCAGCCTCAAATCCTACATTTCTAGTACAGTATGTTCTAGGTTATTTCTGGTTGATTGACCTGTGGTTTCTTGCAGCACCTCAAACCTGTATGTGCACGCTTGCAGGATGTTTTGCAATATGAGACTAGCACACAACGTATTCTGTTACAAAGCAGCCGCATTTTTAGATGATATTTTCAAACATTTTGTTGCTATATTTCTTTTAAAAATAAAATTGTAGGCTATTTGTTGTGTGTCAATTTAAATACTTTACTCATGTCAAATGCAGAAATAATCAACAGTCACGTTTGTAAGAGGCTCTAGGTGAAATGTTGTGTTCAAAAGTCTGTTATCCATTCTCATGGAGATATGGGGCTATTTTCTGAACATTTTTGAAATAATGCCACTTAAATATTTCCACTTTGTGAGAGCTTCCTGGCAGCTACAGTTACCAGATTTGTAGGCTAAACCTGAAAAACAGAATCTAAAGAAAAAAACATTTGCAAGTTGACTCTAACATCAGTAACATGGGACTTCAGTGAGGTTTGAGTCTCCTCCCCAAGTCTGGACATAAAAAATGATTTTATTAAAAATGAATATAAAAGCTGTCTGTTTTCTGGTCAAAGCATGAACTGTTGGTGCATTTTTAATATTTTGATCATCTCTTTTTAAATATATTTTAACATTTTTTACTGTTGTTGAAATTGTATTTTTTATTTGTACAGCACTTTAAGCTGCATTGTGTGTATGAAAGATACTCTATAAATAACGTTTATTATTACTATTATTAGTATTACTGACATTTGATAATTTTTTCCACTGTGAAAATCTGTTACTTGTAGTACATTGTAACTGACATGAATTTAAGGTGGCTACAGTATTTCCAGACATTAACTTTAATAATACTAAAACATCACAATCAATATGTCGATATTTGCATCCAAGATTTGGTAGCTTTAATCTTGTTTTTTAGAATTAAAAAAAACAGTTGGTATGTGTGCCTGTGAAAGATAATGGGAGAATGGGGAATAAACTGCTAACTGATGCTGTGCGTTAATAGTTAATTTGAAGGATTTTACATGCAAAACATTCCTTGAGCTCATAAATCATAATTCAGTGCTAGAGTTTAAACAACCAACAGCTATAACATTGATATATTAAACATTTATACATCAATAATTAAACAATTTATGATAAGAATTATTTTTACCTTTGATTCTAAGGGACATTTTATTTATACAATTTTGACACAAATATTAAAATTTTTTACTTGCACTTTTAATGTAGTATTTTCTATTATAGTTTCTGATACAGGTTACATTAAATAACCCTATGAAATATTGCTTTGTGTTTTTGAGTGAGGAGGTGTGCTCCAATGCGTAATAATGAATTTATGGTGGGTCTACTGCACTTGATATTCTATTTTAATAGAATATCCGGGGAATATATTAGTGATTATTAATATTCTGATATAGTTTTATAGTGTTACTGGAACTGACTAATTATCTTTATAACATGGGAGTATTAAAAAGTGACTTCCTGGGCTGTTTTTTAAATCTCCTCCGGTATTTAATAGTTTGGCTGAGATTTGGAGCTATGGCGGCGCTGACTTCATAAGTTCCGATGGCTGACATGACTGCGGAGCCTCCTGCTCTGGTTTAGAAGCGGCGGGAGCGACTACCTCCCTCTGCTGCACAGTGAAGGCAGCGCTGCTCCACTGATCTACTGACCCACTTTAGGAAGAAGCCGAACGAGAATGAGAAAAGACCACACTGAGAAAACCTCGTGAACCACGTGACAAACTAAGCTCCCAGAGCGCGGTTTTGTGAAGTTTAGGTTAATAAAAATACTTTGGTCTGTTAGAGAAAGATGGCGCCCGCAGCAAACTGACTATATAGCTAAGGTTAGCAACACAAAAACAATATTTTGTTACGGATTGGAAAAGTCGTCGTCATGGTTACAGTCACGTGAGTCCATGAGGTGCGTAAGGAACAAAGCCCCCGCTCCAGCTCCCTCCCTGTGCGGGCGTCCCGCCGGAGACGAGCACGTAGTACAGAATAATGAATGGATAGGTTTACGCCGTTGGACTACGCGCGCGGCATGTTGACCGGCTTTCAATCGGTATTTTAGGTACAGTAGGTTTACAGCAGGCTGGTGCCGTGGCTGCTCCAGTCATCGGTGCCGCACATAGTAACGCGTTACTTTACCCGCTAGGCTAGCTTCTTCCGTTCGGCTAGGTGGTGTCTTTACAGTCGCTGTCACCATAAAGTTAAATACAAAAAGTAATTAGCAATAAACCGTTCTCGCTACAACATGGGTCGCTGTCTGCAGTCAAACTGTGGCCTATTCTGTCGTATAAAGGGAGTAAAGAAGTTCAGAACTACTTTCTGGAAGTGTTACTTCTGATTCGATTTTCCAGCCAAATGATGAGAAAGACAAAAAAAAACTGGACGAACTGGTCACTGATAATAAAAGTAGCAGGCTGATTTACACACAAACACAGTCATTGTTGTGCACTTACCTGCTGGCCTGTCCACTGTCCCATCAGAGCCACCGGCCGACATGCCTGCAGACTGGAGCCGGTGTGCCCGGTGAAGGCTACGGAGCGCCGCGGCGCATGTGGAGCTACCAGCTGTAGTAGTAATACAGTAGGGGGGGAGAGGAGGAGTGGAGGGAGCTGCGGAGAGCTGGGGTGTTGTATAATTGACTTCATTTTTGTCCTCACCCTCCTCCTCTCGTATTTTTTTTCTTGTGCAAAGGAGGAGCGCGCGGGGGGGGGGGCACCCATGTCATTTAGGAAACGAGGAAAAGAGGGAAGAGCTACGCTTTCCTCCTCCTGCCCCATCGCCTTGTTGGTTCATTCATGTCCGTGGTGTTCACTTGACAGCAGAACAGCATTTTATGAGGACAGCAGCACTCTTTTCAGTTCAGCTCGTCACACTCATGAATCAGCATCTTTCCTCTGAAAATGAAAGACATAAGCATGAAACATACATTTCTCTGCATGAAGCTGACAGTGTACTTCATGATAGACAATTAAGGCAGCACAAAATGTCTTTCAAAATTGTCATCTACGATTAAAATGAGTGTATTGGTGTGTTCCGTGAGTATTTTGTGGCATTTCATTTGATGTAATGCAACATATAAACATATTCAAATGTGTCTCGCATTTAGGCAGAACGGAACAAAATGTTCTGCTGCTGGGCATTTCCCATCACATCACAGGGCGATGTTAATTGCGTAGTAGTGGATGGGCTAACGGGAAATAAGCAATGAAATCACGTCAGTACTAATAAAAGAATTTAGAATCATATCCCTGAGTTAGTTCGGCATTGACAGGAGTGGTGATTGATTGATTCCTCCGGTGCCACGCACTTTTTGGTGACCTGAAAAAGTGCAGCGTGCGCGTCACTGATCTGACTTTGTAGGTTTCCTCCAAACAGAGCGGGAGTAAAAAAAGAAAAAGACGTCTCACTCTGTCCTCCTTTCCCGATACATAATCAACAAAATCACACTCAGCAAGGTATAAAAGGGACCATATGGAAATTGACAGAATGTTTGATTTCCTATATTTAAAGTGTTTGTTTTAAGACGTAAATACATTCTCCTTTGAATATGATTTTTGCCAAATATGTTTTTTGACAAAAAGTTATTCCCTTAAAGAAAAATTAATTTTTTTCACTGTATGTTGCATATTAGATGATGGCTTCCTACTCATGTCACTAAATCCTGCTCACATGCTCAGCATTAAGGTTGGCAAAGCAGAGAAGCTTCCACTTCAACAGATACATGTGAAAACAGCTTTATAGTGTCAAATTCTGCACAGTAAAAGGTAAGCATCTAAGTGAACCAACCATATTTTTCAGTGAAGAGGGACCTAAAGTTATTGCACCATGTTCAAAACCCGTTCTTCACAAGCAGTCAGTCATTTTGATATGCAGTTTACATATATTGATACTTCAGTTATTTCTAACATGCAACATTATTTCTGTTTCAGTTAAGGGCTGGCCAATAAGTGGGTGTTTTCCATAAATACACTTTTAACATAGTGACAATGTATAAGTTTGACTTTTATGACAACCACGGTGTAGGACAAAAATGTGACTGTCATTATTGATGGTAGCACAGACAGTCTGGTGCAATGAAGATAGTGATGAGGACAAGGCTTACAGACAGATGGTCAGGCAGGCAGGCAGACAACAGGTAACTACATAGCCTTACAAGTAGCAGACATGGAGGTCCACAGCATGAGCAGCACAAAGGAAAACACTAGCAAACTATCTGGAAACTGAATGCGGAAAATGGTGGTGGTATAAATACCAGGGAGCAGATGAGGGAAATTAGCAGTAACTGTGTAGGTGAGTTCCAGTTACAGTGAGTGGAAATAGAAAACAGGTGAGCAGGTGGATGTGGAAACAGGAAGAAAGTCCAGGGATATCTGGCGGGCGGCTGGAGTAGGGCAGGAGGCCAGTAAACAGGACTAAACAGGACAGAAATAATCACGGTAGCCAACTTTCCAACAGCTTTACACACGGCATTGGTTCTGTGAGAAAACTTCAAATGTTAGGTTTTTATGTCATCATGAATTTTTCAAATACTCTGTGATAAAAGGCAAAACAAGAGTATATTAAGTGTAATCGGTAATTATCCAAATCATGTCCCCATTTCTTAGTTTACAAAAAAAAATCAAAGTGATACATCATCTCTAATGTTGACGATCTTTGGCGCTCACCTACATAGTGTAATTCGAGACCTTTGCACGAGACTTTATGTAAGAGAGAAGACTGCACGTGCCAGCGAGAAACGTGTTGACCTATATATTATATAACTGGACGGTCACGTGGCGACATTTGGCTCGTTAACCCATTTAAAACCCGTCTGCAGAGAAAGTACACTGTCCTCGTGCACTCTACCAACCCGGAAACGTCGTAAGTGGAAGGAAACACCGATAGTGGCACTGAGTTTTAGTAGGATATTAGACATATTAATTTTAGCAACAGACTGAAAAACTACCATGAATTCATATAGCTGGTGCAGATACAGTTTTTTGTCACTAGTCAAAAAGTCATTTAGGATTTTCACGTTCCCAATAGAATTCTTTAGTATTCCTATAACTTTCTACAAATCCTACAGGGTATTCTATTCACTTCATAGGAAATATGTTTGGTTCTATAATAATTTTTTTATTAAAACTTTCACAGTCCTATTGGAAATATTTTTCTATTTGATCTTACATTACTAAAACTTACGAAAACTTATTTATATACTTCTGTGTAGCACACTCCAGAGTCAGCAGTAAAACGTAAAAGTCTAAATACCGTTATACTTAAAGCATTGTGGATTTAAATATATATATTTTTAATATCACATTGTATTAACCTCTGTAGAGTGAAAAAAAATATTCTTGACAAATATACTTCTTTCTTGATTTTAAAGGCTTTTACATATTGAAAACAACATGAGGGATAAATAGGTTTGTTTTTGTGTATGGGTCTGTTTAGTTTAAGGGGCAGCAAGTTTAAGATGTGGATTCTGTTTACTCCTAGTTTAAGTTTGAGTTGAGTTTAGTTTATCTGTGGCTTTGGATCTTGGCAGGTCGTCCTGTTTGTGACCTCTCTGTGTCAGTCAGCTCCACCCTGGCTCTCCTGAGGGGAACACCCTGTTTTTTCTTATTCCTCACAGAGGAATGTCTCTCTCTCCCTCTTCAGAACTCAGTGCTCCTGGTTGGAGTTGGTTCTGCATAGCCAGCAAATATTTTAGATGTCTTCATTTAGTCACAGATGTGTTGGTAAATTAAAAAACACGGGTCAACTTTAAAGCAAGGGAAACCACTTTTTATAAGCCAAAAACAACTATAAAAACTATGGATAAAACCCATTGCATTTTAATTTAGATCAGTTTGACATCACCTGTAAACTATTTACTGACACTAATGATTTCGTTGTTTTAGTAGGATCAATAATTAGGCTCCTGTACTACTAAAACTGGGATGTCCAGTAAAATATACTCCAATAAAGTCCTGTTAAAATGGTATTTGTGGCGTCCACATGTTTATTCTACACCAGATTGACACTAGATGTCCGAGGAATTAAAATTCAGAAAAATCAACTCTAAAGTTAAATAAAACGTGTAGAATTTAAAACAAGTAAAAAAAATTAAAAAGTCAATTAAATATAGCTACATGAAGTAGGTAGGCTATTCCTCTATTTTTGATAATAATGGGGTCATGACACCCACCTCACCTTTGCATCAGGTGCGTTTACAAGCACTTGAGTAACTCAGTAGTTGGGGTTTTCTGCAGTAACCTGATTTCTTAATGGAAACCAGAAACCCTGTCAAATTAAGAGAAACCCAGTTGACACAACTAGATTTTGAATTTGAATTTGAACTTGAATTCTTTGCCATTCGCCCACGTTACCTGGTGTATACAGGTGCAGAGCGACACAGGGATGTGATGAAACATCGCGGTGCATCCCTGTATGTACAATAATTCCATTGAAATCAAACATGACGTAATGAGTAAGTATTATGCAGTACACTAATTTTCACATATATTGGCAAGGTAAAGAAATGTTGCGCTGTAAATTCAAGGGAAATATCATCATATTAATATGCTATTGTTACAACCCAGCTTGCAATTGGGGAAGAGGGAAGCAACATAACTTGTTGGACTTGGTTAAGCAAAATTTATTCGCTAGTAATGAGGATAGCAAAGATGTGTGAGGATAACTGAAAGAGGGAAACAGGGCAAGCAGAAAAATCAAAAACAAGATACAATGAAAAGAGGACTCAAACTAAACGTGAGTTGCCAATTTTACTGTAAGCTAAAAATAAAATGAGAAACAAAAACCCTTCTGCACTCTCTTTAAAAAAAACCAGAAGCACCACCAACAAGCTGTAGTCTACCTGTGATGCAATCAGTTTCGGGTAAAACCACAATTTGGCCCACTTCCCTTCAATACAACCTCTATTCCCCCGCCGCGCTTTTTAAAGATGATTTTAAAGCAGTCACGTCCATTAAACAGACATAAGTTTTTAAATCATTTAATATAAATTATCTATAAAACTAAAAGGTTTTAATTTCACATGGCAACTGTAAGGTTATGAAAAGTGAGCCCATTTGTAAGACCCGGAGCAGCTGAACAATGCACTGATGTGTATGAAGAGCGCCCTCTAGTGACAAAACACAGCAACAACTGTGCTGCTTTTAAAAAGGAGGAAAAAACAAAACTACTTTTGCCTGTACAGTATACTGTGTAACTTTTTGTCCACTCCTGCCTGTTGCAAGTTCAGTTAAAATGCAGCCTGTTCTTATTTTCTTTTATTTATTAAATTACAGCTCCACTTTAGAAATTGTTTCTTCTTCTTTTATGGATTTTGCCACTTTTACATGTGTATTCTATTAACAAAATATACCTGTATTAACATGGAAAACATCACTTACTGCCATATACTCATTTGCTTAACCCTCTACTGCATATTGGCCAAAAGCAACTAAATATCTTTTTGACCACCACACTCTCCCATATATGAATATATTCATTTCTACATAATAAAATTACCAATGACATGTTTCACTTGAAGGAAATGAGGAGGTGAAGCAGACATAACGTTGCATTTCAAGGTGAGAGCTCTATTTTAAGAAGCAGAGCCACATTGTCATAAAGGGTAAGATAAAAAATTTAAAAACCATTATTGATATGTGATAGCATGAACAGCATTTTGCATATGGGTGCCTTAAGGTGAATTTTAAGGAACAGTAGATAATAACATGTAGCTATACAGATAAACTGTACTTTTTAATGCAGAGGCCATATGCAGAAAATGTGATGATAATCTGTGTTTGAGAACCAAAATCAGCTGCTTCCTTACAGAATCAGAAACCATGAAATGAAGTGGTTCGTAAAATATATTTGAATAAATACTTAATTATTAAAGAACCAAGGGGCCACATAAATCATCTTCCCTCATGTTTTAGTTACCTAATATCCTTTGACGTCTGCAGTGAAATGCTGCACATGTTTTATCAGTCAGTGGTGGCCAGTGTGCTCTTTTATGCTGCAGTCTGCTGGGGCGGCAGCATGTCAGACATGAACACAAAGAGACTAGACAAGCTGGTAAAAAAGGCTGGGTCTGTGCTTGGCAGGAGTCTGGACTCACTCAGGACTGCTGTGGAGAGACGCATGCAATGTAAGATGGAGGCCATCTTAGACAACACCAACCATCCTCTCCACAACATTCTGGCAGGGAAGAGAAGCAGCTACAGCTGCAGCAAACGTCTCATCTCACTGCGCTGCAGAACAGAGAGGTTCAGGAGATCCTTTGTTCCCACTGCCATCAGGCTATACAACACCTCAGCCAAAGGAAGTGGACTAATCTAATTATTATTGTTTATTTATTATTAACTGTTTTTATTATCATTATTATTATTATCAACAAACTATCTATCTCACTATCTAATAATTGGTCTGTAGATGTCTGTTATCTCCTGGTGTTTTTACAGCAGGATGATTCATTGTTGCCATGAGGGAGGGAAAAAATCTCGAGTGATCAATTTTTTTGATTGATAAGTTAGCAGACAAAATAGGCTTGAGGAAAAAAAAACATAATTAATATAGTGTAGGTTTAATAAAAAGAAAAAAATCACACAAATGCAAAGGGTTAGATTAATAAAAAAAACCAAGAGAGACTAAATTCACAATTTTATAACTGATGCTGTGAAATCACTTCATTCGCTCCATTAGTGTGATCTTGAATGACACCATTAACAAATGACCAAGATAAAGAACCTCATTCAGCTCCTAGATGGTTCTGGTTAAATAAAACTGCTTTCGGATGCCAACGTTTAGATACCCTCTCTCTCATTCTTACCAACTGAGCAGCTTCAGAGTGCATTTCATATTCAGTTATTAGTGACTTGGTTCATTGTTTTCCAAGTCTGGGACTGAATAGTTGTCTAATAATCAAGTGCTAATAATAGTAATAATATGCTGTAGGAGATTGTTGAATGAAAATTCTCAAAATGTTTTATAAGACTTAAAGGTCCCATTTTTTCCTGTTTTCTTGTGTTTTATTTGAAGTGTTGATCCATAAGAAGATATATATGTGGTTTTAAGAACCAAAAAACCATCTCAATGTAGTTTTAGATCTCCTCTCTCAGGCTTCTGTCTGGAGCTCTAGTAACAACAGGTCAGCGAACCAATCAGAAGAGAGGAGGCTCTGAGCCTCACTTCTGATTGACTGACTGTTTTCTGAGTGATCACATAAAAATGTAGCAGATTTCAGGTAAACACTGAACGCTGAAACCCCAATCCTGCCAGGTTGGATGGTGGGTCCATGGTGGGTGGGGATTGGGGCATGGCTGAGAGTGGTGACTTTGTTGTGACATATCAATTAATAGTAATTAATATTAATACTTTCACAGTATTAATATAGAACCTAGACCTGTTTTTTTTTCTTCAAAAAAGACATGGACATTTACCATTATACTATATGGGACCTTTAAGAACTTTCTTTAAGATTCTATATGTTTAAGGGAAATGTGGTCTTAATTTAGAGAACCACTCAGCCATGTTTGAAACCTGCCTACCTCCCATCCCCAATAAAAAAAATAGAAACCTTAAAACTTTAAGTGTTTAATTTTATTATTTGAAGCATTTTATCAACATAAAAACTCATCAGTGTGAATGAATATATTAATGAGCAGTTCCTCCTTCACTCTACAGACTGTTTCCTTCAAGTGTCTACAACAATATGTACACATTACACAGAACACCTCACAACATAGTCCTGGCCTGTGGAGGGGTTTTAAAACCTTTAACAAGTTCATGGGAAGACTGAATTCGTGCTTTAACGAGGGGGGAAATTACATATTATTAGCTGAGTCACGAGGCTTCTGAGGCTTCTGAGGCTTCTGAGGCAGAGAAGTCGACTATTTACATCTAAAACTAGATACTAGATGTGAATGAGACTTTAATCTGCTTTCATCTTTTTTGTATCACTTTTTCTTAAAAAGGATAAATACATTTTCCTTGCTCTCTGAGTTGGGCAAATGTGTATTCTAAACATCTGGATTATGTGATGTTAATACGACTAACACACAGGGGGGAGTCAGAAAGCTGGTTTGGTCCTTAAGAAATGAATTGTCTGGCTGAACTCATTATGTAAGTGGCATTAACGTAGTCCTCTAGATCCTGAACTCTTCTCAACCTTGTGAAAAAATGACGTCACAATAATTAAGCTGATTTTTTGATAAAGTGCCACAGTAATGGATTTCAAGTCATCTTGTATACACTTATATAGAATTGAACGGATCCCAGATACAGTATTAACCCTCCTGTCCTGAAAGTAAAAGTGTAATAATTTCTCTATTACAACACAGAACATGAGTTTGACATTGAACAAGGTGACCTATCACCTCACAAAAAAAGTATCTACTTGATGAAAATGTCATTTTTGTCAGCACACAGTCACACTCACTCACACAAGTTTTTCATGAACAATCTTAACTGTTCGGCTGTGAAACAAGATGCTCTGGATACAGCAGTTTGGCTTTTTCCAGGTTGTGTCAGTGTGTTCCAGTGATTCTGCAGTGGTAGCACATCAGCAAAATCCCCCCATCATGCATCTGTCCTGCTATGTTATTCTCCTCCAGTAAGGGCACAGATTTCTGCAGCCTGGTCTTAGCTTTAATATTAATTTGTATTTGGGTTTAACCCAGACATTTGGATTTTTATCATGGCAAAAAACACTGGCCAGTCAGGGTTGCCTACCTGATATGATGCAGATTGTTTGAATAACATTTTTCCAGATATTTTCTGTGAGTAATTAAAAGGGGCACGCCACCAATTTTACCCAGTAAGATAGGGTAAGGGTAAGATTCTGTTTATGGAACATTAGAGACTAAAACCCACGATATCTTGGCCTCAGCTGCATCAGTTTTGACCATTATCTCTTTCTTGCACTTACAAAAGTGCAGTAGTAAATTGCTGGAGTACCCCTTTGAATTCTCGGAAACCCAAACAATATGAAAATCATCCTTTTTAAATACACTGAATATCACATACCTATACCTATTTACCTTCAAGGAAAACATGAAAAATAATAAATAATGCAAAAATATACACGTATCTGCTTTCAGAATCCCGTATCAGTCAACCATAATTCCTTCGTTATTAGTCAGTCTTGATGGTGCATTCTTGGAGAACAGATTTTCAGCAGGACAACCTGGATTAAATTAAAGTTAAACAGATAAAATGTAAAAAGACAGAGACTGGTGTAGGTGTATTATAATACAACACTAATTTATCAAACTGCTAGAGGATTTACTTTCTCCATCAATTCTTCAGAAATAGCACCAGAGACAGTTTAATATGGGATTCCTGTGAGGGCTACAGCTGAACTTAGTTCATCATGGTAAAGTCCTCGGTATGTTTCCTGTCCCTGTGTGTACGTTATAGAGCTTTTCCTGCATTTAAACACTTAAACAGATGTGCTCACTGAGAAGCGACGGTCTCTGCACACTCACTTTCTGACAAGTGTAGAAATAGAAATGGCAAATGATTCCATAACCAAGGTTAGCTCTGTTGGAAAAGGTTTTTCTAAAGGTAGTTTGACGTTAAGTGCAGTAAGCGACGGCTACATCTGAATCCGTGTTCAGATCACGACATGTGACGATCAGAGATCTTTGGTAACTATTTTTAGCGCTGCGTCTGGTGACAACTCTGAGTGGACGTGATGGTTAAGTGATTTCTTTCGCTTATAAAGAGAGGCTCTCCATTTGATGTTTATGAGGCTTTTTTTTTTATAGAAAAAAAAATATTTAACATGTGATTCAATATGAACAGAGAAATTTAGGAAGAAAAAACATGTGTCTAAGATATCCATCACACTAATCTATTCTTAGTTTCTCAGTTGAATCTTTACTTGCAAAACAAAGACACTTTGTTCACCGTGTTTGCTTTGATGCATTTTATGAGCCTCTTGTTTTATTAACCAACCTGCTTTACTATACTGCCTTTGTTTCATCAGTCTGTTTTATCAGTTTTATCACTCTGCAGACATAATAAATACAACTGACACATCAGGCCTTTGTGTGTCCTTACAGAGTCAATCAATGGTTTCCCACAAGTTGAGTTATATAGCTGAACTAGTAAGAATCATTTTTCCCTTTCTCTTTCTGTTTTTTCTTCCCTCAAACACCTGTACTATAGTTTCTAATTGTAATTAATATCCCTCTGATTAATCTCTGAAAACATCTGTGAGATCTGGTTAAATAATTATCAGCTGTTTAAAAGGCACTTTGCATGTTTTGTTCATCTAAGAAGGAAGCGATTGGCTTGTTGGACTGATCAGAATTAAAAATCAGGGGAAATATCAACTACTGTAGCACTGATCTAAACAAAACCACTGGCTCTAAAGGGAAGTGACACACTGTGCAGTCTGTCTGGCAATGAGAATGGGCAACACTCCGCTGTAACGGATGTCGGGTGCAGGGTAAACTGCATTCACATGTTTCTTGGCAACAACTTGTTCCTCTGTGTGAGAAAAGTAGCAGTGCTGAAGCAATGCTGCAGGGAGGGTTGACACAAAGTTGCACTGTGTGTCACCACCATGAGGTTTAAAGGAGGATTCCAGCATGATTTGAGTTTTTACTCATTTGTTTCATATTTTATATCCTAACTGGATAAAATCTTTCACATTTGAAATAATTCCCAGTCACTTTTTTTTTATATAAATGTGCTATTACACCCAACACAAGCTAACAAGACTAAGAGTCTACAGCCACGCTAGCAGCTCAGTGAGGCTGCACCGAGACACAGTGGTGCTTTCAGCTCAATGCCAACACGCTCACAATGACAATGGTAACACGCTAATGTTTAGTGTAATAGCTTGCTAACACTTGCTAATTAGTACATTAGCAAATTAACAAGGTACAGTCGAGGCTGAATGCCATTAGTTTTAGAGGTATTAGGTGGCAGGTGAAAAGTTAAGGGATCATAAGGGATCACGATTCATCCTGAGAGGATCGTGAATGTTGGTATCAGATTTCATGACAATCCATCCAGTAGTTGAGATATTTCAGTCTGGACCGACGCTACCAGCCACACTGCTAACATGTTGAAGAAAGCTACAAGCCTTGTTCTTTTAACTCAAAAACATATACCAACAATTCTGTCATTCTACACACTCCTACAACCTCCTACCACTGTCTCAGACCACCCTGAGCTGTCACTGGGATCTAATAGCATTTTCCAAATAAAAAAGGAAATCAGGAAGAAATCACACTACCAGTATCTCCATTTAGCTCTAAGTTGTCTCTTCTGACATAAAGAATAGCCGGTGCTGAGGTTGCGTCAGGTTCCACCTCCTGTCAATCACAACTCAGTCAAACCAACAGATAAACCAAAACAAAGAGCTGCTGCCAGTTAAAAAGAAATCTGAACTCTGAGTTCAATTTTTTACGCTAGAAATCGTGCTGGAACTTTCCTTTAAATCCATGATCAGAGTCTGGGTGAGAACAAGTGAGGGGCTCCTCCTCTTACCAGTGAACCAGAGTTTCACTACAGTGTATAGAGCACGTCTCCAGTATCAAGAATTCTTTGCATTAGAGTTAAATGAGCCACCAGTGTTGAAACTTATCGATGCAAAGATGTCAAAGCAGTGATTTGTACTCAGGCCTCATTCCCACCGTCACCTTTAGGCCGTAAAAAAAAAAAAAAAAACCTCTCCAGAAGCAATATGCCGCTGAACATGCAGATATGCTGATTTAGTGTTCTAGTTAGTGAGCTGGCCTGAGAGCTATGGCTAAAGACAGCACATGTATACGATATAAACAACCGAGGTAATGCGGTAATGCTCCTTAATTTCCGAGCTCTTGGCGTTCTTGCGGCGGCTGAGCAGACCTAAATAAATTTTGATGAGGGTTAAATTTAGACTGAGAGGCTGACAGTTCAGCCTTCAGCACCAGCGGGGCTCCAGGGCCCGACCCTGTGTCCGTAAACGTCTGTTTTTTTTCCCTCCACAACACTGTCAGGCCTTCCCTGCCTTCATGTATGTGGGGATGGTGCCTCGCTGAGTCAGACCCTCGAAGCGTTTGTACGTGTAGTTGAGGAACACCCAGTCCTTCGACTTGAAGTCTGGCTCTGTCGCATTGGCTGAGAAAAGAAAAAGGAAAGTTTTTTTTATTCTAGATGCCTGTTGGGGGCAATAAAGAACATGCAATGTAAATGAGAAGCCCCTACAAATATTTAAGAAGCTGGGACAACAACAGCAGTGTTGTTTCTCATAAGTTACACAAATGACCAGATGTTAAAATTAGTTTGCCTGTAATTCAATAAGTTCCCTTCCCCACCCAAGACTTGTGTTCCTATAAGAGATTTTCCTGCAGTGCAGCGAGCAGAGTATTTCATGAGACAAACCTGGCTGAAGGATGTCTGATTCAGGGAAGTCATCAAAGTTGGAGGTGTCGTCAATGCTCTTGATTTCAATGGAGATGGCTGCCGGCCGCTCCCTGTGGAGGCAACACACAGGGAATCATGGAGGGAATGACGAAGACAGAGGGTTTTGGTTTTGGTTTTGCAAAAGGTTAAAAAAATACTGCTCCCTGTACCTGATATGCTCCCAGTCCACTGACTCGAAGAACTGATGACTCTTGATCTCCTCCACGCTGACAGCTCCAATCCTGTTCTCAGCATCAGTGCAATACCTGAAACACACACACAGCAGGCTGATCATATAACTGCACAATTCACCTTTTAAAAATATATTCACATATATAGTAGCTATACCAACATGTTTGGCATGTGGCCATCATCCTATAGTATTTTTACATACCTTAATATCAAGTCTTTGGCCCTCTCTGAGATGGGGACCTCAGGTGGAAAGACGAGCGTTTCCTTCCAGTTCATCACCTTCCTGTATGTCTCCTGCGGCGTCTCCGAGCAGAACGGTGGATAACCTGAACAGAGCCAACGCGGATTTTACACAGGCTGCTGTTACTGTAATACTAAGACATTATTTAGCTAATTATGTGCTGTAAATTTAGTGTAGTGTTTTGGTGGGACTGTTCCTGTGTACAGCAAACCTTAAGTCTGATTTGATTGTGTTAACTTATTCAAACAATGATGCCAATTTCTCAGACTGAAAAATTCACACTTTACACCTCTGTCTTGCTCTGTCAGTCTACAGACATGCATCCTTACCGATGAGCATTTCATACATGATGACGCCCAGAGACCACCAGTCACACAGCTTGTTGTATCCCGTCTGCATGAAGACCTCAGGGGCGATGTAGTCAGGCGTTCCCACAGTGGAATAAGCCTGAAAGCCACACAGACAGCTGGAAGTTGAGGTAGGAATTTAATTAATAACTATACCTGTCGTTCCCGCCAGGCGACCCCACGACCTATCCACATGGATGAAGGAACGCCACCTTCAACCAAACGTCTTTAAGACTAAACTCTTCAGTGTCTCCATCACAATATCAATATCAAAATCACCTCTTCATCTCTTACCCCAACTACGGTCACAAGAAACCTGGGTGTCATGTTTGATCACCCGCTCTCTTCTCTGATCATGTTGCATCCTTCTTGCAGTTGTGCTGCTTTGCTCTATGCAACATCAGAAAAATCAGGCCTTACCCGACTCAATACACCACCCAGCTCTTAGTGCAGGTCATAGTTATCTCTCTCTTCAACTACTGCAATGCTCTTCTGACAGGCCTCCCTTCATACACAGTGAAACCCAGAATGCAGCAGCCTGTCTGGGCCTTGATCAGCCTAAAAGGGCACATGTCACTCTGCTACTCATTGACCTCCACTGTCTACCCATGGCCGCCTGAATCATATCCACTAATGCTGCCTTCAGAGTGACTTCTGGGTCTGCTCCAATTACTTGAACTCATTATTCAGCTTTATTTCATTTTATCTGGCATTGTCTTCCCTGCACACAAGACGGTCTCAGTCCAGACTGTTCCGGTCTGTGGTTCTCTGATGGTGGAACAAGCTACTGAATGCTATCAGAGCAGGAGCGTCCCTCTCTATCTTCAAGACTCTGTTGAAGCCTCATCTCTTCTGAGAGCACCTCCTTATCCAACACCTCCAACACACCAACATGTCTGACTAGCTCTTACTGTGCACTTCTTTACCTGATCTCCTTCACTTATTAAATAGATGTCGTACCTACACCAAGGTCTCCTACTGCACTGAAGCTTTAGTGATGTCCCTCACTTGTAAGTTGCTTTGGATAAAAGCATCTGCCAGATGAGTAAATGTAAAAAAATAGACTTAAAATGTACTAATTTTAATTTTGCCCAGCATCTACAGTCAATGTACATAATGTACAACTCTTCAATATTACACCACTTCTGCCTCCTAAGTTTCTCTGGAGTACAAGTACGATTAAAATGTCAAAGTCTTACCAGCTGCCGCCGGTTCTTCTTCCAGGTTTCTGCTTTCCTCTTGGAGTTCATATTTTGAAAAGCTGCAGCATGAAGGACAGGATAGACAGGAAAGCATATGATCACTTGAATAGTTACACTAACAAAATGCTTCACATGAGTCAAATATAAAACATCCAAACAAATCAAAGTAAAATGTAAATGAAATTTAAAGACATTGCACAAAAAAAGGTCAGACTTTAGATTAGATTTTTAACTCACAGAAATCACTGGGTGGGTTGTGCGTCAGGTTCCTGTAAAATTCTGTGCGATGAGCCTTTTTCAGTCCCGTACACAGGCCGAAATCTGACAGCTTCACGTGTCCCTGTGATAAAAGAGACGTTTGACTCATCACCTGCAGGAAGTCACCGTGCACACGCACCACACACTGTATGAGTCAGGACATTTTTATGTGTCTGTGCATGAGTCTGCATTACATCTTTGTGTTTTTTAACAAAATGTTTTAAATGTTCAGAAATGGTAGATAGTGAAGGTCATCAAGTGTGTGTGTGTTTGTGGACTCACTCTGGAGTCCAGCAGCAGATTGTCAGGTTTGATGTCTCTGTGGATGAAGCCCAACTGGTGGATGGAGTCGATGGCCAAAACCGTCTCTGCAATGTAGAACTGGGTGGCCTCTTCAGACAGAGTGTCCTTCTTCATCAGCAGGGTCATCATGTCGCCTAGCAACAGGCGACATGATGTTATCATTTTTAATAAATGATAATATTTCTATACCCATGCAAGTCTTGCTCATGTTGGACAATTATTTACGACACAAAATGGGAATTCATCCCGTTTCCAGATCAATGTTACACTCAATATCTGGCTCTCCAGTTGGTTTGTCTGGTTTGTTATGAATAAAAATATCAACTAGTTTGAATTAGAGCCATCATGGCTAAAAAAAAACAAACAAACAAACAAAATAAAAAAACACTGACAAAATCTCAAACTTCAGCATCACCCACATTAATTGACTTTTATTCTGTTCTGCTCTTGTTTTCAGAGAACTGTAGCCCCATACAATCAAGGTGTCAGTGCAAACCTCCAGGCAGGAACTCCATGATAAGGTAGAGGTTCCTCTTGTCCTGGAAGCTGTAGAACATTTTGACCACCCAGGCGCCATCTGCCTCCACCAGAATATCCCTCTCAGCCCGGATATGAGCGACCTGCAGGGAGAGGGTAGACAACCTCAGACACTTGAACACAAACTCCAGTGTGCTTTGACATCCTTGAGCACTACGGCTCTGACAAATGTTTCACCTGTTCCTTTTCCAGCATGTCTGCTTTTCTCAAAATCTTCATGGCGTAAATGTGCCCCGTGTCTTTTTTCTGCACCAAACGCACCTGAAGGAGAAGACATCACGGTTTCAGTCACAAGGAATGTGAACACAAATGTCAGTGCTTTATTTAAACACAGCAGTGTATGCAGAGTTCTAGTATGAAAAATATAATACCCAGGAAATTACATTAACACTGTGGTAACACTGTGTGAACGTGCACCAATCCAAATTTCAGTTACCTCTCCAAAAGCTCCTCGTCCAATAACTTTAAGGGACTCAAAGTCATCCAAGCCCAGCCGCGTCCTCTTCAGTCGCAGGAACTCGGTCTCCTTACGGGCATGCTGGGAGCGTCGCATCACTTTCTGCAAAACACAGAAGTGATTTGAAGAAGTTGATGAAGAGGAACAGAAAAGTTTAGAATGAAAACAATTTTTCTATAACATTTAGAGAGAGTGAGAATACAAAGCGAACTGTACCTCCTCGTCTGGTAAACCCTCCTCTTCCATTGCCTTCTCCAACTTTTTCTGCCTACATAATGTAAAATGCATAAAAATCAGAATAATACCTACAAAAATGTTCTACTCCTTGTTAATTTATAAAATATGACAAAGTGGAAGCATACAAGGAGGGATAAGGTGACCTAAAGCGTGTCAGACCTTTACAATGAATCTACTCTCAGTTTATACAGGGAAGTAAACAGTGAGTCAGCTGAGGAGCCAAACTGTGTCACCTGGACTCGAGATCAAGTCCCAGGTAATGTGAGAACACCACAGGTACAAAAGGTATATTATAAAACGGCCTCTGTTGTGTTCACACCTGAGATGAAACGCCTCAGCATCGTTACCTTTTCCAGTGATGGATGTAGCGATATTTGATGCTTTAAACAACAGCTTCATTTACATGCAGAGTACCTGAGGTAACTGGCTGCACTGTGGTAAAGGTCCAGAACAACCTCTACAGAATGAGGTGACTATTAAAGGTGCAAAGTCGAGGAAGTAAAAAGTAAACATAGCTTGAAATATTCCTGATAAAGAGCAACACATGCAGTGGGTCCGGTGTGTTTCTATACATTTGTAAGAGAGAAGAGAGGACTGGTGTTTTCAAATCAGCAGGTTCTGTCAACTGTAAAGGAACAGATTTCAGATCTGCTCTTGTGGTTTTACCTCATCTCGCGCTCCTCGTGCTGGGTGAGCAGAGTGCTGTAGAAGTTTTCCAGTGTCAGCTTGGCCACAGTCACCCTCTCTCGGGTGTGGTTGCTCATGGGAAGGGCAGCTGCAGTCCCTCCCGTCATGGCCATACTATCCTGTGAAAAAACAAAAAAAGAATGTCAGATTAAGCATATCAGTCCAGTCACTGCTTCTACTAGTGTGAAGTGTATATTGGACAATTTCAGCATCAAGGAAGGATTCAGTCTTCTATAAAGTTTCACTGGTTCAATTCAATTCATTACACTCATGAGTTTTGTTGCTGCAGCCTCACTTGGTGTGATATGACCAGTAGCTTATGGTGGACTGGCTAATGTTCTCTAATGTTCACAAACTTTAGCTAGATGTTGCTGTGTAACTACTGTTGTGCTATATTTTAGCATTTACCATTAAGGCTAGGTCATACCAGCATTTCAAATGGCAAAATTTAATTAACTTATACTTTAATTGAGTGAAACGATGTACAACCCTAAGAACAAAATGATGGGGTAGTAAAACTCAGTACAGAAAAAAGAAAAAGGCTCAGAGAGCTATAGTGACCAACTAGCGCTGCCTCTTTGACAAGAATCTGCTGATAAACATCGCTATGCCACTTTCTGGTGTGACTGGTCCTTTATCCTGTCATCGTAACTTTTGGGAACTGTGACTTCTGTTCAGTAAAAGTTACATAAATTTGCTGTGAATACCAAAGGTGCACACTGTCCCCTCTGGTCAGGCTCTCCAGCAGGACAGCAGTCAATAATGCAGCGACACTGACAAGAACCCTCACTGGCTTCCCACCCACCAATGCAGACAGATGTGGGGTGAATGTTGTGGCTGATAAGTTTATCCCTGCACCACCTGTTTGTCTGTCCTCTACAGTATCTACACTGTCCTACTTGATGATTGTTGTGTTAGGTCAAAATTTAAAACTCTGATGACATCATCAGGGTCCCTCCAGGAAGATTATTATACAACTGTTTTTATAGTTACTTTGTATAATAACAAAACCAATCTTTTATGTGTAAAATCAATGGGTGGGGTGCATCTTTATATGTAATATTACATAAAAAACTGCCTATTACTAGAGCACCACAGCTTTAAAACAGGTTTAATGTCCAAGCTATGACCACAGCGTGACTACAACTCTTCTTTTCAGGGCTGCACTAAGCAAGATTTTAAAGCGCTTTTCCTGTGTTTTATTTGACATTTTGATCCATAAAAAATACATATTTGTAGTTTTAAGAACCAAAAACCATCTCAAAGTAGTTCTACATCTCTAGTCGCAACAGGTCGGCGAGTCTCTCTTCTGATTGGCTGATCTAAGCATATTGAAGAAAAATATAGTAGATTTCAGGTAAACACTCAGAAAAAAACAAATCCTGGTTGGATGGTTTGGGTCCAGGTGGGCGGGGTTTGGGACATGGATGAGAGTGATGACTGCTTTGTTGTGACATCACACAGTTACAGAAGTCTTGACGGCTGGTTTTAAGGCTCGGTTTCTGAATAATGGCTGTGTGCATTTCTCTGTGGACTGAGGCTTTGACACTTATGTATCTGTATATGTTGTGCTGGGAGGTGCACATCTTACTTCATGCTGCAGGGTAGATTTTCAAATTGTAAACATTATCTAAAACTTAACTTTGTGCGTCTGATGACCTAAGTTACCAAGTGTAACTTAATGATGTTAAAGTCTGCTTTTAAATTTCAATTCTGACTGGGGGGCCAAGCAGGGTAAAGGTCAATTATCAGGAGGTATCCATTTTTACATTTCAGTGAGCGCAGCTCTGGAACAGATCCCTTAACCACAGGCTAAGAGGAGGTGCCCAAGTCAGATCCTTGGTACAAAAATATTCTTGTGACCCCAGAACAGGGACAGGGAATCATGTGCTCATGATGGCTCATGGTCTGCAGGGTACATGCAGGGTTCATTCCAGGAACTAATAAGTGAAATTTCCACACATCTTTCTCAGTATACATTCCTGTGAATTTTTAAGTCTTAGATAAAATCAAACAGCCAAAGAACAATTCTAACACTAAAAAACACCAAGACGAAGGACAGAAAAAGATCCTAGAAATTTACTTATTAAGCTGAGGAAAGCTGAGATGGTGATTTTACTGGTGGGAAAATCAAAACCCATCATTCATTTACAAGAACAATGCATCACATCAGAGCAGCACTTCAGTCCTTAGTAAACAGTAACAGCTGTAAACTGACCAGTTTTTCTATGCTCACACTTAAACGATTGTTCTCTCCCTGACAAAAACTATTTTCTCTACAGGGTCACATACTTGCATGTTGGATTTGATGTATAGTGCTTGTGTGGGTGGAAAGAAAACCACAGAGAGCAGGAGACACAGACATACTTGTAAGGTGGAGGCCATGAGCGGTAGTAGGCTGAATAAAAAAAGTATACATATATATATATATATATATATATATATATATTATTATTTTTTTTTTTTAAAAAAGCATGAATGATGTTGTGAAATGAAAAAACTAAGCACTAGAAAGGAAACTTTAACCTTCCTTCTTCTTACATTAATATAAAAGTAACATGATCAGATTGTGAACATATTATGTAACAGAGAGAAAGAGGAAGAGGGTGGATAAGTACATTACCAAAACAATTCAGCATTAGAAAGGTATGAATGGGCTTGATTAGCTCACACAGAGATAAAACAGCCCTGCAGCCCAGAGATAGGACCCTTGTTTCGTCTAGTCACTGGCCCTTTTCCCGTCCTGGCCCCAACAATCTCACAACAACGAGTCACTTCCTGACTTCTGAGGAAAATCACTGAATCACTGCTGCAGACCACTTGGATTGGGAGGTTTCTCCCGGGTGGAAAACAGGGACGCTGACAAACAAGGGTGTTGAGTTACTGTGATCTGCACAGATTTACCTGAGCACAACACTCCAAGCAGGCTCAGCTTAAAGGGAAACACCACTGATTGTCACCAATAAAATGTGATCTTGAACAAAAACAAAGCCGCACAAGCAGACTAATTACAGTTTTTATGGGGACCCTCTATGAACTGTACCAATGAAGCCAACTCACATAGGTCTGGTACGTAGATAGGTAGACATTAGTGTCTTCAACATTTGTACAGTACATACTCCCACATAACAAATCCAGTTACATCACTACATCCAATATATATCCTGTATCTGTGATCAGATAGGAGTACAGTGAAATCGGGTTGTGGGGGGGGGGGTCATGTGTTTAAGGTAAGTGATGGCTCTGTTAAGGTTGGAGGGTGGGAGACCAGTGATTTTGGAGGCAGTCAACTTGGTAATGGTGGAGACCAGCAGGTGGAGCGGGAGTGTAGTAGGGACTGAATTATGCTTTTGTAGAGCAGTACAGAAGGTGGACCGATGAGGCGAAATGATCATTCTGATTAGAAAAATATTGTGAAACTATTTCACCAAAGCTTCAAACACAGAGTTATTATTGTCATAGTGCCCAGCTCTTTTAGTTTGCTGTGTGGAGCTTAAAGGTGAGCAATGGAAGAGTGTCAACATTCATTTTGACCTGTCATAGCAGAGGAAGGACAGGTGCTGCTAATGACATTAATGATGGCTCTGCAGAGGCAGCGTGCACAGTTGACTTGTTCCCATAGCAACAGTTTTACTTGTCATAACGAGCACTGGTGAAACAAATTTATTTAACAATGGCTCAGTTCCATAAAGTGTGTCTGCGCTTTTCCTGCTGACAAGCAAAACTGTTTGCTGTGACACTGGTCTATAACACAACACTGAATCTGAGGCAGCTAAATGGAATTCAGCCAACATTAATGTTATTAGTTCCACCTATGCTTTTCCTACTGTGACGTGTCAAAATGTCTTTAGTGTAAAAGACCCATTGATGTACACACTTGTGACATCAGCCTGAATGAGTCTTGAGCTCGTTTTTCCACCAAAGTGGAAAACGAAGCATCATTCAAACAGTCAGAAACTGTTGCATCACAGATGAGCCAGCCAGGCCTTTAGCTTAGACTGGAGGGATTTTTTTTGGCTTGAAGTTAACCAGATCCACCCCATAGCCAAACAAACAAGGGTACACCACTCAGGCACTTATAAGGAAGGCATTTTGAAGGCAGGCTTAATATTTGGAGACTAAAGCATGAAGCCTGAAAAATAGGGGCCAGTAGCCAAATCTGACAATTACAACTATAATCTACAAATGGTCACAGTAAAACTGTTAAAGGTTCAGTCCATCCAAATTTCACAAAATATACAACCCATGCAGATAGTTTTACTTTTATCTGCCATATTTTTCTGATCTCCTAGGCTGAGATTTCTGCCGTGCAAAACTTAAAACATTAGTGGTGCTCAAAGTATCAAAAATTATGCTTGAGAAATAAAAGGCAACAGAATGTCCTTCAAGAAAACAATGACCCAGTTACTCTGAATAATCAACAGTAATACTGATATTTCCCAATGAAAACTGCTGCCAGCAAGGTCTGTGTTTACCTGTATAGGTAGATACAGCATAGCTAACAACCAACAACAACATAACATGATAGCAATCTTGTTGCCACAGTGACATTCATTATCAGACCTGACAGACAGTGAGCTGAGAGTCCAACTCTTAATGCCTCACATGTGTAGGAGATACTATCTATGAAGTCTGAATAAAAAAAAAAAAATTGAAATGAAATAAAAATTAAGGCATAAGATTCAGAGTGTAACTGTTTCCCCACATGGTGGGTTTCTCAGTTTGGTGTAAGGTCAGTTTTATGTGTGTGTGGAAACACACAGACACACTCCACCCTTGAAGTGCTGTAAGTGACTGGACAGGAAAACCATTCCATCCTGAATGAATGGGCTCAGTCATGACACCAGAGAGGAAAGGGACACACACATGCGTTCTCACACACATACACAAACACATATACACACAATAAAAGTTACATTCAAAATAACATATATTGGCTAAACCTTCTGTTTATTTCAAGCTAAATGGCCACTTTTGGATTGAAAAGTCACTAATGGGAACTGTAAGGGAATAGTGTGTATCAATAATTGAATTCTATTCCTGTCAGTATGCTGATGTTCCTATGGCAATATATTCATAATTTATCTTTATTCATGGCTATACAGTTTGTATTTCCAGGGGTTATATGTACTTGTATGAATATGTTTCAAACTTTGAATTAAATTACAAAAAAACAAAAACAAACTTAAAAGAGATTTAATGCTCCAGGGAATAAATGTATTTCTTTTCATATAACTATAAATACACAAATCAAAATAAATGTAAATGTAAAATTTGGATAGATTTGTTATGTGTAACGTACTTTGTTACTCACCTAAGATGGTGTGTACCTGCATAGCTACAGTTTGTCCACACATTAATGTTTAGCCTATAGACTGTATATTATCTGCCCAATGTTTCCCAACTCAGCTACACTGATATTTCTCTGCCACCCTGTCAAACCTCTACTCGGCGCCACTCTGGGTCCATCACTGACAGCTAGAACATGATGGTTGACACTAAATTATCCTCACTGTTGAAACACTTATATTATGTATTTTATATTTTATACAGATATTGGGTCGGTTTGGTGCTGTGTTAGCTAGCTATCTGTCTGCTAAATTCCCTTTGCGTCTGTCTGGCAGGTTCCATTGTAGCAATAAATAAAAACCCGACGACAGCTTTTTGAAAGAAATATTTTTCACCTACCTCCGTGTCCTGCTCCAGAGTCAATTATTGGCTTGCCGCCAGCCACAACCAAGGTGAAGAAATTTGTTATTTCGTATTTTCCTGCCTAATATTTAGGCAGCTGAAGTCTACACGCTCCAGTTACTGGCTACCCTTAGAGAGACCTATCAGGCTGCACAGTAAACATCGCTGATATCAACGCCACATCATAACAGAAGTCCTCTGACGTTCACAACAAGCTAACCTGACATTATTTACAAATATTTTAACGTCTTCATTTGTAACTCTCGACCTCGAAATTCAACGGTTCTTCCGTCCTTTACGCTATAAAATATGAAATAAGCAGCGGTGCTTCCTGGGACCGTTGGGCTCATCAGACGTTCTGGCAACGCAACGTCGTAGCACTTGAGTGACGCTAGCACGAACCAATTATCGACGAATAAGAGGACCCGTGGTTTCCACCGGCCAATCGTATGCGGATATAAATATGACTGACAGGTGTATCAGCCAATGACCAGATCTAAATCGCAAGGGTTGTGTTTGAGAACGCAGGTTAATTTGGTTAGCAAGCACATGCAGCTATGAAAGAATACACTAGCTACAATAGTACTACAGTCTTCTAACACAATGTTATTGATTATAGTTATTGGAACCCTTACTATTAAATTAATATAGATTATTGTGAGTTTTTTTAGAAGTACATATCCATAAATAGAAAATGCCATACGAAGCACAAGACGGTATCAAAGGTCAATAAAAGGTCATGTTGTGATCAAAATACAAATTGTAGGATGTTTATTGATAGAGCTGACCAAGAGAAATCCGCCAAAATAAAATGAAAACTATATGAATTATTTTATATTAATATTTCACCATTATATAAATGTGAAAGAAAAACTAATCTATACCCCATGGACATGTTATTGAGTAACTTTAGCCAAGTGGCAATATAAGAGATAAAAACACCATAAAATGTGATAAGACAACAATAAAATCAGTGCTACAGAAAGACCGCAATAACAAATATTTCTATTAAGGCAAGATCTGAAATCTTTGGTGTTTCAAAATGACTGCAGCTGTGGCCAAAATACATTAAATAAAGTTAGAAACTGCAGATAATGTTTTTACATTTCAATACTATTTCAATGTAGAAATTCCAAAGAATAATGACTTATTTCCTCCAATAATCCCAGCAAGGGTTCTTAGAAATGTGCTCGCCTTATCTGGCTTTTCCTTGCAGACTTGTGTCTATATGAGAAAGAACTGGATGCAGCGGCACATTAACTTGATTACTACTACTACTGCTGCACAGGTTGGTAGGTGAACTTTCTCTGCCACAAATTTCCTTATTTGGACAGGCTGAGTGTTTTCACTGTTAGAGCCATGATGTCAACATACAGAGAGGTGGGTGTACTCTGCTAACACATCTGGGTGTGGTGTCTAGCGGACAAGGCTGTTTTTATATTTCTCACATTTCTCACATCAATGGGGCCCACTGAGCTGTGACACAGCACCTATATTTAGATTTGGGCTATAAACTCTCTGGCCCGCAGCCTACGCTTCACAAAGTTCAGTCTGAAACACTCAGACCACTGAGCGACAGTTTTAATGAAATCAAAAGTGGACCACATGACTACACAGTTATGGTGATTTTCAGATATTAAGTTAAAATGATTTTTATCTTTATCAGATTTTTTTATTTTGTTGAGGCTATTTTACCAGATTAAAAAACAACAATCAATCAGTTAAGTGTTCGATGTTTTTTTTTTAAATCACACGCATAAAAACATACATAAAAATATTTTCTTTCATCTTTATCTTAAAAAAAAGATGAGAGCTCTTTATTTCATAAAATACATTATTTGGGTAGATTATGCAATTTAAGTGCCAGTGTTTAAAGAAGAAGAACAAAGTTATCTTTTTTGCCAGCAGGGAATTTTCTTATTTCTCATACTGACAATTGAATTCCCATTAAGTATATCTTCAAGTCATCAGCAGCTCTCTTCCCTATTTAACCCACTCAGCAGTTTGTAACCCCCCCCCCCCCCTCCCGCCCCATACTATCTTGCTTACGAAATCCTCTCAAATGTAATGAAATATCCTAACACCAGAATTTTGTTCCTTAAAAAGTTAACATTTTGCGGATAAAATGTTTCCACCAGACATCTCCGGTGTTTAAATATAGCTAATATAGAAGTTATGCTGTCATCCATCACATGCTATATTTCAGTTGTTTCACAGATGCTCGTGTCTACAGTGACAGTCAGAAAAGTAGAAGTGTGGTCATGCTGAAAGAGTGAGGTCATTTCAACAGAATTTCAACAACTAGAGAAAAGCTGACATGACGATAAATATCACACTGATGTACTTGTGTTTCAACAAATTAAATCCCCAAAAAGTTTGTTGAAGCTTTATTTATAAAAAAAAAAAGAAAAAAAAAAAAAGGAAAAATTACTTGGTTATAGACAGTTAAAGAAAAAGAGTGATTTAACTTTTTAAAGCAGCCAAAATGAGAAATCTGATCATTTCATTCATAAATATCTACAAAAACAGATTGAGATCTGACTCAACTCAATATACAGCACAGATTGTACAGAAAACATACAAACCTGACAGACTGTTTTAGACCAGGAGGAAGCATTTTTCCAAACTCAAGAAAAAGGCAAAAATAAGGACTATGTGCATGTGAAGACTTCTTCTTTTTCTCCTCTCCAGTTGTGTTTCAGGCCAAATCTCATTAGAAATTTACAGAGAAATCACAAGAAGGCTGTTTGTCTCAACCACCCAAATTTGGTCAGCGTCTCGTATTCTCCACACACACGTATGGACACATATTCAGACAGACTCAGCCCGTGTTTGTGTGTTTTGAGAGTGGCAGTTGGTGAGAGTGAAACTGTCCAGTAGTATAATATGTATGTTGTGGGGTCAGGATTCGGCGGGTGAAGGCTGACTCGGAGCTCCGTTGCGGGTGCGGAGCTGAGACTGGGCTATGTCAGCCAGAGCGCTCTGGATCTTCTCCAGCAGCATATCGCCACGGTAAACCACGTCCTCCAGACGAGCTGCTGCGTCGTGGTTCTCCTCTTCCAGCTGCCGCAGACTGGCCGCCTGACGAGAGGTCACAGCAGGTCACATTCACGGTACTTTTTTTTTTTTTTAGGAATTTTTGCAGATCAGGTTGTGGTGCGAACAAGCCCCGAGTTTCAGCCCTCACACACTTGTCCTGAAGCTTCATTATTCATGTCAAAGGGTCACTAACCTCTGACTCGCCTGATGAAGATGGGACAATAACTGCATCCCTCACCAATGGCAACATACATTATGAATTGCCAAACAATGAAGTCTTTCAACCGCAAAATCTCTGATTTATATTTACACCAAAAGGAAGTGTTAGTGTGGCCAAAAGCTGAATTAAACAATTACTGTACATATATACAATATGTATTTTGTACATATGAAGTAGTTCCAACTTTGCAGGAAACAGACATTAACATGAGCCTTTCTTCAAATGTTAATGCACTTTTTATTTGATTGATTTGAAAATCTGCGCCCTTGACTTCACTGAGGGCCATCCCAAAAGCTTCAGCTCGTATTTGCTGTAGCAGTTCATGGTAGTACTAGTCTCATTCCTCTTTTCAGTTTCCCTCTCTTGACTGAGTGCATGACTTTTTTATCCAGAATTTGCTGATATTCAGTGGAATTCATTCTTCCCTCTGTCTGTACAATGTTTTCCATACCACTGGCAACCACACAGCCCCAAAGAATATTTCCACCCTCACATTTAACAGTTGGCAAAGTGTTGTGTTCATCAAATGCTACTCCATTTCTCCTCCAAACAGACCTTTAGTAATTGTGGTCAAAGAGCTCAGCTCATTTGTCTTACAACACTCATTTCCAAAGCAACATCTGGCTTATCCAGATGTTGCTTTGCAGACAGACTTTACTTTTGACTTTTCTAATGAAGTCACATGTAAGTTTCCCTTCTGATTCTGACTCTTTCATGTTGAGCCTGTTGGTGCATCAGCACTCCACAGTGAAACAGCGCACCACCGCTGAGCCCTCCTGCAGCTCCTTTACAGTCAAACGTATGTTTTGTTTTGGTTCTCTGTCCAGCAGACCTGCAGTTTTATCTGAAGGTTTTCTCAAGTCTTCCAGATCTTGTCTTGACTTCCACAGTTCACCTTCACTCTTAATGACATTTCAGACAGTGGAAATTTAAAAGCTGGAAGCTCTTTGATGTCTCTTTATAGTCTAACCTGCTTTGTAGCATCAGTTAGTTTCAATTTCAGACCCTAAGTCAGTTGCTTCGAAGAGCTCATGTTGTTGATTGTTACCACAAGGTCTGAAGAGTTGACTGCTGACTGTCCCTATGACAATTCTTGTCCTGCCTTACAAGTCCTAATGAGTTAATGAAGTTCTGAGACTTTAAAAGTAGAAAGCTGCCCAAACTTTTTGCACATGACACAATTAGTGTTTTTTTTTCTTCTATTTCTTACGTTCATGAAAAAAAGTCACAGTGCATTAAGATTCCAAGAAACCCTCATTTTAATGTCAGTTTGCTGCAGGGGTTGTACTAACTTTTCACTTAATCAAATCAACAAAATCTGCAATTTGCCTCACGGTGCCCAAACATTTGGATACGACTGTAAAAGGAGAGAATGTTTGTGATTCATTAAGGTTACATTTTCTGTTTCTGCATGTTTATGGCTGTTTTTTTATTCTGTCTTTTACTGTTAATCAACAGCTGTATGTCAGGCTGTGAAGAAAATCACAATGCCACTTGATGAAGCTGCCCGTTAGTTTTAGTTATGGTTGATAGAGATGACCGACCATGAAACAGAAGTAAAGAAAGTGACTCCCAGGTGTGCACTGTGAGTCTGTTGGGATGTGGCTCTGCAGCTAAAAACTTTCATTTATTAAATGCTTCACAAGGTAAAATCTCTGAGGTCAAACAGACCTATTGGACTGGTGAGCTAAATTGGTTGCACTGACATCATAAATTAACTGGATCCCTTATGAAGTGTTATAAACAATCAAGATACTGTATCACACCACACCATGTTGTGTGTATACACAGATTCACTCAGTAATTTTCAACAGTCACACTTGGCTGCAATTTCCCATTGGGAATGAATTATAAATAATAAAGAACTATCTGCTGGAAAGAGCTTCACACATCAAGTGCTTCTTTAGTGAACTGATATCCATGGGCCGTATCCTTATATGGTTTTTTACTTTCAAGAGACAAACTAGAAAAACAGCAATAGTGTTGATATTTCCTCTCACATTCTGAAGTTTACCAAATTAATCTTGTCACTTTTCTCTAAACTGAGGCAGGTGGTGATGGGAACATAGCAAACATTAAGGAAAGGGTTTTTTGAGTGAAGTTGTTATTATTCCAAAGCTCAAATAATGTAATATAGTAAGCTTAGAATCCAGTGACAAAAGTATGGTTAAAAAACATGGGAAGTCATACTTAGCTGTTAATTTAATTCAGCTATACTGAGAATTGTTCCAGATATTAATCAGCCACTCACTCATATGACTTGCATTATTATTTATCCTGTTACTGCATAGGGATCATTTGAGTTTGACCTAATATGTCCTTCTATTTTCAGGAAAGGGATCACAGTAAAATCGCTGACCCTGAAAAACTTACATAGTCTTAGACAGACCTTTAACTACAGTATGAACAATTATTCTGTAAGAGTTTCAATAGGATTTGGGGAGGAGAATATAAATATACAGCATATATTAAACTCAATTATTTAGGTGTATATTTCTGTGATTAAAAAAAAGTTTTATTGTTGTTTATGTTAGCAGCATCTAGGCTACTTATAAATAGTAACCTAAACGACAGCCTGAAAACAGCCTGAGACGTCACTCTGCTTTTTTAGAGTTGGAAGCCGTTAGTGTAAATCGCAGCTGTCCGTGCATTCCCTTGGCTCCCTCTACTGGCTGAAAGCTGAAAATACTAACTGGGCTTTGATGTGTTCTTCTGCATAAGTACAGGCTTCTGGGCATTTAAACCTGGCTCTCCCAGACAGAAACATTTCCATAAGATTTCCATAAGAAGATTAATGGATCCTATTCAGTCACACTGCTATAGTGACTTCTAAGGAAAAATTAGGATATAAAGGACTGTCAGAAAGATGCTTGTGTGTGCTGACCTGCAGAGCAGCTGTGGACTCCTCACTGGGCAGAGAGTCGATTAGTACATCCACATCTTTGGCTGTTCTGGCTATCAGGGCTGCAAACAGCTGGGCATATTCTGGACACATATTAAAAACAAACAAAAAAAAGAGTTCAATCTAAATACACGGTACAAGGGAAACTTTATTTAATGTCAATCAACACGAGATACAAGCGAAGCATAGCAGAGCGAAATATCATTTACTCCTAATTTAATTTTAAAAAATATGTAATAATTTTTTCATATATTCTGTAAGTCTTTAGCAACCAGTAAAAGGTGTAATATTAAAAGCCAAAAATGGAAAATACTGATGTAGAAGAAAGTGAAATTCTGAGAGAAAAGATATATATTATATTCTTTTAATGGGTATGACTCTAGCAGACAAAATAAGTCTCCTTCCTGAGTGGTGACACCTGCATGTTTTATACTTGTGTATTATTGTTTGTACAGATGAATGGGGATAATTCAGGCATTTGGAAAGTGGGACCAGACTTGATCAAGATCTTGGCTGATATCTATCGATTTTTCCATGACGTCAATTAAAGAGGGACTGAATTTGAAGGTAGGTCTTAAAATACTTCCACAGGTACACCTCCAATTAACTCAGATGATGCCAATTAGAAGCTTCGGAAGCCATGACATAATTTTCTGGATTTTTCCAAGCTTTCCAATGCACCGCCAACTGAGTATATGTAAACTTCTGACCCACTGGAGTTGTGAAATGGTGAATTAAGAGTGAAACAATCTGTCTGTAAACAATTGTTGGAAAAATTACTTGTGTCATACACAAAATAGATGCCCTTATGGACTTGCCCAAACCATAGTCTGATAGCATGAAATCTATGGGGTGGTTAGAAAATTAGTTTTAATTCAACTTAAGTGTATGTAACATTCTGACTTCAACTGTGCATTTTTATTACGCAGAAAGTAAAAAAAAAAAAAAGAGCTAAAGATAAACTGTATGTTCTCAAAGTGTGTTGTTACATATTCATAGTTTGACTGACAAGGAAACAGTATATTTTATCTCATTATGAACTACTTATTTCTGCCAAGAGCCCATCAATTTAATAAGATTGAGAAGAAACATGTATTAAACGAGAAGATAGATAAGTAAATGAAAAAGAAAGGGCATAATAGGAAAGAAAGAAGGAATAGAGCACCTTCGGTAGGGTTTGCGGGCTGATCTTTGTTGATAGCCGTCTGGATGTTACTGAAAGAGGCAGGAGGCGCACATTGTTGTAGGACGCCGATGGCATTACAAAACTGATCTGCAAGCTGGACACAAAACAACACCATTAGTGGATTGCAGTTTCATTCAAGGAAGCTAGCTGTTGACACTGACAGTCAGCCACACGCTTGTTGCTTTGTAATTCTGCCGAACAAATGTTTCAGTGTCCAATACAACCTGAAGCTGAACTTATTTCGTTATACAGGCCCCCGGTTGTTAGCTACCCGGTGATGTAGCAATGTTAACAGATTGCTGAAATATTGAGGATACTGCTTCAGAGTACCTTCTACCTTCATAATATATAACCAGTCAAGTTTGTTATGCAAGTCACTGGCTATTTAACTACGCTTTTGTTTTAAAACTCCAAAATTTGCCTTACCGAATTGACAGCGTCTTGAAGCTGCGTTAGTCTGTCCGCCATGTTTTCTGTGATTTAACGAAAGATCGCTGATATTATCGCGAGAGTGTCCTGAGCATAAAATCTCGCAGAATTTGACGGTATTTGGAAGCTTTGGTTGGCTTATTATCGTTTTGATTAGCCGTAGCCAGTTCACCTCAAGACTCTCTGAAGAGGGAGTGTTCAATTCAATGAGTTCATATTTGCTATTAATTCATTGATTTTTAAAAGAGTATAGAGCTGCATCAGGGCTTCTACCTCTTTTTGTTGCTCCTTGATGGGTACTAAGGTTAGCCTATAGCTAATGTTAGCTACCAAACATCAACAGGAAGCAACGGGCTAGCTAAGTTCAAATGTCTTGCACTTTGAGCTCTCCAGGTACAGCTATTTATTCTTTAATTAATTAACTAACGTTGATTATAACTATTTTGGATGGCAGTCGATCATTTAGACCAACACGTTTGTAATATAGGCCTTAAGTGGATTTGTATAACAGCATTATTGTGGTTAGTAAGTTTGCTAATAAGTTAGCAAAGATTTATGTTTGCGGCTGGTAACCTAATGTTACTCCTAGTCGGTTAACTGAACCAGTAACACCGAGTGTCTAATTGTCTTTACGTTTGCTGTAGTTCATACAAATATGGCGCGACAGTAACTAAATATATCACTTACAACACGGTAATGTTAGCCTGAGCGAATTAGCTGACACAGCAGCTGTCATCCAAGGTGTGACAAGGTTAGTAACCAGCTCAGTAGCATAAATTATGTTTTTGGCTAGCTCTCTGATAATTAATTTCTTTTTACTTCATTTTGGTGATTGTTCTGAGCATTTCATGTTAGTTTCATTGACTTTCACTGACTAACTGGACACTATCTACAGATGTACACATTGGGAGCTTCAGTATCTATTAGTGTCACTCGTTACGTGAGGTCAGAAAGTGGTGTAAGGAATAGATTGATGAGGCACACTGTTTCCATTATCTAGCCCAGTTTATTACCCGACTATAAACCTGATTAAAGTGGAAAGTACATCTTATAAAGGGTAATCGTGAGGGCAAGCTTGCTGGGACTAAATATCACTGTGTTTGATCATATTCAGGCTTCACAAGATATGTATATGGATTTTGAACCAATGATTACAGGCTTGCAGAGACTAAATATCACTGTGTTGGATCATATTCAGGCTTCACAAGATATGTATGTGGATTTTGAACCAATCATCAGAAGTGTTTATTGAAACAGAAGGAAAGAGAACACACTACCCCAGCTTTTATGACACAATTTAAGATTTTATTTATACATAATTAAATTGATTGGTCTATGGGCTATCTTGGTATTTGTTAAATTAACATATATCCCATCTCTAAATGGCAACATTAAGGAACCCGCTCTTCTCTATAAAAACCCTGTTTTCATTAAACTGTTATAGTTCCTCATAATCATGACTTGTATTTTCTCAGGCATGAACTGCACCTTAGAGAAGGTCTTGGCAGATGCCAAATCATTAGTGGAAAGGCTTCGTAACCATGACAACGCCGCTGAGATGTTAATAGAACAGACAACATCCCTCAACAAGCGAGTGGATGCGATGAAACAGGTAAGATGTCACATGAGGATTGGTGTTAAGTAGATGTGAATGTTAATTTTATAGATGCCTTCATACAAAATGATTAAATGCTAACAATGGATAGAGTGAAACCTATTGGATAAAATTAGAATTAGACAGTGAGGTTAATCACTTTTAAGAAGCTTTTTTTTCTTTTTTATATATATTTTTATTTCAAAAACCAGCAATAATAAAACTATTCAAAAATGTTTTTAACAATGAGCCAGGTCCAGCACTGTTTTCCAATTATGATATTTCTTAACGTTTTACACTGAAACCTTTCAGTAGTTAATTGGGAGTTGATTTGGTTGTTTCTTGTTTACAGTACCAGGAGGAGATCGATGGACTGAACCAGGTTGCACGACATCGGCCTCGTTCCAGTCTGGTGCTTGGAATCCAGCAGGAAAACCGTCAGATCAGAGAGCTCCAGCAAGAAAACAAAGGTCGCTGTGTGGAATTTTGTGTTCATGTGGCTGAATATTTTCCATGGAAATTCAAAGCTTTGATTTCCAATGGGCTGCGAATGTTGGTATCTATACAAAGTTTAGCCTGATATAAACTCACATGTTCTTCACTTAAACATCACAGTTAATTTGTCATGTTTTTGTTGGATGATTGGGCTGCTTTGTAGTCCAGAGTCACGGTGGTCCCTACTGTGTTTTTGTAAAATATGAGAGGTGTGGTTGCTAATCACAGCAAGGGGACAAGAAGCTTTTTTGAGTGTTGCTTCCTACACAAACCAAATCTCTGTTTATTCTTCCTGCAGAGCTACGAACATCGCTGGAGGAACACCAGTCTGCGTTAGAGCTCATCATGACCAAATACAGGGAGCAGGTGTTCAGGCTCCTCATGGCCAGCAAGAGGGACGACCCCGCCATCGTGACCCAGCTGAAGGAGCAGCACACCACGGTTAGTAAGGACCAGCTGATGCTGATAATTTTGGATACCTCAGTTATTCAATTTTTATCAGTTGATTGTGAACTGTACAAAATCTTTTCCGCTACATGTACTCTCAATTCAGAAGCACACCTGATCTTTTATTGATGTATTTATTTTTACCTTTTTTCTTTTATAGGAAATGCAGGCACACATAGACAAAATAAATGAGATGGCCTCTGTGATGAGGAAGGCGATAGAGGTGGACGAGGGGCGGATATGTGAAGACGAGGAGAGGATTAAACAGCTAGAGGTAAAAACAAATGTTCCAACAATTCCAAATACACAAGATCCTAGTCATCTAAATAAAACTCTGATGACCTTTGTCTGTGCACAGCGGTGCAAAATCAAAACTTCCAAATCCAAAACAGCCACAGGCTTTTGCATAATGTAATAATTCAAATCAAACTCTCTGGAGAAGGAAATGTGTTTTCATCTGGTCCACTGATTTCTGCCGATGTTTCAAAGTCAAGGAAATAGTTGTGTTTTCAACATGCAAAATACTTGGACGCATAATATGCATGCTTGTCGTGGCCTGACTTGTAATACTGCAGCTTGCACTTCAGATAACATTTGGAGTATTCAGTCATCCTTTGAAAGGACGTATGACCTATGTTTTGTGATGCTGGTAAAGGTTTGTTACATCCATGATGTGTAAACACAACATGTAAACAGACCAATATTAAGCTTCTTCACTAATTTGAGATACATTTAAAAAAAATGCTGATTCTTAGATGTTACTTAAATTGTTAAATTAGTCATTATTTTTGGCTGATCTGGGGCAGTGGAACAAGCTGTCAAAACACATATACATATATCACCTGGACAGAGCTCTGGAGAGCCGAACCATTCCGTATAAAGTTTGTCATCCAATCAGTCTATGACATCCCCTCAAACCCAGCCAACCTGCATAACGGCAATGGCAAACACTACAGTGTGTGTTCAGTTCAGTTGCTGCCAGAGGGCGTGACCCAAACAGTCCATCATCATTATCAGATCTGAAGAGAAGGCACAACATCAGAGTACTGGACTGGCAGCTCCAAGTTGACCTAGGAAGGCAGTTCAAGTTTCCAGAAAACATTGCAACCACTTTGTTCTGCCCAGATATGGTGTTAACATCGGAGTCTACAGAGCAGGAACTAACTGTCCTTTGGGAAGGCCAGATTGAAGAACCCAACGAGCGCAAAAGGGCCAAATACGCAGATGTTGTTACAAAGTGCTGAAGCAGTGGCTGGAGAGCCGGGGCTTTGCGTGCCATTCATTACAGCAAACTCTCTAACTCTTTGGAGTAAAGGGACTTCAGTGCAGAAGAGCCACAAAAACATTCTGGAGGCTGCTGAAAAGGCCTCGTGGTGGCTGTGCATCCAGAGGGGGGGGTCCATGGATTAGCGCGTCACTTGGACACAAATTGGGTGATGTCTGATGATTAAACTCCCAAAACACCCTATGTCAGCAGACATTGAGCACTTTGAGTACCTGGTCCAATATTCACTCTCCCCCTCTAGCTCTTGTCTTGTCCATAAACCTCTGAGGGACATGTCGGGCTCTTGAGCTGCTCAGTGCTCCACTATGTTCACCAGCTAGTTGCTAACTCTGTCTGTCTGCTGTGTGGTGGTCAGCCAGTAGTGCACAGTGGGTTTATCAGAGCCAGATATTAATTAGTGATGCTTTAAAGGATGTATGTGCACATCATATTTACTGTATGTGGGAAAACAAAATGCACATTCAGCCATTTCATCTATCATCCGCTGTTAGTAGATGATACAGCTGCAACTTGAAAATAGTTAAGTGAAACTATTGGACCCAGAGTGATTAGAGAGACAACGAAACACACAATTTTACATCCAAATCTGTGCCAAGCTTGTGGTATATTTAGTAATGCAACTGATTTGGATCCGCCAATGTGCAACACTAGGTGTGATAGATTTTGCAGTAGTGGTGGTGGTATTGTTTCATCTAAATTCATGGCTGTATATTTCTGTGTGTGCCTTTTTAGCTGGAGAACAGTGGACTTCGAGAGCTGCTGGGAATCAGTCGCGAGGCATTCCTCGTTCTTAAGAGAGAAGATGCATCAGAGAGCACGTCCCTGTCGCCGTTGCTGACCAGTGCTGACGTCAGCTTACGAAAAAGTTAGAGCCCAGGTCACTGCCCGACCCCTTCCCCCCTCAACTGCTGCCACTACTGTGTACAGTATGTATAGTCTGTTGCCACATACCACTTCACCTTTCACCCTAAAGACTCTTCCAGTGGTCCCCCACCTCCTCCAGGTGCTTTTACAGCATGATGCTACAGAGTTGCATCCCCGTCTGGTGATTCAGACACAAGCAGTGTGTACCCATCTTTCTTATGTTTTTTTTCTTTTTTTGGTGGTACTTCTGTTATGTTGTGTATTTGCCAGCATGCATGAACCTGTGGTGCCTGCAAGGTTTTAAAGAGTGAATGAGTAAAAGAAGGGCTTGAGTTAATAAATCTGCAAACACAGAATTGTCTCTTCTGAGTTTATATGGATGTAATTTTGCTTTCAAATGTCTGACACAACACAGATTCCCATGTCTCTGGTTTTCTTTGGGTGGCTTGTGCAAGTTCAGAACTTCTCACTTTCACCGCTCATGTTATTGTTACATATTGTCGACCGCATTTTAAAAGCAGGAATAGAAACAGTATCCAACACACAGGATATGCTGCAACATCCAACTACCCCTTCTGGTGAAGAGTCGTGTTCAAAATCATTCCTCCCACATGATGCTGTTTATTTTAATATCTGAATATGAACATTTCTGTAAATGCAACAAATCCAGTCCAGCAGCCTTTTCACTGCTCAAATAATTGTGTGTTCATAAAATAATGACATTGTTGTGATTTGTTATGGGCTGAGAGAGTTAAGAAAGAGCTCCCACCCTGCCACTATTTCCAGGATCCACAAATGTCATTTTAAAGCCTATGTTGGGGTTTACACTGGAATTTGTTATATGTGTGATGTCATTACAAAAGACAAAAACAAATACTAATACTAAAAATAATGAATACTAAAAACAAAGATCTAAAAAATGCAAGAGGCTTCTTGAAAATGTCTAATTTTCTCAATCATACTCTGTCGTTGCTGGTCAGTGAATCATATTGAACACTTACGATCTTGGAAGGTTTGGTTTGGAGAGGGAAGGGGAAGGGGAAGGGGAAGCTATCGCGGGACTGGCGGCGAGATTCTCGCGGAAGCATCGTACTCCCGTCAGAGCAACAGCGGGAGAGAAGCAGCCCTGACAGTCCTTTCAGTTCAGTCAAGCATGTCGCTTTTGCGTTTGCAGGGATTTCTGCCCAAACGAAGGAGACTGCGAGGTTACCAATGATTTTAGTGACCGGCAGACTGAAGGGTGATGTTGTCAAATAAACGAAGCAGAGGAAAAATGTCTCGTTGGATTTGGTCTCCGCTGCTGCCGCTTCTGCTGCTTCTTCCCTCGATGAGAGAAGTTCAAGCCCAAGTGGAAAGTGAGTTGCTAGAGCTAGCGATTTTATACGCTTTCGCTCTTCAAAGTTAACTTTATTAGACCTTTTCAGACTTTTAAACGCACGAACGCGGGGGTTTACAGGCTAAATGTGTAGGAAATAAAGGTTAAAGGTCGCTTTTGAATTCCTAGATACTGTTCAATGTATGTAAATCACTGAAGAGCCACTCATTTGTTGTTGTGTAGCCGCAGCTGGCTTAATATTTTATTCTGCTTCAAATGTTTACCTAACTCTATACATGTCAAACCTCCATACCTACACTATAGTGAAGTGGGGTTATCATTTACACGTTTTAACAGCATATATACTGCAAGGAGATTTCTGGCGGTCATCACAATGTTTACCCTTTAATATTCATAAATGGATATTAATATGATATATTTTAAGTTCATATTTAGTTTCATAAGATATGCTTCAGTATAACGAGGGAAGAATTGAATAAAAATGTGAGTTATCAGGTCAAATAGAAAAAAGTTCATTCTAATGTTTGAGTCATGTGAAGGAAAACAAATGGTGGGTGTTGTAAGAAAATGTGATTGTGAAAGAAAGCAGAGTTCCCTCTAAATGAAGATCAATAAAGATAAATAAAGACTAGATAACTGAATACCAACAGCCAGGTGTCATGACATGATGAAACAGGTTGGTTTTTATGCTCCACCATCTCTGCAGTGGTTTCGCAATAAATAGCAGCTTTAAGGCACAAGTAACCAATGATCTATGTCAATGTTAGATTATGTAGAATTTAGGGCTGAACAATTACTCAAAATGTTATTGAAACTGCATTTTACAATATGGTTAAGTGCAACACACCATAAATGAAACATTGTGGTGTTACAGAGATGCCTCCAAACCATATTCTCCAGATATGAGTGAACATGCTTGTTTTGTTTTTTTTTGGTGAAAGTGAAATGCAGAAATTACCATAGCCAGTATAATCGTGTTCTCATACCACAATATTTGTCAAAATAATGGCAATATGATTTTTATTTCATTTATTTTTTTGCATATCGTACAGCTCCAGTAGAATTTCATCGCAATTATTCAGTGTTTCCGCTTCTAATTTTCTTATTGCCAGGGTGGAAAAACCTCTGAAATAGCATCATGGGACTCTAAGCTCTAAAACTGGAACAAAAGAAATTCTTTTAGTGATAGAAACAACCATTCAAGAGGGAAACTCACACTCGGACATCTGGGATTGCTACGCAGTTAAACGCATAAGTAATATTTGTCTGCCTTTCTGTAGTCGTGGTCACAAAGGAGCACCCATCTTACCACCATTGGATGACACTGACACTGGTTGATATATATTTAATGTTTGCCCTTTGGTTTTTCCAATTGTTCACGTGTCAGAAAAATGAAGGCAGCAGGTCACTCCTTAGCTGGAGTCTGACCCGCAGACAAAGTGTGTGGATAAGGCAGCACATGTTGCCAGCAGCAAATCTAGTGCATTAGCTGTAATACTTGACCTTCTTGCTCTTTGTACAGGAAACAAAAATACAATAAGACCATACATACAATCCAAGCAGTACAGCACTTATTATAACGTTACTGAATAATATGTTTAATAGTCTTCAAACAGATACTAAAATACAGTGGAAATTGGGAAATTCTTGTGCTACAGTAGCTGGGTAGAAAATAAAAAATATGTTGTCACAGTTGGTTATTGGCAATTGCAAATTTAAAAATGGCTTCTAAATATTTCAAAAAGGTCATAGATCATGTTGCGTAAGTTCTGTGCTGCTCACTTTACTGATGAAGACAACAAACAGTGAAATAAAGGAGTGGTTGGTGAGAGATAAACAGGAAAGTTCAGTCTCACAGTGATAAAACCTCAGCTGAAGAATACGACATTGATAGGGTTGAGGACCAAATGATGTGTATGCTGCATTATAGTTTGGGGATAATATTTCCCAGTTTGATGTTAAAGTTGCAACAATCTGAAACATTTGCCTCCGTGAAATGTAAAGTATCTTGCTGACAGACAGAATGACGCAGTTGATTTGATTTGATTATCATTGTAAAGCTGTTTCCAGTAGAGCTGCATGAGCTCGTCAGATCTGAAGTGGTCATGGTATTACACAGTAGATCATCAATAGAAGTACAGACGTAAGCAGATGATCAGAGGAGCATATGCTTTACTATTACTATTGCTATAACAGTCCATAGGTCCTCATGTAAAAGCTGAAGATGGTGTTGACTTGTTATTTGACTGAATATTACAATTGTATTATAAGCTTCAATATAATATAATATATTATAATATACAGGGGCCGGTTTCACAAAGACGACTTTGACTGACTGTTTGACTGTGTGACAAACAGTCAGACTTCAGATAGATGTCTGAATTCATCCTTTGCACAAAGCAGTTTAGTTCTTGACTGTCTTAAGCCAGGCGGTCTTACAATGAATTCTGGGTAAATTTAAGACTTTTTAAAAAAAAAAAATAAGACAAACTAAAAAAGGCAGACTGAGGAACCACATGCAACCACTCAGCTCTGTTTGTCCCAGCAGAAGAGTTCAACAGTTACAAGGACGTTACAAGGCCTAACACCACAGACCAGTCTGAAATATCTGGCCCCTGGTTTTAAAGTGCTTTATATTTTTTTAACTAATGAGAGGGAATCTTAAATGAATGGCTCACATGTTGCAGAGAGGCCAGAAATGATTATTATTATATACAAAGTTTGGGCTTTTATGCAGCGTTGGCACCAGCAGGCTTCAGTATTTCAGATCAGAGATTCAACAGTCAACACAGTGAGTACTCGCTCTTCTTCATTCAGCCTTTTTATGTAAGATCTGTCTTTGATGAGCTGCTGACCTGGTTGGAGGTTGCCTACTTGGCTTAGGACCAGCTGTCAAAGCCGCTGTTTGTAATGCTGCTGAATGCACTGCACATGTCGCCTTGTGTCTGTCACGTTCAGCTGCAACCCATTAAAATACGAAAACAAACTTAATCTCTTTAATTTGATATTACTTGCATCTGCAGGCTGAGTGGTGGTTGGATAGTGCTCATGTGACAGAAAAATAATAATCTTTGACAATTTGACTCGACCATTTACCTTCCTGCTCCGTTGTTAAGTGTGCAGCTCTCAGAGAATAGCTCTGCTTTATGTCCAGACTCATCTTAAGTTTTTAATTCTATATGTTTGTATTGTGATATTGGAGTCAATAAACTACTGATCTCAAAGATTTTCCAGCAGTGAATAGTTGTAACCTCAACTCAACTCAAACTCAACTGTTTACAGTGGCTTCTCCATTGTTGAGACAGGGCAGCAGTAATGTGTGCAAACAACAATAAAATAGTTTAAAATACCATGTCTTGGTGCATAAACATATGACATTAAACAGTGTAAACAGCCCAGGTTAAATGAGGACAGTGTAGCAGAGTGGATTATATGCCACACACTATAATCAATCAACTGCAGTAATGTGATTTATAGAAATAAATCAGACTTTCAACTCTCTGTCACAGACCGGGTGATTTTCCTGCCGGGAACTTTCCAGAACGTGAGCGTCTCCCAGAATGAGACAGTGCAGGCCGTGGTGTCCAGGATCGCCCCGGAGGTCGCTTTCGTCACTCTGCAGTTTCACACGCAGCACCGCAATGCCACCCTCTCCTATACCAAGGTGAGAAAGTGTTGTCTCAGTCGTTTCACAGCTTTAAACTGGACAGATGTGTTTTTCACGATCTGGAGAGACTCTGGACAGGAAGCACAGACGGACAGTCACTATTGTACTAAGAGAAATATATAAGCTCATTATTGAGTAGCTGCAGTTTCTGAATACAGGCTGTGTGCATTTCTCTGTGGACTGAGGCTTTGATACTTTCACAGTATTAATATAGAACCTAGACCTGCTTTATAATCAAACAACACATGGACATCTACCTTTATACTATATGGGACCTTTAATATGAGCATAATGAGTAAAAAAATATGAATTAATATATTTGGTATAATCAGTATAACTTTTCACATTTAGTCTGGTCATTTTCATTGGATTAAATAGGCCACTTAATGAAATGAGACACTGTGGTGCACTGGTCACAATTCCTTTTTTTTAAGATAAAGGACTGAGTGTGTCACCCCAGATTTCTGTGAGTTGCTGGGGGTAAATATTTGTTTGTCTGGGGGGGTGTTGGGTTGCCGTGGTAAACTGAAAGTCTACAGAGAAACTTAGGTTAAACTGTGATGATGAGACTGGTGATATCAGTGGCTGAGATGGCAACTTTTCTTCATGTTTGTTTACCTTCTGACCTGTTCTTCGTGGTTTAGAGATTGCACTGAGCATGACATTACATAAGTGAGTGGAACCTGTGAGGGTAGATGAAGAGATAAAGATGAAAGCTCAGGGATGCTAAGTTTAAGCTAAGAGTTTAAGATGTATAATTTTCTGTTAATTGGGAAAATCAAATGTCAGATGTTTTTAGACTTAAGTTGAGTAACTATTTGTGGCTTGGCCTCGTAAAACAGTAAAAATGCTAACTAAACTGTGAAATTGAAAGTATGCTTCAGTTTATCACCACGGAGTTAGTTCCACCTCTGATTATGAATGAGGCTTTGTGAGCAAGGTCGTCTGACCCACGGAGCGAAGGGGCAGTCAGCTGATGTACAGTCCCCTGGTCATGAGTGGCAGACAGGGTGGCCCAGAGGGAAAACCTCCTGGCCTCGGTCCCAGAAGTCTCGGGGGACAGCTCGGTGTGGGTCCAAGCGGCACAGGCAGGCATGGAGCCTAGATTTAGTTTAGCTCTGTTTTTGCTTGTGATGGAAACAGCGGAAAACAAGAGATAAGAAAACAAATCCATGTGATTGAAGACTTTTCTCCTTGGAAAAAAAAGGGGACAAAAAGAGGCTGTGACGCAAATGTCAGATTCTGACATGGAGCAGGTCACTGGCAGCAAAACATCCAAATCTAAAAAGGAAATTCACAGTGAAAGTGAGAAATGTTTTCTAGTTCAATAGGGTGGGGATAAATATTGCAAAAGTTTCAGTTTCCCTTACACTGTTATCTGTCTTCAATTTCCTTTTTCTTTTTATTACACTCACTCAAAGTGGTTGACCACAAGATCCTATTTTGTTTGTTGTTATTTATTTCATCATGTTATTGCAGCCTATGCCGATTTCAAGTAAATACTCAGAGAAACCAAATCCTGCAAGGTTGGGTGGTTGGTCCAGGTGGGCGGGGCTTGGAGCATTGCTGAGAGTAGTGACTGCTTTGTTGTGACATCACAGTGTCACAGAAGTCCTGACGGCTGGTTTTAAGTGTCAGTTTCTGAATACAGGCTGTGTGCATTTCTCTGTGGACTGAGGCTTTGATACTTTCACAGTATTAATATAGAACCTAGACCTGCTTTATAATCAAACAACACATGGACATCTACCTTTACACTATATAGGACCTTTTAAAGAAAAATCCATCAGATAAACTACATTGTCTTTAAAATCAATTGTATGTTGAACCACTGTTGTGCCTGTTTCCTGTTGGTGACTAATGAGCAGTCATACTAAGCTGTAATCCCTTTACACACTTGTGATTATAATAGTTTGAGGCGGATCTACCTCTGTGACATATTATGTGAATTCAGTGGAAACCACATTGAATAGTGTGTCGATACCCACTTCAGCACTCTTCAACAAGATTAGTGTTGTACAATGGAGTTATTGTATGAGCAGAAGGATTGGAGTCACTGAGCGCGGGGCTTCGATGCTGCTAGAAATGTACGCTGAGCATGATGTCTTACTGTCTTTTGTCTGTCACAACATCACCGTTCTCACTGTGATACCACATCTAAGTTTAGTGTAGCAGTTGCACAGTACACATATTTTAGCAGTCACTCTATGGTTTGAGATCATATCCAGGAAATTGCCCTCTGTCTTTCAAATCTCCCCTGTGACTGAGATGTGACGATGGAGAAATGATATCATGCAAAGCCAGAAAACCCAGCATGTTTAACCAACTCTTTATCTTTTGCACACAGGTTTTGATGTGTCGGATTAGGTCCTCATGTTAACAAAATATTTCCCCCGTCCTTTTACTTTCAATGTTATTTTTGACACAACAATGGAACTTGTAATGCAGCTTTTTTATTTTTTTTTTACTTTTTTGTGGTGTAGAAAATTCAATAAACAAATTCGGGAAATACACAGCAAGTAAACAAACACGAGATACAATCAAAAATTTTTTAAAAAACATGGAAAAATCTGCCTGTAATGTCAACCCTCAGTCTTCAGTAGGATCTTTTGACCTCGTATTGATACACTTTCTCTAATCCATATTACAAGAATTTTTAACATTTTTTTCACCTGCATCATTTTTTCCTCTGGTAACACACATGCTTTTTTTTTTTTTGTCAGCTAATGTTATCTGAGCGTTAACCAGCTCAGGATGTGGTGGTCTGTGTGACACACTTCAGCGTTTGACTAATTCTTCTGGTTGAACTAACCATTCATTATGTTTGACTCTGAATTTTATGCAACATCTTTTTCATACTAAGAAACTTTTATTTTGGAATTCTCCATTGTCAGTTTAATACCAACATATAACAGTTAACATTTAAAAGAAAAGGCTGGTGTTATTCTATATTGTTCTTATTGTTAACCAATTTCAAAGAAAAAAAAAAAGAAAAGACCAAAATCAACAACGTGTTGGTCCGTCCCAAACCACTGGTTCCTACTGAAGATCTAAGTCTTAAAGCACAAACCATGTTAACATCCATATGATGTTTTAATATAATACAAGACATACGATGAGAGAAATAATCAGTCAACTCCATGACTGAATGTTTCCACCTTGACCTGCGGTGAATCTTGAGGAATCAAGAATAGATGAGCTTCAAACCCAGTTTTTCATTTTTTTTTCACTTTTTATGTGGTAAAACCATGTTAAACAAAATATCAATCATTTTTACTTTGTTTAAACAAACTCTTTAAACTGAAATGTTCCTGAAACGGGGGTAAATAGAGCACATTTTAAGGTTTACTCACTACTGAGTGTTTACAGCAGCAGCATGGTGTGTGTGTGGGACTTAGTCAAAATAAACTACAGCATCTGTGTGTTCATGACAGTTTGTAGACAACAGTGGAGCGCTGAAGCACAGAGGAATAAGACGCATCAGACAGGATCAATTCATTGTTAGTTTTGGTTTTGTTGACAATAAGAAAAATATAGAATATCATCAGACTCATCCTTTAAAGTGGAGCAGTGCTGCACTGCGCAGACGCTCTCCTGCCTGTAGACTCTTGTGCTTTCTGCATATTATTTGTGCGTCTGCTGACAGACTGATGCGTCTGTGTGCTTCAGTTGCCGGGCCTGGGTCTCTCTCTGACAGCAGTGGACTCGGGCCTCCTGTCAGCCCTCGAGCCGGGCCAGACGTCCCTCTCACTGTTCCTGTCTTCTCCTGATGGTGACACCGTGGCGGGCACCGGGGTCATCCTCTCCTTCTCCAGCACTGGTAAGTCTTTAACGCTCCTCTGTGTGTTTATGTTGGGCCATTAAAAAAACTTCTCTCCCGGCGAGTCTTGTGTGAGAAGTCAGAAACGAGGAAGTTGCGCGCCGTTCATACAGGAGCTGATATTTTTGACACGGAACACTGAAGTAACTCAGTAGATTGTGATTTTGACTTGAGGAAACTCAGACAGTAAGTGAGCACAAGCACTGATTGTGCGTGGTTGCTCATATGCCTTGTTTGTGTGTTTAAACAGCCTTACTACTATTCACCCTGACGTGGCAGGGTGCCGCTTATCCTCAAGGGTGTTTTTACTGTCCTCTCTTTCCTAACGACATTTCTAATGATGAATATGTCTGTTTTCTCCGTTTTAGACCCAGTCCCTGGAGCTTGTAACACAGAGTTCACCTTGGACATTGACCCTAATGTCTACATTCACTACAACCTCTATGAGACCACGATCCGCTTTGCACCAGCAAACTTAGGTTATGAGAGGTAACGCACGAGAACGACTGGCATTATCTGCTCCACTTCCTGTTCAACCTCTGTACGCGGCAACAACTCTGTGCACATCTCGCGTCTTTCAGCAGCTGTTGTCAAACTGCCACACTGTTTATGATCTCATGTCACACACACACACACACACACACAGCCCCCGCCCCCCACACCCCCTCCACTGCCGCTTCATTTTTCTGAAGAATGTGCGTGCCACAAAGCTTTCAGAGGACAGATAGTCAGAGGACTTTTCTGCGGGGTCACTAGCTGCGAGTCTGAAGCTGCACAGACTCTAAACTCTAAGGTTTTGTTTGTTTGCGTTTGCTTTTGAGGAAGAGAAGTTTTCTGCATGGCTGCTTGTAGCTTTCAGTTCTTCATCACAGTTGTTGTTGTCGTTGTGATTTTGGTGCAGAAAACGTTTTGAGACAGTTTCTTTGTAGCCATGTGGAGATAGAGCTCATTTAGCACTGGGTGAGTTATCAGCTGTTAGACAGTGCGGCACTTTTTTGTGTTTTTTTTGTTTGTTTTTTTTGTCTTTTTTTGGAAACTCTAAACACTGTGCGTACGATGTCTTTGAAGATTCTCAGTCATCCGTGACATGGTTATCTTAGAGGGTCTGAATCAAGGGCACCTGGACGTGGCTGTAGATGCTTGAAGACGCTTCGCCTCTCATTCTGCAGGCCTCTTCAGGTCTGACCATCCGGCCTGGAGGTATTTGAAATACCTCCAGGGTGAGAAGTGACAACATCTTCAAGTATCTACAACCAAGTCCAGCTATGATTTTTGGAACACAGCTTTGCTGAGTGGCAGATTTAGTTTTCAGCTCATTACCAACAGTCGTTTGGACAAATACTGGTGTGTTTGTCTGCTGTTCAGTTGTTATGTGTGGAAATCTTCTTGTTTGACGTGTCCGACTGGTTGAATTTATTAACATCGGATGAGGAGTCCACTTGACGACCACACCTACATTACATTTAAATATCCAACCTGAGCTGTGTTACTTTTGCAGATTAATTATAACTGATATTATTCACAGTCGTGTCTACACTGAAGATACACGTGTGTAGCGCATACTAAATGAGATTTTTGATTTTGTTTGTGGACATTTTGGCTGTATCCTGATCCCACACGACATTCTAATACTAATAGAACAATAGACTACTTGTCATATAGAGTTTTTGCAGCTAATATACAAGAAGTCAACATATTTCTCTTTTTTGTACAAACAAGGAACTGACAAAATACATATTATAAGATCATATATAAGACCTGGGACCAGACAGCAAAATAGTGACCTTTCACTTGAATGAAGATTTTGTCCCACAATGCAATGCGAAAAGGAACAGAAAGGACTTAAAACACACTTTGGATGGGGGAGATCTATGAATACCAACAGCAAAGCATTAATTCTGTGGTGCGTTTCCCTCCAACTGTCGTGTTTGTGTCGGTTTGACATTTGTTGGCAAGTGTGTTGCCACATTTCCTGTTTGTACAAAACAGTGAGATAGATTAATATTTTGCACCCTAACCACCTGAAGAAGATTAATGCAGTGTGAAGTCTCAGTCAGTGATTCAAAATCCAACACTCAGGACTGAGTCAGCCGCCATGTGTAAGGGTGTTTACATCAGTGTCGTGTGACACTCGCAAAGCAAGTTCAACTTCTGCAGCTGCAGTAGATGCCTGTGTGAAGCCGTTGTACTGAACACACTTCATTCATGCGCTCTAAGAGTTTCAACAGTCGGGGCGTCGTGTGGCGTAGTGGTCTAAGCAGGCGCCCCGTGTGTAGAGGCTACAGTCCTCGCTGCAGTCGGCCCCGGTTCGAGTCCCGCATCAGACGGCCTTTGCTGCATGTCATTCCCCCTCTCTCTGCCTCTCTACTGTCCTGTCCATTAAAGGCATAAAAAGCCCAAAAAAATATACTTAAAAAAATAAAAGCGTGTCAACAGTCACACGCTCCAGTACAGGGCGGCTGCTTACACAATGCTCTGGTAAACCACCAGGTTACAAAGAAGGATCTTACATAAGAACTAAGAGATGTTAGGTTTCAGTTTTAGTGTCATCACACCTCTCTTGCACTCACCCACTCCCTCGCTCTCTGTCTCCCTGCCTCTCTTTTATTTGTCGGTTTAATGACCTTCACACATATATATCAGATTGTTTTTCTGAAAGTTTACCGAAGCCAGGCGGCCTCTGTCCTGCGATCAGCTCAGTTTAAAAATATTCTCTGTTCAAGACTTCGCCGACGGAGGGAAAGTCACTTTGATTTGTCTCGACTGTCTCTGCTCTCCGTCAGAGGTGAAACTCCTCCAGTCTGCGACAGATCCACAGGGACCAACACGCGCTGGCGGCTGCAGTACGACGTCTACCAGTACTTCCTGCCCGAGAACGACCTATCGGAGCGCAGCCTGTTCGGTGGCATCCAGGCCGTGGCCGACATCCAGGGCATGATGGAGAACGGCAAACGAGTAGGCACCACAAACGCGATCGTTCAAAGCCGCGTGTTTACAGTTCAGTACAAACGCCACGAGGCAGCTGACACGCAGCCCGCTGACCTTTCGTCACCCCCCCCCCCCCCTCCCCGCAGGTCATGACGCTTGTCGTCATCAGACATGACCATGGCAGTGTTCAACTCCATCCCTGGCCAGGGCGTCATCTACTCGGTCATCGTCAGAGACCCGCTGTTGAACACCTCGGCCTCCTACGTCCCCGTCCACACCTACGCCTGCAGCTTCACCTCCACTCTGGACGGCTGCCAAACCCTGGGTGATCTACATCCTCCTTTATCTTATCTCATATATGTCGGATTTATTCTCTGCATGCAAACTGCCGTGTGAAAAACTTGCAATGAAGTCATTTTATTATTAATGGAAAAAAAATGCTAAATAAAAGAATCTTGTGAAATTGCAAACTTCATCTTCGATCTCGGCGCTTTTGAATCATGGGATCTTCAGTTTAAAATAATACAAACAACATGAGAAAACTGAGCTGCAAACCTGACCGATGAGGTAAATTATATCTCTAGCGTGTTCCAGAGGAAAGGTGACATCAGGTTTGAACTTTGGCTTCAAAACAGTTAATGCAGTTAATGATTTATATATTTTTTTTAATTTCCAGGAAAGTTATCTACAAAATTCTTCTTCACCATCGCTGGTTTGGCAGGTCTGTTCGTCTGCTTCTTTGGGCATCGATTCTTCAAATGTGGTGAGTAGTTTGACATTTCATTTATCATCATGTATATTTTAATATTACTAATACTAATATTCCAGGGGACCTCTTCATGTGTGCAGAATATGTTTCGTCTTTTTTTTTTTTTTTTGTCCTGAACCAGAGAGAATTGAAACCTTTGTGGTTTTAGCTCCAGTTTGTTTGTTGTCTAGTTACTTCTTCTTCCTCTGTGTAGTTTCTGGTTCCGTCATGTTCACGAACAAACATGACTCACAAAACATTTAGTTTTTGATTTTATTTATATGTTAATTATTTATATGAGATCCACACACTCAAAATCAAGACCTTCATTCTTAAGTCTGAGAAAACAAGTTTGACCCAACTGTTAAACTTGGCTTTCTTCCAGTCGCAGTTAGCGTCAGGGTAGGTAGAATAGATTAGTGGGGTCAGAGGTCATGTCTGTAAGTCTTGACTCAAACAGAAGCAAAGTTCTGACACCGTGCAACAAACCGGTTTGGTTTCCTTTACTTCGTTCTGTTTTTTTTTGTTTGCTTTTTTTTTTTTTTAAATCAAAACTCGTCTTATCAGGCTCCAGCAGAGGCTTTCCTCCTCTCATGTGGTCTCCCTCGCATGTGATGAAGAAATGTATTTGTTCCAAACTCAATCCCATGACTGTGATGTGCCACCGCTGTCAGTGGTCGTGATAAATCTGAAAATGCCGGAGTTAGAGGAGATGATACAGCTCGTCTCCCTCTGAGGGGAAAAACTCTTTCATCTGGTTCCAGCGGCTGAATTCTCAGGAGCATTGGTGATGTTGGGCCGGCACGTTTGTGCTGACTGAATGACTGTAACGTCCTCTCTGTACCTGTGTTTTCCCTGTCTCCTCTCTCCGTCACAGAGTTGTTCTGCATGGGATTCAGCTTCGCAGCGTTTTTCTTCTTTGTGCTGATCGCAAGGACGACTGAGCTCAGCTACGACAGTGAGTCTTCTCCACTTTGATCTTTTGTGATCTGTTCACATGATGAAAGACATTCAACATTTCTGAGCTCTCAGTAACACACTGCTACGTTTCATCCTGAATGAAAGTCCTCTTGACTGTTTCCGTCCCTCCGCAGTTTGTCTGACCGTGTCGGCAGTGATCGGCGTGGTGGGCGGGGTCATCCTGGTCATGAGCTGGTGGCGTTTTGGGTCAGTCATGGCCTGCGTCGTCGTGGTCGGCCTGATGCTCGGCTTTCTCATCGCCTCCACTGTCCTCTTTACTCCTATCGGTATGAAAAGTGCAGTGTGCTCCCCCCACACACACCCAGAAGCCAGCACTGTGTTTGCTTGTTTGTTTGTTTGTTTGTTTGTTTGTTTGTTTGTTTGTTTGTTTGTTTGTTTGTTGTTTTTTGACACTGTTGTGTTGTGGTCTCTCTCCAGGTGACATTGATGTGTTCAGGCGTTCAGATGTGGTTTTCTGGGTGACGTTCTGCAGCATCATGATCATTGTTCCCCTCTTCTTCGTGCGTTGGCCCAGAGAGGTAACAACAGTAAAACGAACCACAGCATGTGTAGGATTTATAACTGCCCCTATTTGGCGCCATCTAGTGGCAGAATCAAGAATGACACAGTGATAAATCCGTTTGAAACATGGTACTAACAAATTTAAATTTAAAAACAATTTAATATAATAAATTTAACTAATTTGGCCTAATTTATTCAACTAATTTGAATAATTTAGTTAGTGAATTAATTTACTCAATTCATTTGAGTGTGATTAAAGGAAAAGTTCAATATTTTGGGAGACAGATGTACAGCACATGTTTCAATTTTTAAAATTAATACCACTCTGATATCTGTATGATAAACTAGATCTGATTACCTTAGCTTAGCTTATTTCATCTCAGCATAAAGACTGGAAACAGCTAGCCAGCCTCTGTCTAACGTAACAAAATCAGCCGACTGGTGCTTCTAAAGTTCACTAATTAACACGTTTCTATCTCCTTCGTTAAAACGAACGCAAACAGAAAATGAAAATCATTAGGTCACAGTTTTATGTGGAGTTTGTCCTGTTACCAGATTTTAACTTTATTTGCTCTGAGAGCTGTGTTCTCTGTTGCAGGAACGTGAACTAGTATATTTCTCAAAATGTTGAACTGATCCTTTAACAAGATACACATCACAGCAGCGCTTTGTCCTCAGTGTTCATACGACTAGTTTCTATTAGCGATGACAGACATGAATAAAAAACAAATTTTGTCTTATTTTGAAATATTAAATGATATATATTTCTGTAAATTGTCCATATGCTGCAGCAGTTTGTTGTGTTTCAGCAGTGACTATTTACTGTCAACTAAATTCTAAAGTCCAGATGTTTTCTGTTTCAGGGCAACATCACCACATGTGGCGTGGTCGGTGCTTACGCTGTGATTCTGGCCGTCAACGCCTACGTTTACACCAGCCTCTCCTACATCACACTGAACATCCTCAAACGCTTCCTCAACAACAACTACAGCGCAGTGTTCACTGACGTGCCGTTCCAGACCATCGGTGAGTTCACAACTGAAGTCACAGCTGAGATATAAAACTCCGTAAGGCCAAACAAACATCTGTCCTCTCTCTCTCTCTCTCTCTCTCCCTTCAACCAGACTACGTCCTGATCACAGTGTGGGTGGTGCTCGGCGTCTGCGGCATCGTCCTGCAGCTCTACCGTGAGCGCTCGCGGCCGTTCTTCCCACCCAGCCCGTACCTCATGTGGCTGCAGGAACGCGAGCGCCGCACAACCAACGTCCTGGACCCGAGCCACCACTTCCCCTCGCTGCCCAACCGCCTCCTGGCCAGAGCGCGGCAGCTCACCAAGCGCATGGAGCCGGCAGGAGAACACACGCCTCTGCTCCTGTGAACCCCCGACGCCCTCGTCGCCTCTGTCTAAAGGCGGGTTACACAAACGGTGGGGGTCTGAGCCGAGACAAGAAACACCCCCGTGATGATGTTGTTCCTGTCGACTGACGCAGGGATCTGACTCCAGTTTTATTAAACACTTAAATAATATTTTAACTGGTCGGGAAGAACTAAAGAACTGTCCTTCAGTGTTGTCGTCACCGTTGTCGCTTCTGTCGGTTCTGCTCATTTCCTGTTTGCACTAAAGTCACAACCTACTAATGATTCACGCAGCGAGGCATTGTATCTCTGCAGAGTTGGATTAATGCTACCAACGTGGTTTTTTAAGGGTCCAAACAACGTATTTGATATTTACAGGACACCACATCCAGTCACGGTTTTGTAGTTTGGTTTTAAACTAAACACTTTAATAAAAACACACAGTGTACCTTGAGTTAAAACTAAAATTTAAAGGATAATGTGTTTCAGACTAAACTCTGAATGTGCCATTTATCTGGTAATAGATGAGGATCAGTAAGTGATCATAATGAGGTCATGCAGGTCACAAACAAAGAAAAACTGACAGTAAATAAATACAGCAATGCTCTTTTTACTTTTTAGTTTTTAGTGTTTTTCCTTCTCTGTCAGAACAGATGTTTTAACTCCTGCTTACTCGTGTTCTTGACTGGACTGCACTGACAGTCCGCTCAGGCTTCTTGTACTTTGCACACTGGATTTTAATATATTTAATTTTTTCTTTGTGATCTTTGTATCTCTCACCTGTGTGCCATGACGTTTCTCAGGTTCTCACACTCAGCTTTTAAACCATGACGCACTGAGACAATGTATCGAAGCTTCAGCCTGGTCTGTCAGTGTTTTATTCAGTTGAACTTTTATGGTCTTGTGACTTTTTAGGAACAAAACAAAACATCCAAAACAATATGCAGACATGTGTTTTGAAAAGTGATGTCAATTATCATTTGTAATTTAACATGTTTTGATATTTAATAAATGGGTACAGGTAAAAACCTCTCTTCTTTCTTTACTTTATTCTGAACAGTGGACATACATCTCCTGCTCATCCTCACAAACTTTCCACATCTATTCCACTGTGTGTGTGTGTGTGTGTGTGTGTGTGTGTGTGTGTGTAATTGACCCCTTTTGTAGTCACTTAATCCATTGTTAATATAAAAATAGTGACTATAGCAGCTTTAAAGCTATTTCTGTTTGTTTTTTCCCTAAAAAAAAATCTACTTCAGTTTTAAACATGTTGACCTCTAATGCATATAAATCCCTGCTTTTTGCAGTGGAGGTTGCATCCAGGATCTGAGTCTGTATGACTAATTAAATTAAATTAAATTGGCTCAGGGCCTCAGTAAACTAATCAGAGTTAATAACAGCTGCCTCCAGTCAGGCTGAAGAGCCTCCTCTGACCCACACTGAAATGCAAAGTCTGAAAAAGTGCATTTACAATGATTTAAAAAAGCATAAAATACAATCACAATCAGAAACACTTGAAGTTTTCTACTCCCTAAATCATAACAAGGGAGTGGTAGAGTATAAAACCTAAAATTTCTTTTTTTTTTATACATTTGACTTGGAAAAAGAAAAAGGTTTATTTCTTGAGTGGATGCAAAGACATTGTGGCTGGTGTAGTTAGAATTACTGATATTTAATATTTATATTTAATAAATCTCAACATACAACTAACTCAACCGCTAGAGGGCAGCACAGTGCAGGAGGCGGCTGTTAGACGGCTGGGTTTGAGCAGATTCTGGTTCATGCTGGAAATGATGTGAAGTCACTGGACTCAAATGTCCTGATACATATGACTAAAAGAAATGAATTCAGATCCTTCTACATTTCTCAGCACCAAACTGTTTATTTTACTTTGAGGACTTTGGCATCCAGGGTGATTTAAAATTCAAAGGCTTTAGAGGAAACAAATCTGCAAAAACATTTTGAGCTGTGTGCAACGTGCACCAGCCAAACGTGGTTAATAAGACGCAGATGGCAGATGATTTTTAAAACACTTGTCCATTTATTAATCAAAATGACAAACAGGAGACACAATCAACAGAATCAACATTCAGACTGTGACAAACACAGAGGTTTCTGTAAAGTGCCAAACCAGAAAAAAGCCTCACTGGTAATATACTGTATATATATACACACACACACACACACATACGTACACACATACACAAACACCACATAGAAAACTAGATTTTTAACACACAAAAAAAAATTAGAAACCATATAAAAACAAGTCTATACCAAGTAGATTCTGCTCTAAAATGATTTTGGCCACTGACGGGCCTCGTGAGTGTTTCCTGTTTAAAAGAAAAGAGGCGTTTGATCAGTAGTTCATCTCTGGCTTTCCTCTGAGAAACCAAAGTAACGAGTGCTCGTACACACTGTGCAATTTTCATCAGTAAAAACCATTAAACCCCCCCGCCCCCAAGCACCCACCCACCACCCCCGATCATCTAATACATTCTACTGCCGCTCAGAAACAAGAGGTTTCCGATGAAGGCACACGACAGGAAGGACCGCTCCCGATGGCGCTTTGTACGGCGCCACCTAGATGTCATTTATACAAATTATTACCATCCGACTGTCCACCAGTGGAAAGTCTGTTCTCACCGGGGAGAAAAATCAGAAACCATGATTTGTGTTCCAGTTGTTTAAAGTTTGGTAACACTCGATGCGAATAAAAACGCATCTTTTTCCTCGAAAATGTTGGACTAAGTGCATTTGACTAAGTCATGGCTCTGTCCTGTGACCTCGCTCTGAGCTAGAAGAGCTCTGAGGTCAACGTCTCAACATGATTTGTTCTTTAAAAGTAACGGCTGTACATGTTAACGAAGGTGGAAATGTAAACATTGTGCAAGTTTTAGTGTTATTCGGGTACATGGAGCTAAACTCTCAAAAAAACCAAAAAAAAAAAAAAAACCCAACAACAAAACTGTTAATTCATCACAGACAAAACAAACAGAACTTGACATCTTTGACCCTTTTGGATTTAAAATAAAAAACTATTAAATAATACACAAAAATCAACAAACAAAAATAAGTTTTGTGGAAGCTTTTTCATGAGGATTAATTAGTGACGACATTTATTGGTTTGAAGAGTCTGAGCTCTGGTGTGAAGTGCTGGTTTGTGATGAGAAGCCGTGTCACCGGTCTGCCGCTCCCACTCCGCCCAGTTACGTCTTCTGCCTCCTCCTACTGTTCATCTCAAAATAAGCGTCCTCACTCTTGCTCTTGCATTGTGGGGGCTTCTTGCCGACGGCGGACTGGGTTTTAACAGCTTTGACGTTGGGGCTGGATCTCTGAGGGGCCAGGGCTGGTCCTGGAGCTGGTTCAGGTTTTAGACTTGACTTCCCGTTGCTGGGGTTGGTCGTGGTCGTGGTCGTGGTCGTGGCTGCTTGTTTCCGCCCCGCCGTCTGAACTGTGGCTGGTGCTTTCTGATTGGCTTTGCTGGCAGGAGAGGGGCCCGCGTTGCCCCCTGGGACCCGCCCGGGGACAGCAGCGGTACCTCGTGGAGGGGCGGCGGCCTTGGTTGGGGCCGGGCCCTTGGCTTTGGCTGTGGCCTCTTTGCCTTTTGGCAGGGAGCAGGCAGGTTTTGGCAGCGCTGGGGAGGCTGTCCGGGAGCTGGGGGTGGGGGGTCTGGACTGTGGCGTTGGGGGCGCTGCAGCCCGTGTGGCTGTCCGCGCTCGCCTGGCTGCCTCTAGACGGAGGCGCGAGGCTGGGGAGCCGGGGCGGCGCTGTGCAAGGCGGGAGCGCTGGCTGGCGCCCGATGGGGGCCGCGCATCTTTAGGGGTGGGTGCCCGTACTGGTGCAGTGACGGGGCGAGGCACAGTAGCGGTGGGAGAGGTGCAGGGGCTGGAGGGTTTGGGGCATTTGGAGGACGGCTCGGGGCAGACGGGGCTTCTGGGCTGAGAGGCGGCTCCGCGTGGTGACGGCCTGAGCTTCAGTTTGGAGGCGGGGTTTGGATCTGATGGAGCTGCTGATGGCGTCAGAGCTCTGTGGTGGACCTGCGCTCCCTGCCCCCCCGGGCTGGGAGACAGTTTGGAGGAGCTTCCCACAGGTGTGGAGGGCAAAGAGGAGGAACCTTTGGTTGTGACGGGCAGGGGCAGCTGGGTGGGCTTCCTGGGGGAGGAGGGTGTCATCTGTAGGTTCTTCTTGGGTGCTGCGGCAGCACCTTTCCTGGGCAGCGTGGGCGTGCAGGCAGGGGAGGCGGCGTGGGACCGGACCATCTGACCTGCGGCCGCCACGGCCGTCTGCTTACAGGCTGAGCCAGAGAGGGAGGAGGACGACGACGTGGAGGAGGAGGAAGAGGATGAGGAGGAGATGAGGTTGTTGACAGCGGCCAGGGGGTCCATGTCAGGAGGAGGAGGTGGAGCTGCGTTGCCATGGTGACCTCCCAGGCCGGGGGGGCCTTTCTGAAAGGCCAGGATCTTCTGCTCCAGAGTGGTGAACTGCAGCACCCGCAGAGGGTCGTATTTCATCAGGAAACCACGCAGCGTGTCCCAGCCCCCGCCCACACGCACCATCACGTGTTTACCATGCAGCATCTGAGGAGGGAAAAGAATCATTTGAGACATATTCCTTTAAATTCCCAAAATATTCTCCTCAGAGCTTTAAATGAGTCTGTCCTGAGGATTAGACGCTGGACCGTGCAGTAATTAAGATGTAATCACCTAACGCAATCCGCCGCTATTGGGTAACAAGCTTACATGTGTCCAATCACAACCAGTTCTCTCTCTATCACACACACACACACACACACTGGCAGCAGCCTGTGTTGTCAGTGTGTATCCTACTACCCAGCGCTTGCGTCACAGATATTGTCCCTCGAGTTTGAATAAAAGGCGGCTCAGTGCAGTTTCTCTTGCAGTTACCAAATACTGGGATTTGTGTTTCTTCTGACACCCACAGGGAAATTCCTCTTCAGCTGGGCACTGTCAGCAGCGAGGTCAAAGGTCAGAGTAAACCACAGAATAGCTGACTTTGTTCCACTGTACCTCCCTGCTGCTCAAGGCCGTTCCATCCATTTACTCATTCCCAAGCTTCAACCACTTTTTATTACCATCTTTCTTTATCTGAGGTCTCTGATTTCTGACTCTTTGCAATAGATGTTAGTGGAAAGTGTTTCTGTGTGTGTGTGTGTGTGTGTGTGTGTGTGTGTGTGTGTGTGTGTGTTCAGATCTCTCACCCGAATAAAGATGGTCTTGTCTCCCAGCCTGTAGCGTCCCTCAGACAGGTACTCAATGGAGACTCTGTTGGAGCAGTTGCAGGGCGGGTCGTCCATGCCGTGCTCCTACAGAGGACAATAGAGAAGCATGAGTCCACCATATCCATGTCCTCAACTCTCTGGCAGCAATAATGACTGTCTATTTAGCACACAAGCATTTTACAGTAATAATAATGACCAATAATAATAATAATACTGATTCAGTGTCACTTCAGACGGCTGGAAAACAACGGATATTGACAGCATTTGCTATAAGCTGCTTATTTGCTGCTTCAGTGTATGAAGGCAAATACATTTGTGAATGAATCCAAACTGCCTTCCACTTGAATGAGCAGTTATTTTTAGCCCTGCCGTCTCCTCCGGGAATAAAACTCCCCACAGAGTGAGAGGCTCCTTTTACCCAGTGAACTGGACGAGGGAACAACATCGCCGCCCTCGCCACGAATCACAGCGTCCATCAGTGCCGGTGTAGAGAGAAGAGACGGTGCATTTACACCGATATGCGAACACAAAGTTCTGCACTTATGGCCGGTATGACGACGCGTATCTGTATCCCGGAGGTCACGTGTGACAGCGAGTCGCCGTGCACTGGCAGCGCGTCACGTGGTCAGCTGTGATCAAGTACCCCGCGGGGGCGCCAAGTGAAGCGGCAAGAACCGCTGCCTGCCGCCATCTTGGCTCGGCTTCAAGTGGGTCACACATGCATCACCTATGTGATGCGAACGTGACCAGCTGCAGCCTTTACATCAGTACACGAGACTGCATATGAATTTATCAACTGTGTGTGTGTGTGTGTGTGTGTGTGTGTGTGGCATCATCATCTACACTGAGGTTAGACAGCTCATCAATACGACAGGTGTCTGGGGGCAGTAACCTGACCATTTTTGTGCCGCACTTCCTGCCTCCAGGTGGAAGGTTTCATGTTCTGTCAGTTTAAATGGAGGTAAAAAAAAAAAAAAAAAAAACTCTGTGGAGCTCATTTCCTGTTCACATGTTCACGCCAGTCAGTCAGAACTCACTCCGGGCTGGTAGAGGCCGCCGTGCTGGCAGCACACGCTGAAGGTCTTGACGGCCGGAGGCGGCTCCTCCGTCATCAGCAGCGTCTCCTCCAGCTCGATCTCCTTCTCCAGCTTCACCAGCACGGGAGGCTCCACGCCGTACCTGAGACACACCGCGTTGACATGAGCGCGTTTTGGCAAATGACGGCGTTTAAAACAGTATTAAAAACCCACTTCTGTGCTGTGAAGACTTACTTGGAGACGATGCGGCCGATCTCCAGCAGACACAGACAAACCTGCCGAGGCTCCTTGTGCAGCACTGAGGCAGAAAACAGATCGTTATTAGATAAAAACCATCTGCCGCGCCTGCTCTTTACAGTGCTACAAAACTAACCCACGTGCTACATTTGAAAACGTGACATTGCGATGAGCACATGAGATAAAGTTAATTACTGCCTGTGGGGATGTTGGGTGACTCATGCAGAACATGACAGAGGTTTGGCGTGGAGAGATGAACATATATATATATTAAAGAATAGGAGAGTGAGTGTGTGTGTGTGTGTGTGTGTGTGTGTGTGTGTGTCTGTTCATGCTGTTCCCAGGCTCGGGATCAGCAGCAGACGTGGGATTTTCTTTCCAAATCGCCCCGATCTGTTTTTCTGGAGAGTCATTAGTTGTAATGAAGTGATCCCCCATGCAGAGTACTCAGGGTGATTGCTCTCCACAACAAATCCTATTAAACCATTAAGATGTGAGGCTTAAACCACAGATTCGGCTGTTATTAGAGCTCACAGCCGAGGTCTGGTCTGACCACCCCCCCCTCCTCGTTATCATCATCAATATGAAGCTCTACGTTGTGGAGCTGCAGCTCATGGGTCAGTGTTTTGTACAGACCTGCAGATACATGAGCTTGGTTTTGCACAGGACTGCAGTTGTCATGGTTTGTTTGACCTCTTTTTGCCCCCCAGTGTAATTTTTCAGGCTCAGTAAAGTCATAAAAGCTTGAGAGGACTGTTTCCAGTAGGTGCACGTCTCAGGGATTCAGTGTTGTGACAGTGGCCAAGCACCTGCAGGAAAACTCATCATGATGCCGTTTCCATACTTTTTCCTGAAAGAAAATATTTGAGGTTTGACTGAGGCGACGTTCTTTGATAACGTTTCTGCTCGACTGGAAAAAAAACAGACCTTGAAGCTTTGAGTCCTTCAACTTTGTAGCAGTTGCTGCCTCAATTTCTGGGAATTTTTATCCGGTTATTAAAAAAGGTCAGATTTAGTGAGACAGAGGTTCACACTTCAGACGGCTGCAGTTTGAGCTGCTGTAGAGTAACAGCAGAGGAAAAAAGGCCATTTGAAAGACTGATGTGTAAATGTAGATTGTCTTGCTTACCGAGACCCTCGGACTCAAACAGGTAGGTCTCCTCCACGCCGATGAGCCGACACCAGGACAGGAAGTTGGCCGTGTTGTCGCGGGCGAAGAAGGAACCCGGGGAGGCGTCGCGCTTACACGCAACCTTCTTAGTTGGGAACAGCTGTCGGGAGAAATGAACTCATCACAAACCTCAGTTACTTTTTTTTTTTTTATTACACACAGCACATAGTGAATTAAGGAGATTTATTATCATTAACTTGTGCAGCAGGCAGGAAAGTCATTTATGCTGCAGGTTATCACTGTCACTAGCTGCCATGTCTCCATGCACTGTGTTAGCTAGCTGGTTAGCTGAGATTTGTTCTGGAAATGTGAGTGAGTTCTGCAAACACATTCCTCTCTAAACAGTCTTAGCAACATGTTTCCTATCATTCCTCTTCTGCGCAGGCATCCTCCATTACAGATGTGAACCTCGTATTTAATCCTGGCAGAGGAACATCAGCTCAGAACAACAGGAAATTAAAGTAGATGCACATGGTGTGATAATACTTCACTACAATACCCAGATATCCTGTAGGTTATGCCAATAAACAGAGCCTGGTCACGCTGAGTACCCAACCCAGCCATGTGTAACAAAGTGCATCAGAGATTCGGCAGAAATCTGTCCACTGTGACCTGCAGAGCTCCCCCACCCCCGTGTGCCAGCATGAGAGCCAAGTGTCCGAGCTGTTTTCATCTGTGCCGTCTGACTCACCTTGCCGAGTGCGGAGGGGCAGCTCTCGGCGATCTTGGTCTGCAACACACCAATAAGCTGGCAGAGCTTCACGCCGTTATTCAGCTCCTCCATGAAAAACTCTGCTCTCACCTCCACCCCTGGACACAGAGAATAAAGAGTTTTAGCTTCCAACTCCATCATCTGCAAATGCACTTTATAAGAGCTGGGATTTGTGCTGCTTCATTTGACTTTTCCTAGATTAAAACCACATCTCAAGTATAAAATAAATACAATTAAAGCACAGATAATTCTCTTTATAGGCTGTTTTTATTATTCTACTTTGTCTTTTGTTGCAGGACTTAACAAAAAGTCTCCTCTACAAACTCCTCCAGGACTTGTGGCGCTCCCACGACCCCTTATTGTAAATCACCGCCCTAGGAAACTCAACAAAAGGCCACTGAGTCTGACTTAATTCACGCTGGGAACAAATTCCACAACGGCCATAACACTAAGTGACTAAGATTACTCCACAAAACTTTATTTTCCACATGACAACGGACGAGCCCAGAGGCCTGAAACTTTATCCGCTGCACGCCACCTGTTTCTGGACTGACGGCCACATCACTCAAACTGTTAAAAAGTTGAAAAATGTGGGATGCAGGTCATCATGGTCACGGTGCCAATAACTCACGAAGAGTGTTCAGTACCTGTCCACATTCCTCATGAGGGAAACTGAACGTCCGTCTCTAAAAAACGGTTTTAGAAATCAACAATAGAGTCAGTTTCCAGTCAGCTTCAGTTTCCTCACTGCTCCATTGTGTCGTAGGGACAATAGCCGTCAGTATAAAAAGGCAGAGACGGTCGAAATGAGGGATTTGGTTCCACTCCTGTTTACGCGCTTCACTAAGGACCAGTTGGAAATAGCAGAATCCAAATCCAATTACATGGCAGACCCGTGTCAATTGTGCTTTGGTATTTTCCTCGCCTCGAGGGGGAAACTGTTACATGCAACTGTGCAGTGTTGATTTATTTACATGTGCGCAGATTTGGACACATGTAACTCTGCTGTACATGTCCATTCTTCCTGCCTCGGCCTAGTTCTTCACAGCCAAACAAGAGTGATGTTCAATGTACCTGAGAAAGTGTCATTAAAGTTAAACCATGTGAGCCTGCAGCTGTCAGAGGGGACAACGAAAAAGACCCAAAATAAGACAAATCGATCTCCGCTGGTACTTACCCAGCATGCCTGTGAGCCAGATGGCCAGATCCTCCTGCATGGGCACCAGGGTGGCCTCGTGTCGCACTGCCAGCCACTGGTCATACTGGAAGACGTCTGCGAGGCCGGGGCCGTGGCGCTGTGCTAACGGGCTGCGAGGGCTCCTGGGGCTCAGCAAGGGGGCGTCAAACTTCTCGCCAAACCACACCTGGGGGGGTAAATAAATGTCAGATTCCCATCCAAGTGAAAGAGCTGAACACAGAAACAGATTCATTAATAAACAAAACAGAAACAAGGACGAGTTCCAGAGAGAGAAGCAGCAAACAGCCAAGAACTCTGAGGATAATACAATTAATACGGTCTACATCATCTCCGTGTATGACCGAGGATTAGAAACACACACAGAAAGCCGGGCAGACTGCTGTGGCTGCCCACTTATTGAGACATCTGCCTAATCTGATCTGAGATCTGCTCCCTCATTAAATCATGGTTTTAACACGGCAATCTTTAAAGGAATAAGTCATCATTAGCTGTCTTGTCAGAGAGAGAGAGAGAGAGAGAGAGAGAGAGAGAGGAGAAGATTGATACCATGCTCATGGCTATATGCTAGCTAGCCTGGCTAGAAAGTCACTGGGCCCAGAAACAGTCAGGTACATATCAGTAACAGTGCGTGCAGACAAACAGAGTTAATGTTACTGTTACTTTTGGACAGAGCCCGAGCAGCTGTTAGCTCCTGTTTTCAGTCTTTTTGTGAAGCTAAAATAACCGGCTAATAGCTCTGGTCATACAGACGAGTGATGATGGTGCTGGGCCACCACGTGTCACAAGTCTCTGGACTCTACTACAGGGATGAACCATTCTTCCTAAAGATTTGGTGTTTTGATGAAGGTGGTGGAGAGCGTTGTCCATCACATCCTGCTCCACCCGTTTCTCAGGTTTTTCCTTTAAATTTGTCACCGTCTATATCAGCCTTAAAGCTTTAAAATATCATGTTGGAAATGTAGTCTGGGTGACCACAAATCCTGGTAGCAGAGGTGTGCATATGTGAGCTAAAGCTAATTTCCCAAAATGCTGAACTATTCCTTTAAAACTTATATAATCCCGGCACCTGCTTTTATTGTCTTATTAGAGGTTTTAGCCACATTTCCAGCGCTGATTATTACAGTATTGTTTGATTGTGGGACTCTCATTCAGAGTGATATCAAGTGTTAAATTCTTCCTGTTTGAGGGCTTTCATTTGCTTTTGTTATTCCAACAAGTAAAAAAAATAAAATCTTATCACTTCAGTGAGGCGTTGCGAGATAAAGCTGGACACGTCCACAGCACATCTGTGAAAACACACACCTACATAATGTTTCTTGGAAGCGCAAACCGATGGACTGCTTCTACCCCTGAATACAGGTTTAGCAGTTTCTCCACAGCCCGCTCTCTGCAAGCCAGCACTGCAGCATTATCATACTCTATTTACCCTTCAGCGTAGCACTGTGGGAACATGACAGGAAGTTGTGTGACCCGTCCATGCAGAGAGGAAGCGCCGGGGATGCCGTCATACCACACTTCACTACAGCACACGCTGCACACCCCCGACTCTGCCAGGTATCGACTGTGGTTTTTATCTCATTTATTTACCACCCACAGCCACTGTTGCGTTTTCTTTAGCTTCATATCCAAAGAAAACAGAGTCAGTTGGACACTGTTGCACTTGACTGATTAAATGGGTGTTACAGTCAGTCCGCGGCTCAGTGCCTGGAGGGAGCGTCTGATCCTGGCTCTCAACAATGATGTCCCATCATATCCATCTCCACTGTCCTACACTCTCTCCCACTCCCCCCTCTCTCTCATACCTCAGTCTTTTATGATCACAGTTCAAGTCAAGTCTTTGGTTTAGCCTAAAAAAAAAATAAAATAAAATAAAAAAAAGAGAATAATGGACCAATCTACTTATGTCAGACATTTTAATCTGAATTTAAAGGAACCAAAGCTGTTGGCTAAATAAAGCTTCTATTCCTCAAAAAAATGTAAATAACTCATTCACAAAATGGCCATGTTGTTTTATTTTGAATTTTTTAATTGTTCACACACACACACACACACACACACACACACACACACACACACACACACACACACAAGGAGAGGGGGCAACCTAGAAAAAAAGCGGCAGATGTGCTCTTTGACAACTTGTCCAGACATTACATAACTCACTCCTGCATGACCCTCCTCCCCCGTCTAGTTTGTGAACATCCGGCGAAGACGCAGCCTTTAATCTTTGTGTCTATCACATGTCATCGAGCAATAACAGGACACCACGGTTAAGGGGTTACGTGGGTGAAACAAGGCCGAGTCTTGTTGAGGCCTCCAGTTCGTCGTGTTAGTTCTGCATGCAAACTCCTGGCAGGGTCAAGAGACGGGCCGTTACGCAGTAATGCATTTCTGCTGATGGTGTGAGCTGACCCATTAACAGTGGTTAGAATACTTTAACTGTGTGTGTGCACTTGGCTGGTGTGATATAAAGAGTGTAAAGAGGTCCATATCTTCCTCTTCTCCTGTGTTTTATTTGAAGTGTTGATCCATAAGAAGAGAGGGGGCTCTGAGCCTCTCTTCTGATTGGCTGACTGTTTTCTGAGTGATTGAATAAAAATATAGCAGATTTCAGGTAAACACTCTGAGAAACCAAATCCTGCAAGGTTGGATGGTGGGACCAGATGGGCGGGGCTTGGGACGTGACAGAGCGGTGACTGCTTTGTTGTGACATCACAAAGTTACAGAAGTCCTGATGGTTGGTTTTAGGCTCAGTTTTCTGAATACAGTGTGTGTGCATTTCTCAGCATCTATCATTAGATGGCATTAAACGTCATCATTAGGGCTTTTTTCACTTTTGTAAAGCTCCCTTCACAACCAGCAGTACTTAACTAGTCCTTGCGATAAGTAAACTTCGTTTCACGTGTGAAATTAGTGGAATGCCCCTTAAAAATTCAACTTCAGGCAACTTTGACATATTTTCATGACTTAATAAAGTCATTGTTGGGTGAGACCAGCGGGCGTTAACAACCTATGTTCAGTTCAGAGTCAGGATTAGAGACAAAGTGTTTAGAATAGACGTCAAAATGGACGTCATCGCTTTGGGAAGGTTTTTTCAGTCTCACACTCGAGCCAATCACATGTGAGACTGATGAACAAACACACACACAAACACCTGATGTTGTCAAGTGAAAAGGTTGCCTCACATCAAAAGAGATGAGCCGACCACACACACACACACACACACACACACACATATGTATGTGTGTGTTACATAACACGGTTCAGAAGGGCGGGCACCCTGCAGCGCTCTGACGCTTCACAACAACATATGTGTGTGTTTCTCGACATCCCGCTAATTAGAAAATAAGGCATCGCAGTGTAGCGTTTTCAGGTTACGTAAAGGAAAGTGTACCGATTAGACAAGACGACTGAACAGAGAGGATAATCCAACCCACACACCGTCACCTGACTGAATACAGGTTCACTGCGAACATTCGGGTCTTAAATCAAACTAATGTTGTAAACTGAAATCTGCACTGGACTCAGTATAGGGGCCCTCCTCAGTTAATCTGTCTTTTCTTACACCACCTCTGTCCTTATTGGCTGCGGGAATGTGGATTGGTAATCCAGCAGAGGAATGCAACCTACTGAGATGTTAAAGCACTTTGAGCCTGTGAGTTACCGTTTACGCTTTAGGAGTTTATCCGATGTTCTTAACCCAAGCCACTTATAGGCCCTGAAACAATAGTCAATAGCAGGAAGGTCAAAGGGAAATGTGGGACGGAACAATATATATATATACCAGAAATGATCATGCATATCAATCATTTAGATTTTTTCCTTGAAATCAACATCTTTTCCTCATGACTATGATGTTCACTGCTTACATTAAGACTCTTATTATATGAGCTTTTCTCATGACATTATTACAAAGCCTAATTTTCACAATACATGTCAATGACTGACACATGAACGAACTTTCAGCTACAACTCAAACTATAAGTAAATTAATGTTTCCCATCTTTGAAATGACTTTGGCCATCACAGATTTTAAACCTTCCCATGGTCTGGCTGCTGACCTTTGACCCTTTAGGATCCTAACTAAACACAGCTGTATAGTTTGGCCAGGCTCTTTTCAAATACTAAAAGAGCTAGATGTTTTTAACGCTGAGAAAACAGCATAGCTTTGGTGTAATGAGGAGTGCACTGATGTACGTCAAAATCCAGATCTGTGTGATTAGTAATGTCTTCCTGCGGTTCTTCTACTGAGGTTTTGTAGGATGTGCTCTTTTATGTCTGTTTAGCCATGACGGCCATCTCTGCTCATGTTAACTACACAGTTCTTCTTCTCTTCAGTACAAATAAAATCTTTTTTAAAAACTTGTATCTGTGCAACCCTTATAACTCCGCTTTTTTTTTTTTGCTTTCTATATTTAAACTCTCCGTGGATATCACAAAAAAAAAACTTCTGAAATTTGTTCCGACAAGGTTAATATAGAACCTAGACCTGTTTTAAACAACACATGGACATATACGTTTATACAGTATGGGACCTTTAATAGATGTGCACATATGCTACTTATACTTCCATGAGTGCATACATTTTCAACACGGCTGAACAGAGCAGTCAGAGTGCGACCAGTTATCAATGTGACTGTGCTCTACATGGGCAGTGAAGCTCTGAGCTGAGCTTTGGACGGAGCTGCAGTGTCACAGTCTCTGCAGCATCACTACAGTCTGATGTGGATCAATATCCTCACAGGGGGGGGGGCTTTGATAACACGCAACATCATTCATGTATGTTCTAAAAATAAACATGAATTAATGGAACATGTCCACATCGTCATGAGCAAATGTGAGACGTGTTTACAGAGCTGCTAATTAGAAAATGACTTAAAACATAAATTAAAATTAAAATAAACTACTCTTACCCATGTTTTAGACAAAGCTGCATTAAGTAGAGACACTGCCTCATATAAAGCAATCTAAATACAGTCAAACCTTCTCATTAACACAATCTTTAGATTTAATCTGATGCATCTGCAGCGACAGCATCCAAACCACAGTCCATCAACAGCTCCATGGAGACTCTTCACAGCCTCGTCAACACCATCGCCGTCAGTCTGACAGGTTTCCTGCCACATGTTATGTGCACAGCCCTGAGATACATATTTTGCATATCCGCGGTCCAAGACGGGCGGACGGAGAGAAGAGAGAGAGAGGGAGAGAGGGAGAGAGAGAGAGAGAGCCAGGACTTTCCAGACCAGATGACAGAGAAAACCCCGTCTCACTGAGGCGCTGTGACAAAATCTGTAACACGATACGTTTGTTATTTTGGATTTTGGGGATGGCCGACACTTCGTTGCTGGGAGGGGACGGGGGGGGGGGGGGGGGGGGGGGAGTGCTGCACATTCCACCCACTCCCCTTCAAAAATGCGCGGAGGAAGTCCTCGGGGTCCGAGCAGCAGGAACGTCAGACACGCAGAACAACAACAAGACGGCGTGCTGTAACACAGGTGGGCTCGTCACAGCTGCTGAGAGATGACAGATGTCTGCAGCTCTTTGTTTAATGTGAGGAACTTCTTCCTCAGTTCGCTGCATGGACACTAAGAGTAGCGGTGAGTGGCCTACAGAGGGCGCTATAATGAGGACTCCAGTCAGGTTCAGACCAACTTTGTAAAAGACATCTGCTGCACAAGCTTAAAATCTTACATGCGGACAAACAGCTGTCCAATTTGCAAACTAATCAATAATCAATCAAAGTCATTGATGGAGGCTGGATCAGGATCGCCACTCAACAATATCTGCAAACCAAACGCTGACACAACGATATCTCCAACCTGAAGGAATACATTTCCTCTCTGACCAACCGAAGTGCACCTCATCCTCATCCTCATCCTGTCTAGACGGCGAGGAGCTTACCTGGATGCCAGTCTGGACGGCCATGACAGCGATGACAGATTCACTTCTTCATTCTGAGGAGAGATGAGACAGAGAGACGGGGGTGAGATCATGTGCTCGTGTTCAGACAGAGGATGAATCAGGAAGTCCAGCCGTGTTTCTGAAAACCTCATATCAAGATGTACACGGTATCTGATTATGCAAACGGCTACTCGGGGCAGGTTTTAGATAGTTCGACGTTGTGGGAAACTCAATCTCGTGCCTGAGTCTTTTGGAAGGCTTTTAGCTTAGCTTAGCATAAAGATTTGAAGTAGAGGGGGAAAACAAGCTTTAACCATTTCTTGGCAAACAACAGCTGNGAGAGAGAGAGAGGGAGAGAGGGAGAGAGAGAGAGAGAGAGAGAGAGAGAGAGCCAGGACTTTCCAGACCAGATGACAGAGAAAACCCCGTCTCACTGAGGCGCTGTGACAAAATCTGTAACACGATACGTTTGTTATTTTGGATTTTGGGGATGGCCGACACTTCGTTGCTGGGAGGGGACGGGG